AGATACGTCCATTCTGACATGCCTGGGGTCAATGTCTTCAGTAACATCAACCATGCCTACAAAGGTCGAATTTGTCAATCGGACATCTTCAGTCATGCCCGTGTGGGATTCGATAAAGCCTACTTGAGCTTCAAATGGACTAGTGTCCACTTTCATAGACATTTCTCCAAACTTCAGTCTTCCTTGATCAATCGCATCTTGGATCGTGTTCCTGAAATGTATACAATTATTAGTCCAATGTCCATAAATATTATGGAATTTGCAGTATTTTGGACCATTCCTTTGTTCTGTAGATGGCAATTTATGGTCATCACTCAACTTAATCTGCTTATCTTTCAATAAAATATCAAAAATTTTATCGACTTTTGTTACATCGAAAGTATACGTTTGATTTGTCATCTTGTCTTTTACTTCATTTTTCTGTAGTAATTTACAAATGTATGGAGCTCCTACTTTGAGCTCTGCTATATTTACTTTCTCATCGACAGCTTCTTCAATCTCAATTTCTGTCTCGGGATCTGTCTCATACACATCATTTATATATGCTACTCTTTCTTTTTTTCATGGGTTTCTCAAATTTCTTAAACCTTTGTTTTTCATATTCAATTTGTTCTACTCTTCTCACTTTATCAGCTAATTGAGCCATGTCATTCAACGGTAAATTAACTAACTTTTTCCTAATCGAGAATTCTAAACCTGCAGAGGCCATTCTGACTAATTCATATTCAGGAATTTGAGTAAAACATCTCGACTTCATTTGTCTAAATCTATTCAAATAATCATCTATGATTTCATGATTGTATCTCTTTATGTTCATTAAATCGATGAGACTTACCTGAGTCTCTCCTCTAAAGAATTGCTCATGAAAATTTCTTTCCAGTTGCAACCAATTATATATCGAATTGGGTGGTAACGAAGTAAACCAAGTGAAAGCATTTTTAGTCAATGAACTAGGGAAATATTTCATTTTTAATTCTTCACTCATCGCTAAATCCCCGCATTCGATCTGATATCGAGCCACGTGCTCGATAGTGGATTCACCAATTTCTCCAGCAAATTTGGTGAATTTAGGTACTTTGTATCCTCGAGGTAATTCTGTCTCGAGAATAGCATTTGGAAAAGGAGAAACAAAGTACGTTTGATTGGGTGGTCTTAACTCCATTCCTTGGGAATTCATCCTTTGTCCTAACATGTGATTATACTGTATATTATTTTGATTGTACATATTTTGAAATACCTCATTCAGATTCCCATAAATATCATTCCTCACATGTTGATATTCATTTCCCATATGCTGATGTTGATCATTGTTTCGATTTCTCCTCAACAGATACGGGGGATTGATATTAGCATTTTGGTTAATGTTCTGATTGACATGATTTTCCACTCTTGTTTGTCGAGGTATAGCCAATGCATCCCCGATACGTGACATTTGGTCTGCTAATATCTCAAAACTAGCAGTGGTGTTTTGAACTAATGGATTGAGGACTGTAGTCAACTGTTGTGATAACATATTCACCATCTCAAAATTGCTCTCATCCATTTGTTGTCTAAATACTCCTAATGAGTTACTGGAGATCCCAGTACTAGTGTTTTCAATAGTCTCAAAATTGTATCGATGATAATCTATATCGAATGCGTTTCTCCCATGATCCAGATTTGCTCTGTGATCTAGATTTGAAGGTATCTGTTGTGTACCTAAATTCTGCCCACTCCCTGAATTCTGGGGGGTTACTAAATTTTGAGACGCCCCTAAATTTGGAGAGACTCCAAAATTTTGCGGCATACCTAGAGTTTGAAAGGTACCTAAGTTCTGAGGCATTCCTAGGTTAAATCTCGAATTTCGTTGTATCGAAGAGGTACCAGCCCCATTCATATTATTAGGTGAAAAACCCGGTGGTCGTACGCTCATATACGGCCCTGCATATGTTGTTATGGGGTTCCCCATCACAGTACTAGATCCTACTTGAGTGTTTGCTAATGTGCCTGAACTTTGTTCATTACCCACAGGTATCGACATACTCACAGTCGTCGATATTACAGACATATTTCCATTAAGACCTTGCCCCCCAGTGTTTGGTGGATGTGAACCATTTAGACCCTCACTGTTACTCTGGTTATTTGGTGGGTTTTGACTCATTCTTATAACTCGGCCACTCCTTAATCTCATACACTTTCGAACTAACCAATTTTGTGTTTTTCGACACAAATGTCCCCTACCTGGCGCGCCAATTTGTTTCTGGTGGAATTTTGATTAATTTCGATTCTTAAGAGGCTTTTGATTCTAACCAAATTCCAACCACATAGATTCTTTATACTTAGGCTAGCAACTGAATTTCAATCGAAATGCGTATGAGAATCGAAAGTACCACTGTATAGAAAATACTAAGATTAATAATCGAAAACACTATTTTTGGTATTTTGTGTTTGAAGTACTCAAAATAAGGAAAACAGTAAAGTGACAAATCGAAAAGCAGTATCGAATGTAAAACTGCAAAGAAATATTAAATTGCAGAAAATGTAAAGTGCAGAAACCTTAAAATTGCATTAAATGTAAATGGCAAGGAATCGAAAATTGCAGGATTGTAAATAAAAATCTAACTTTGCAGAAAAATAGACAACAGGAAATCGAAGTTGCAAGAAAAAGAATAACAGGAAATCGAAATTGCACAAATATAAATGACAAGGAACTTAAACGCAGAAACTTAACTTTCATTAAAGGGAAATGACAAGGAATCGAGAATACAGAAAATTAAAGTTGCTAAACATAATCTGCATCAAAGTAAATTACCAGGGAAAATAAAGAAAGCAGTAAAGGAAATCAATGAGCATGGAAATCCAGATCGCCAGAAATTTCATGATGCTCGTCGTTCTCCAGTAGACTTCTCACTAGTATTCCTGCTCTCTGCCAATTTTCCACCCCCTTTCTCCTTCATCCTCCACTCTATTTATAGGGCATCCTTTCAACAAGTAACCTCTTAGGAGCAGTTAACGAAAACTGCTATCACATCTTACGTGCACGTTGCAGTTTCTTCTTCGGTATTAAAACTGCACCCACGTTCCCATGATCTTCGACCTTTGCCACGGTTTAGAAATTGTTTCCTATATGTGTGTTTAACTGTTCCTTTCTTTATGACCTAGCCGAGATTTCGATATCCACGCCGGTTAGCCTTCCTCTTGATTTTGATCTCTTGATCTCGAGAACTTCGACTTGTCTTTGTTTTCCCTTATCCTTAACATTACATAATTCTGATTTTTCGATTTCATTCACTAACGGATATTAAACATTCTTCCTTTGATTTCTCGATTCTAATTCTCGATCATATTGTCACATGGTCGTCGAACGTATTTTCTAACCATCTTTCGATTTATCAGTCTTTAACTCAATCAAAATGGTCTTCGATTTTTTCTCCCATTTGTTTGTCGATCCCTTTATCGATTTCTCATTAACAAATTGAAATAAATATTTCTGGCCTATTAAATCAAATCAAACCGGCAAATCTACATTTTACAGTCTAACAATACCTGTTTGGTGTAAAAGTTAGCTTCATCATGACCACATTTCTTGTTGACCCGTCAAGAAACATTAACATTTTCTTGAGAGAGGAAACAAACAAATATCTTCTAAAAATCAAGCTATTTAACATGTATCGCATGGTGCATTACCTTAAACAAACAATTGCACCATCTGTTCCTCAATTAGTTTCATTCCAAGCTCTCTTTTGATATCCTGCCAAGCACAATGTTACATTACATAAGGAACAATTGGCAATAGTATGCATAAAGTTTTCATGAATATGATAAATTACAAATTTGGCTTATCTCAGTAATAGGAGAAGTAAAATTAATAATATGATAATTAGTTTTTGAGATAAAATTAAATAAAAAAGATAATTAAAAGTTTATCAAAATCTTTTAATATTATGATATGTTAGTGATTATTATTTGATATTAAGAAATTTTATTTTTTAAGATATGCTTAGAGGTTTTTAAATAAATTATTGTATTTTTCATTAGAGGTATGATAAATAGTTAATAAAACTAAATTTTAAGATCAAGAATTAGGATTATTCGAAAGAGTTAAATTTTTTCATAGCTTGAGTTATGTCTCAGCTAATGAAAGACATCGATTATAATAGATGAAATGTCGAGTTGAAACTCTACTCAAAACCAACAATTATTAGAAAATAGTAGACAAAATTTTTGAAGAACCTTACATCACGGAAGGAAGAATGACCTTCACATTGAAGAAGCTTATATCACGGAAGGATTCACATTGAAGAAGGAACGTTTAGTGCAATTTTGTCTTGAATAATAGAAAATTTAAGAAATTGATCGAAGTTACATATGCAAAGGAAACATGATATTTATTTTTAAATCAATTTTAGCATTTATTTTTTTATTTTATATTTTGTGAATATTTTTAAATATATAATAATAATTAATCATTATTCTAAAAATTTGGTTATACATTTTTTTAAGAGCAGTAACTTTTAATAATATATTTAATCTATCTTAATAATATAAAAAATAAAAAATAATTATATCATAATATATTAGTTTTTTTAGATTGATCAGTACACTTTTTAGGAAACAAAAATCATCATTATAGATGACATTTAAATAAATAAATAAATTATAAAATTTTATAATTGATTAATATATAAATATTAAAATTAAATTTAAGAATAAATATAATAATTTATTTTTTTCCACCTTATTTTTTATCAAAATCTTTTCTGGTTAGTAGATAAAGTTTAGAGGATTAACTCTTCCTAATTATTTACTCAAATCTTTTCAAATCAATTAATTTAAAAAACATTTTTACATTATAATCTCTCGTTTAATTTATAACTTTAATATTTATTCAATACTGACACTATTTAAAAAAATATTAATTAATTAATAATTTTTATTAGTTATTTTTATTTTTAATTTTTACCCAAATCTATGGATTACTGACCCTAAATTTTATCTTAAAATTTGATTTAAATGGGTGAATGGCGAAGAATGGGGAAAGAAGCCGCACAAGTGAAGTGGAGGGTAGGAGTGAGACACAGGGTTTAGGTATTCCTCTGCCTCCATTCTTTCTCAATCACTCTCCCAGACCACCCGAGCTGCTCCCTCACACCTGCCTCACCTCACTTCCCAGCCCACCCGCACTCCACACAACTACCAACTCACCCAGCTCCTCCCTCACTCACCCTCGCCCAACACCCTCACTCACCCTCGCCCAACTCACGCAGCCCATCGCCTGCCATCTGGGGCCGCAAGCCACCCTCCAGCTCAAGCTGCCGCGTACCATCGAAACCCCTGCGCCGCGCCGCGCCAACCACCAAGCCCCAGCCCTAATCTTCGCGCCTTCAACCCCAAAACCTACCGCGAGCCACCCACAAGCCCGGTTCGGTTCCCCCTTCTTATCCTTCTTCTCGTTTCGTTACTGATAGTCGTTAGTGTTTTTGCGGTTGCAGCTTCATCTTCTGCACTACACATCAAACGGTGCGTTTCACCCACAAAATCGACAGCGTTTTGCGACGCGATGGCTTCTTCTCGACTCGATTTCTTGTTCTGCCATTTGTGTGGGACAATGCTCACTGTCCCTTCCACTCAGTACGCCCAATGCCCTTTGTGCAAAACTCGCCGAGCCATACAAGGTCAAACCTTTTTTTTTTCTTCAAAATGATTCGCTTGCTTTATTTTATTTAATTGCTTGTTTTCATATGTACTGATATTTATACTATATGTGTGCATAAACAAAAGTTATGTATAACTTTCTTCTATCCATGTTTAATGTGTGCTAACGGAATATCCATGTGTTCAGATATTCGTGATAAGGAAATAAGTTACACAATTTATGCTGAGGTATTTTTTATTTCTCCTCACATAACTTTGAATTATTATTATTATTATTATTATTATTATTATTATTATTATTATTATTATTATTATTATTATTATTATTATTATTATTATTATAGTTTATATGACTATGTTTTGTTTCTGGGGCTTCTATATGGTGCCTAATGTACTTCTTTTATAAGAAAAAAATGATATTGTCTACCTCCACTATGGCTTTAACACTTGACTCACAAGTGCTTATGTATATGCTCTTAGGCATGTCATGTTATACCCTGTCCATGTGGGAATTGGTGAAAATAATAGCAATGGGAGTGTGAGTAGTTTAGCAGTATTGAAATTTGGACCTGGGTTTAGATTTTTAATATCAATGTAGCAATGATAGAAAATGGAAAGCAGAGGTCAACGAGAAAGGGGGAGAACTTCAGATTTTAGTGTGTTTTGTTTCTGAAAAGTGATTTGACATCGAGCAATTACGGTGACTGGTAAATTTAGTCAGGAATACTAACTTTTTAGATGCCGGTGGCATGGTCTACTTGTTCTCATTGTTGAAATAAGCCAAATTTGTGATTTATCATATTCATGAACACATTGACTTTATGCATACTGTTGCCAATTGTTCCTTATGTAACCTTGTGCTTGGCAGGATATCAGAAGAGAGCTTGGAATGGAAATAATTGAGGAACAGAAGGTGCAATTGTCTAAGGTAATGCATCATGCGATTCATATTAAATAGCTTGATTTTTTAAAAGATATTTGTATCTTTTAAATGTGTTTGTTTGTTTCTTCTCTCAAAAAAATGTTATGTTTCTTGACAGGTCAACAAGAAATGTGAAAAATGTGGTCATGATGAAGCTAACTTTTACACCAGACAGGTATTGTTAGACCGTAAAATGTAGATTTTCCAGTTTGATTTGAAGCTTATTTAATAGTCCAGAAATATTTATTTCAGTCATATTCTAATTTCAGATGAGATCAGCAGATGAAGGGCAAACTACTTTCTACACATGTACCCGCTGTGGTCATCAATCTCAGGAGAATTAGTTGTTTATTTTAAGGCGATCTTTGGATTTTGGAGGAAAATAGAAGGACAAATAGGAAAGCATAGGAGTGAAAACTGATATGACGATGTTTTAGGTTCTCTTCTGTAAGAGTAAATGAAAGAAAAGAAAGTTAAAGTTTTCTTTCTTATTTGGTAGCGTAGGAAGTGAAAGGATAGCAAATATATGTATGTGAAATGACCAATACTTAAGTTAAGGATTGAGATGTAGTAATTAATTTGTGGGTGAAAAATATATTCAGAGTATTTTTTAAGCAGAAGGATTTTTCCATATTTTTCTCGTACAATATAAATAATATAAAATTGTGAAAGCTTTCTCTAATTTTTTTTATTATTATTTCTATTCTTTTTGTTAAGAGTGAATCATCTAATTCATCAACCTTAAGGAGGTGTTTAATTTAGTTGATAGAAATAAATCTGTCCTAATTTTATAATTTTCTTCCTTTGACTAAATATCATTTATTTTAATTAAGAGTCTAATCATCACTATTAATTTTGAATTCTTTTACCAAGTTCTTATGAAGTAACATTTTTATTTTGGGTGAATTGACGTCCTCATTCTCATTTTTAGGAAATTTTGTCATTTCCAATAAAAATAAAAGCGTTAAGGGTAAACAAAATCAAAACATAAAGTGAAAAAAATACAATTTTTTCTTTTTAAACTTGAGATGAGTATTAATTTTAATATGTTCCAAATGGAAAATAGCCTCGGAAAATGATTCCTTTCTAGAATTGCAAAATGATAATAAGACGCTTTCAACAAAGTGATTGGACTAAATAAAGAAAATCTTGAATCAATTTCATTTTTCTATTCGCTCTTCTGATGTTTGTTGGGATCTTCATTTACAGTTTTGTAAGGTTATATATGAACCTACTATTATTTTCAGAATAAGCCGCATAAAAGAATTCGCGCCGGTAATTTTTAGTTAAAAATTAGGTTACAAAGTTGAAGATTTTGGGATTCAAGATTGCAAATGCAGTTTGAGATGCTGTGTAAAAATTAAAATGATCCTCTCCCTAAAATTAATTCTGCCTAAAACACGGAGCAATGAATTGTTACCACTATTAACTCCTCAAACTTGGGTCTTCAGGGGTAAATATTTGGCAGTCTACCCTTGTACTTTTAAAATTCCAAGTTTATCTTTTCTCAATTGCTCGTCAACCAACAAAAGATCAGGTATGAATAATCTGTTGGGAAGCAAATTGATATTTAACCATGAAATAGCCAGTCCCAAAATATTAACTAAAGCACTAATTTATATCTATCAGTAATACACAGGATAGGAAAGATGAAAATCAACATAATGCAAGATACCACGGAAGGAGAAACTTTATCTAATAATACAATTTAAACCATAGAACACAAAGTGAGTATGGAGTCTACTCTCCAGGTGCAGAGACACCTTGCTTCAGTCTCTCCTTTTTCATCTTTTTCTTTGAAACAGGCTTCTTTTTTCTTGGAGGGAGGGTCTTCTGTGCATACGTGTAGAGCACATAATTCCCAATGAGGAATGTCAACAGCAACCCACCAACAACCAGGAGGACAATTAAGCCTGGGTTGAATCCTTGGGATCCACCCTAAGTATAACAAAACAAAAAGCACTTAATTCGGCCATATCAGGGAGCACAAAGCAAAAAAAGAATTGGAAAATGAACTTATATAACATGTAACATGTAAATTATAGTTCTCTTCAAGGGTGAGTCGCTAATCATTTAAAATTTATAAAACTGTTGCTGCAGAACAGCCACATGATTGAACTTATTTGAGAATGATTGATCAAAAAGGTTACCATCCAATGGAAGGTGCAGCATTGTTGAGAAAGCTTGATTTTGACTCCTCAAATGTGAGGAGATGAACTTTAAAAAATAAAGTGCACACACTTACAACCATTGATTACAAAATCAATGACTGAGAAATGTGATAAAATCACATACACACATAACAAACTCTAAAGTTCAGTACAATAGCAACAGTGAGTTTCTAATTAATGGTTCTTATTTCAATTTATCCTCTAAAGTGTGCCCCTCTATGTTTAAAGAAATCAAACCCAATATGTCAAATTATTGATGTGAACTGCAATGCAATACATAGAACATTGCAGAAATTATAGAAATGCTTCTTGAAACTATATTGAAACAAGTCAAATTTTGAAACTAAGAGGAATAATAGATCTCATCCCAACATGATTCTTAAGAAAAATAGGATATTCTTAGTGGTCAAAACATTGAATATAGTGACATAACACTAGAGTCTCTTAGATTATATTTGAATATATGGCAAAATATGAAGGAAACATCAAGGGTACTAAGTTCTATCGTTTAGATTTTTTAAAATAGGATGGAGTGGAATGGAACCCAATGGACATTTTATTCTACCAAATAAACTCTCTTTCTACCAAATCAACTCATTCCATTCTATCATAAAATCTTCAACAACATTATTCCACCCAGACAAAACCCATCATTTGCTGATCACGTGATGAAAATTGTTTAAACCACGTGTTTTTTGAAGTTGAACCCAACACAAACCATTTGCTGTGTAATACTGCTATCAACGTTAACATACATAAAACGTCAATGCAGTGAATAACAAATAAAATGGAAAATGATACTTTTACAACCAAATTCATTAAAATATCACCACTCATTAAAATTTAACCTACACAACAACGCTTGACATCACGATTCCCGAAACGTTGCCCCACCAATTCACAATATTAATGCAAGAAACCATAAAATTGCTTAATATAATAGTCACGAATATAAACAGGAAAAAGATATTTTGACATCACTATTCACATAAACAATTCTCTGCATTTTATATTATAATAATAATTTTAATTATTTTTTATTTTTATTTAAATTCTTATAACTACATTTTATATTATAATAATAATTTTAATTATTTTTTATTTTTATTTAAACTCTTTGATGATTATTATATTAATAAAATGGATTGTTTTTTTGAGATGTGAAAAGATCATCACCCTATAAACAATCCGAAAATCATAAATAAATCGTCAAAATTGAACATGACATTTACCTTATCAACTTCCTGGATGAAGAGCTGAACAATATTTTTTTTAAGAAAGAGGAATCCTAATTTAATTTTCACTGAATTTATAACAATAGAATCGCTAAGAATTTGGAGAATTGAAAAAGTCAGGGACGGATCTTCGTCAAGAAGATAAAAGAAATTAAGGAAAATGCTAATGATTCCATAATTCCAAGGATCTGAGAATAAAACACGACAGGACCACATGAAAGGTTCGATCCATAACTTTAAGATCTAATTAATCCGTGAAAAACGTGGGAGGAGGAACATTGCGCAGGAATCGATTAAGATGAGATGCAAGTAATAAACGATGATGAAATTAAAAGTTTGCAACAGTATTTGGAAATGTACCACTCGGTCGAACGCAGGAGGAACTTTATCTGCGAACTCGAAATCATCGGCCATGGCTGAAGCAGAGAACTCGTGTTTCTGCCAAAACAAACGGAGATTGAATGCAAATTTTACGGCACGCGTTTTAAAAGGATCCAGAAACCTCACGCGGTTCACATGTTTCTATAATTTTCACCCAACGAAATCGATTCGCGTTTTTTTTTTTTTAATTAATTAATTAATTAATTTTTAACGAGTGAGTATAATTTTTGAATTTATACCATGATATTCTGCTAGTCCTTGAAATTACGAAAATTAACTTCTTTTTTTATTCCTTTAGAGTTTTATTTATTTACTTACTATTTTTTATTAAAAATTCGAAACTATAACCCACATATATTATTATACCATGATTTCTGCCTCACGTTTGTAAATCAATTGGATAATGATATGTTTTTTAAAAAATAGAAAATATTTTTAAAATAGAGAATTTTAAGAAATATTATTATATAAAACAAGTTAACTTCTTATGTGTTTAAAAAATTTGTCAAATGACCATATCAAATAGCACTCAATGTTTATGGTAAAATGTCAATGGTATCTTAAACTGATTTTTAAAGGTAAAAATAATAATTTCAATTAAAAGAATTAAAACAAAGAATATTTAATAAGAATTAAAGTAAAAATTCTCAATTTAAAATTTGGGTAATCCATTTTTATAACCTACCTAATCATATTTTCTTTTCTAAAATAATATAATTTTAACTGATGTTTGACTTTTGATTGCTGAAATTCTTTTGTTTTATTACCACTTTTGAATGAATATGAGAAAATTAATATGTTTGGAGCTTAACAATTACTTTAAGATAAATGTGACATATTTATAGTCAATTAAAAAAAATTCCCTGTAACAGTTCAAAATCTATGCATATTATAAATACATACATAAAATGAATGAATAAATAAAATACAAATTCCATATATATATATATATATATATATATATATATATATATATATATATATATATATATATATATATAATAAAGTTTCTAGATTTATTCTTAACCCCATGTAATATATGATTAAGCATATCATCGTCACTATTAAAAAATGGTAAATTAGTAATTTAATTTATGTATGTACAATTTAATTATGAGATAAAATAATATAATTTAACTTACAGCTTTTATATATCACATCACATTCGTATTAACTTGTCACACTACAACTTTCTAAGTGTATAATATAGGATGCTCAATTTGTATATACACTCACATATAACTGGGATAAATTTATAAATAACTTATCAAGATACAATTTTTTTTTTATGATGTAGGCTAAGTTATTAAAAATCTTCTTCAAATCTAACCACCTGGTACTTTTATTTATATGATTTCAGCAATTAATAGAGTTAAAATATTTCCTCAAGTTCAAAATCAATATATATACATACAATACTACAAACATGAGGATACCTTTTAATAATTGTCAAATCACAACACAATATTTTTCAAGGCAACACACCTCATATTATGTTTATAAAATATATTTTAATATCTTAATACATATACATATCATTTCTCCCATTATAACAATTTTTTTATTTAACTTTTACCTACTCTTTTGACCATAACTCTTTTTGTAAGCATCATTTTCGACTAATTCTTATTTTATTGGATCCCTTATTTTTAGGATTTCAATTTACATATAGGAATTTTTAATTTAGAGTTCATAACTATTTTTTATGATTTGTTGAAAACAATTGATTGAATTTAAAAGGGTTGAGGGAATTTCAAATCAACTAAGCAAAAATTAAATGATTGAAATTTTGGCAAAATGGAATCTCTAACATTACCCAAAATTCGTTGGGCAAAATTCAAAATGTTGAACGAAATTTAAACTCTTTCAACACCGTCTTAAATTCGCTGAATGAATTTAGATCCGTTGGACGAATTCATAATTGTAACAAGCTAAATAATATGTTCAAGATCCTATTTCCAATGTTCCAAATCGAAATCTAAACATTATCCTCCAAATAGTAAATCAACTCCCTAAATTCAATTTAAAAGCAATACTTTCATACAAAAAACTATCATTTTCAATCTCATAGAAATCAATTATATATTCACAAACAATACAATTATCACAAATCAAAACATAACAATCACATCATTCAAATCAATGTGATCAAGTCACTTTCAGAATTAAGATCTCCTAACCTAAAGTACTATGAAAATGGAAGAATAATTAATCTTACTCGCCTCAAATACAATGTCTCTAAGTCAGATAATCATAAAATTTCCTAAATTTTCAGGAAGATAAATTCTGATCATAGAATATCTTAATTAATAAATTGAGCATATTACAATACCCATAAACTAATCAAAATTCTTTTCACAACAAAATCTACATGAAAGTTCCAGAAGACTTACATGTAAATCTACACTCAATTATGCAAAAATAGTCTAAAATAAAAAATAAAAAAAACTTACTTTATTGAAAATTATGATCTCCTCTCCATTAAAAGCATTAAGAGGTATTTGGATCTAAAACAAATAAGAATGGAAGTAAGAAATTAAGAGAAAAGAAACAAAATAAAAGTTAAAGAAAGTATTAAGGCGTGTTTTCTCACTATTTTTTTCCTATGCACTTCTTTCCTCTTCCCCTCACCTTCTTCTACACCAGACGCATCATAAATTTAGATTTGATTTTAGTGTACTTTTGTGTATTTGAAATGACTAAAAGTTTCTCAATTCTGATTCCTCCACCTCTAAGAATCGTGTTGGTGTAGGATGGCTCAAAGAAGAACGAGTTAAGAATTTATTTAAAAACTTTAAAAAGAGATAAATGCAAGTAGGAGTGTTTTTTTTTAAGTGCAATTAGGATGATAATATTTATTTGTGGTACTAACAAATTAATAGATGAGAGTAATACTTCAGTAAGTTTTAAATTTGAACTCGGTAATGAAAGAAATGTTAAAAAAAATAAAAAATAAACTATAAGTACTCTGACATATTATATATATATATTATTTATTTAATTATTAAAGTACACTCTTAATCTCTCGCCTTTTATTTTTTTTAATAATTTTATGAATTAAAATATTACGAATATGCTTAATGATAATAATTTTTAATTTATATACATGGTTATTGTTGGACGATTATGAGTGTTTTTTTAATTTTATTTCTTAATTTTCTAATTAAAATAAAATACAGATAGTGGATGTATATATTAATGAATAGCTGATAAAAAAAATTGTAGATTAAAATTATTTATTTTGGCACTTACTACATTAAATAGGAGTAATTTTCAAAATAGTGGCTAAATACAGTATTATGACCTTTAAAACAATATTTTTGTGTTTTTAATTTTGAAAATCAAAATATAAAGTGATAAAATATTTTTTATTATTAATTTTTATTGATAATATTTATATCTCCATCAATAATTATGTTATTTTTATTGTTGTAAATAGTGTGAAAATCGCAAACCGTGTCTTAGTTTCATGTGATTTGTGTTATGGTCTTTTTTTTCTTCTAAATTAAACTAATTATCATATTTTATTTCTAACTTTTTCTATAACATACCTTTTGCAAAATTAATTATTGTGATTAAAAATAAAAAACAAATTTAAATGAATATACCCTAATCTTCCTGTTATCATTTGCACATAGAGATTTTATTGCAGATTACCCTAATCAATAACACTTTTATGTATTTTTTTTTAGACAATTAATTAATCTAAAATAATATTGTGCACATGTGATGAGATATTATTCATGTGTAAGAAATACTTACCTATAGTTTTTTCTAATACAAATTGGTTTTTCTGTTTTTACTATTGTTTTCAAAAGCAGTGGGTGTGGACAAAGAAAATATGGAGAGGGCAGGGTAGGCTTGAAGTAGGTGCAAAACCATCGTTCCATTCATGTAATAAGAACAAAGAAGGCAGACATAACACGAATAACGAATTTTCGGGTCATACATGCCAACAAAAAGCAATGGAACAGTCTGATGGGGCTGTCGATTGCTTGTGTATTCTTGAAACCCCACTTGTGAGGCAACAACACCACATCATAGTAGGGTCCCTCTGTGTTTATCTTCTTCCTACCTTATCTACCTAACTAGTATTCCTCAAGACAACAAACTCATTAACTAAGCCTTCACATTTGGTTCCAATAAGAACCTTCCTATCTCTTCCTTTTTGTTGCCTAAAAGACAAAAAGGAGATGGAAGAAATCAGAATTCACATTTGCACCAACTAGCTCTCTCATTATGCGTTGATTAACATACAATTATTTGGCCATGACATGTTATATCGCATGTGGCGGCTGGTTACATATGGATCATAGCTTTTTGCTCTACTTTGCTACTATTTTTGAGTATTGGCCGTAACTCATTCTTGGTGGATTTCTGAGGCCACAGTTTTAGCCCAGAACCGAAGATGTTTCTTCATATTGGAAGATGAACAACGTTTGGGAATTTTTAAGTTTAGTAGCGGTGAATCGGGTCTCTTTATAAGCCATGCCTCTGATAGATATGGTCTCATGATATCTCTCTTTTCTTCCTCTGCTTCAATAAAATCTCCTTCAACAGTTTCTTTGCCATTCGTTACACCAAGTCTCTGCAAGCCGGGCACAACGCTCATCATTCTTGGGCTTAGATATTCTTTGTTGAATGTGAAACCAAGATCCATAAAACCCTTTACTTCATCAAGTTCTAGTTCCCCAAATGTTCTGCAGCTTATGGACTTCTGCAGTTTCCTTGCACAAATAACTGGTTTAATTAATTTTCTGCGACGGTCTTGAGTTGATGGTGAGGATGAGTGTGAGCGAGTTTTGTTACCCAACAAAAGCTCCATTCTACCCAATCTTTCCTTGGTTTCTTCTTCATTGTTGTTTGATCCATCCTTTGTGGCATTAAGAAAACATAAACAGTAGAAAAAGAAAGAATGGTCATGACATGAATCAAAATTGAACTCATAATATATAGAATTGATTGAAAGACCAACTCTAACTGCTTTTCAATTATACCTGAAGAGGCACAAATATTGATTTTGATGAGAGTTGTTTCACTGAAGAAGGTGATTCATCCGTTGAAGTTTCTTCATCTGGTGGCGGTGGTGAAGAAATAATGGATGATGAGCAAGAAATAGATTCTGAAGTGGTAATAGGTTTTTCTTCATCTAGTGGAGATGGTAAGGAAAGAACTGATGCTGTTGGACTTGGTTGTGAGAAAAAAATGAGTTTGTGAAACCAAAGACTATCCATTTCTTCTTCTATAATGCATAGAAAGTTTTTGTTTTCCATTGTTTATGTTTGTGTGTGTGAGAGAGAGATATTTGGGTATGGAAAGGCTTAATACTTGGTGGCTGAAGGGAGTAGTGGCCTGTCGGCAGGTGTGGTGGTGGTGAAAAGAAAGAGAAGTAGAGAAGCGAGTGAAGGCAAATGAACGTGGAGAAGTGTGTGGGACAACCTTAGACAACTAAGGATGTGGTCACCATGGACATGGGACATGGATTCTAAACTCCACAACTCTATGCTGATGAAAAGACTGTTCTGTCCATGCTTCGAAGGAGAATACGATGCTCTATGCATGTCAAATCATATGCTAGAACTAGTTAGATCTACCATGTTGAGTGGATTCACAATTGGTCACTAGCATGAGATGAGACCAAGCCAAGGCAAGGACCCAAAGAAATTGTTTCTCGTTAAATCCAAAACTTTCTCATAGTTTGTAAAAAGAGAAAATATATGAAGATTTGATCCAAACATGGATTCGGCATCTTAACATTACAGTTGTCATACCAACAAAATCTGATTTGCAAGCTGGTTAATTTTAATATAGAGTCAGGAAGGGGAATACCGACATGGAAAGGTATTAGTAATTGCATGATTGGTTTCACCCAGAGACACCAGTGATGGGTTAAAAGCCATTGTCAAGAATAGTGACAAAAAGGCAAATTGTTTTATTATCACACTTGCAGTCTTCTCATTCTGGATGTGCTCAGGTGACTGCTTATTGACCTTTGGACGCAACCAAGCAAATTCATCCTGGCATATCATGACTCCCTGTTCTCACCTAATACGACAGGTAAATTAACTTTACAAGAGGATTTTCATTTTTATATGTTTTTAAATTCCCTTCAACAATCTGAGGAGGTTGATATTGCGGTTAAGAACCTTAAATTTACAAACGATTATTTAATGGAAAATTTCTTGTTCAATGCTGGTGAGCAGTGTGATTAGGCATCAGACAAGATTAGTTTCTTAACTAGTTCAGAAAAATTGATTTACCCTTCTATAAATATCTTGAGATTCAGCAGAAAAGTAAAAAAAATTATAATTACAAGGAGTAATACATGTCGTCATCTACTGCAGCTGTATGCACATTAGATTTTACTATATAAGGGGAACAAATTAATGCATGGATCCAAGAGATTGAAACTTCACTACTAATTATGTCCCCAAAATGAATCTGATGTCCAATAATCCATACTACTGAAATTTGTAATCCATGTACCCCAAAATGTTCATTTAGCAATTCTAATTACACAACACTAGGTATACTTGATGAGCTTGCCTTTGTTTTCACCGTATGGTCTAATTCTTCCACAATTTCTCCTTCATTAGAGGAACGAATTCCTTCACATAGTGCGGAAGCAAACTCAGGGGCACTCTTTTTTCCTTGGCTCCATTCTGAGGATATATTTATGTGCCTAAAACTAAAAGACTTCACCATTTTTTGTTGCTTCCTCCTTCTCTGCCTCACCTCGACATGCCACTGCCTCAGAATTTTAGCCAACGCTTTGCTCTTCACTTGTGAACCCATCTGTAACAATCCAATATTAAGACACCATTTACCCCACTTGAGATAGGGAACTACTGAGTGTCAGTTTTATATCACAATGGGAAATATCAATGAAGATACAAATGTACACTAATTGTTAGGTAAAACTAGTGTCGTCTCCAAATCTTGGTATGCCTAGAGTAATAAAAATTAGCCTTTGCACTTAAGTTTTACAACAAACTTGCTTTTAAGATATAAGCATATAAATGTAAGTAACTTCACTTTTTTATAAATGTTCACCAAAACAAACTCTGACACTATTACATCTATGTCTCTATAGAGTTTACCTGTGCCACTAGTGCATAGAGGGGAAGAGTAACATAACTGCATAGGACTTGAACTACCACCCTGTGGAAACAGTAAATCAAAATGTCATCGATGATCAAGAAAATTCAGTCCAGGAGGATCAACATGCCAAAAGAAAAGAAATTATAATAAACTGTTGGCTGTCATTACGCTATCACCACCCTTATGATTGTAAATGTTCTGTGTTCGTGGTAGCAAGAATTTATTCCGAACTGTGTCTGGCAACAAAGAAAATAACAGAGAAATAGTGTTATCGTAATACTTATTTGGATCAATATTTCTGATGTGGACTTGGCAAAACAAAAAATTCTCATGTTGATTTTTTTTTAGCTAGTAGAAAGACAACTTACTGATACCCATATAAAGAAGGCAAGCTCGAATGCATTCTGTTAGGATCAAACTAAAATATCTCAGTTTAATAAGTGATGAATTGTGTCATCATGGATATCACTGCCATGATTCGTGTCATATATATGTGCATACATAGAAAGAAGGTTTACCACGAATAAAGTGTAATGTAGAAGTGTTAATACAAATCCCGGATGGCCAAACCAGAAGAATTTGTCACTTGGACAAACAAGTGGGGTTCCCTTGGTTACATTATTGACATCTTTCATCTGAAGAGCCATTTCGTCGACAATGACTTCAAGTTTAGCTCCCACAACCAGAACCACCTGTAAATAAAATGCAGGAAAGCTGAACTAGAAGCCATGTATTCATTATTAATGAGGAGAAAAGAAGATGCAACATGCTTGTTACTCACCAAGAGGGGAACATAGGATAACCAGAGATACACATGCCAGCCTAATATAGTTCAAATAGAGAAAAATAACTTTAGACAGAGAAAACCATTTTAAGAAATGGATATGAGTAAAACATTCTAACCATGTACATCCACGAGCAAAAAAATAACAACAGTGAACCACATCACAGGGCTGCAAGGGAACACACATAACATGTGATTAGATGAGCACAACACAAAGACTCCAGTTTTATCTGAAATCATAGGTTGCAATTGGATGAATGAACTAAAATTGGGTTGGCAAGTAACAAACCTAATGCTCACTATGATTCTGAAATCTTCCTCAAGTGACTGTTCAATGTAATTTTGGAAATCGAAGTTGCTGTTTCTAGCTGAAAAGTGAGCCTGAGAGATGCATGGAACATCTTAATGAAAGGTTTAACGAAAATAATAGCAATAATAATCATAGACTTTGATGTGTTATATGTACTCAACTGATATGAAACCATGCCTCAGGGTGAGATAATCAACCTTTTCTACTGAATGAAAGAACTGTCTGAAAAAACATTTCTGTCCAAATGTCACAAATTCATAAACAACGTTAGCCATAAAAAAAGTATGCCCGCGACCTTGATTTTATCAATGGTTCAAATGTGTCAAAATAAGTTTTATCTAAGAAGAAAAAAAAAAGGCTTACTATCCAAACAAATACTGGTGATGCAGTAGTAGTTGATATGTGCCGTCTTCCGAATGTTGTTTGCGTAGTGTATCTGAATCTATTAGGGTCTGCTTGTGAACCATATAAACGTTTAAAGGGTCAATTAACCAACAAAAAACGTCAAAACACGTTGTCTATTTTACAATGCCAAATGAAATAGATAGGAAACAAATACATGAAGATGGAATGATTAAAAAAAAAAACTAAGAAAAAGACACACAACCTTTGATCTGATTAATCATGATAGTAGAAACAAATGACGACATGGAACACGCTACCGAAAGTTAACATTTATCAAATCATTGATTTGATTTTGAAAGTGAAATATTACTACAGAATGGGTAAAATCTCTAGCTGACCTTTTCACACACAAATTATTATTCTCGTATGAGATTTTATTAGAAAGAGGTATAGTTAAAAAATTTCTATGACTAATTAATACTCAATTATTTTGTAGGGATGATTAAGCAGAGCAATGAGCATCATTGTCATCGCTAGTTCAACGTCAAGTCTTGATAATGATAACAACATAAAAGTGGGGCTTTCGGAAAAACAGCGTTTCGAGTCAGAGCCATTAAAATCTTTGGCCCAGAAGTGGACCTAATTTGAGAAGTAGTCTTAACGCATCTATTACGCCATTTCGTTGAGATAAAATAAAATAATAAAAAAAAAACATTAAAGAGAAAAAGTAAAAGGAGAAGATTAAATATTAAAAATAATGAACGAACCGATGATAAGACCCTTTCACTCATCATAATTAAAATACAATGGTAACCCCTTTTTATTATTATGCTTAATTTTAATTTATTCTTAATTTTTTTTACATTAGATATATATTTTGATGACATTTTAATTAAATTTTGAATAAATTATTACCACATTATTATTATTATTATTATTATTTCAAGTAAATACAAGAATCCTCTTTATTTATATAATTTATATACTTTTTTTAGAGGAATTATTTATATAGTTAGACTACCAATTGCTTACATATCTTACTCTTCTATTTTCTTTTTACTTCTAGAGCAGTAATATAAAATACATACACTTTTTTTTTCCTTCTATATCTTACTCTTTTATTTTCTTTTTCGATCCTATTATTCAGTACATTTGTTTATATATATATATATATATATATATATATATATATATATATATATATATATATATATATAACATTTTAATTAACTTTTGAATAAATTATTGCCACATTATTAATATTATTTCAAGTGAATACAGAAATGCTTTTTAAAATACTATAATTAGAAAAATATTAAATATGTTCAAAGATATCAATATACATTTTAATATTTTCTAAAACTTATTATTCATATGTAAAATGGTCTTAAACTTACTTAAAACTCATTTATTTTAAGAAAAAAATATAATATATTCGATTCTTAAAAAATTATAATATTAATGTACTTTTTATTCAATCATACCCCATCAATGTTATCAAAACAATTAAGAACTAGTATACTGTTATCATACCCATCGATTCTTAAATATGACTTTTTATTCATAAAAAAGTCACCCCAAATTGAACGATTAAGAATTAATATTTCAAAATTCAGAACTAGTATACTGATAATCAAAATAATATAATTGGTCATAGATTTTTGGGCTCCTGTATCAATGTAGGCTATGGCTTGGATAATCTTGTCATATTTAGACGGAAGAATTTAAACTTCTAAACAAGATTGAGGAGGAGAGACATTGATGAGATGAGATTCTTGGAATAATATTTTTTTACTTATGTCAGTAAATTTCATGATAAATTGTATCAAAACAAGTCATAAACTCTCACGTAAGAGGATTTTAATAAATGAATATTTCATTAAGTGATTTGTTTAAAAACAACTTTACCATTGGCAATTTCATATTCGATTGTCTGAGTCTCTTCATCCCAAGCTTTCCAGTGCCTCATCTGCATGTGTGATTCAAATCATATTCGAGAGTCAAATATAAGAATTCATCGCCAAATAAATTTATGAATTACAGTTTGTTTTTATGTGAATACTTTTATCAACAAACTATCACATATAAGCTTAAGTAAGAAAAAAATTAATAATTTTATAACCAAAAAGCTTTCAATTTTATTTAACTAAAAAACGGATAAACAATAATCAATCTCCAAATCACAATATCGTGAATGGAAACAACATAAACAATTCATATTAAATATGTCCAATAATTTATTATATTTTTATTTTAAATAAATTATTACTACATTTTTCATTTATATAATTTTTCTTATTTTTTTTAATTAAAATTCGTATAAAATGAGGTTTCTAATAGATTTTCTTATGAATTTTTATAAAGTTTCATGAAAAAACAAAATCTCACAATAGTGAAGGATGGGAAAATAATGTTTGATAAATCAGTGCATCTCATTGATATGTATTGCGTCGAAATAAATTTTAGTGGTTCAAGTTTATATATATAATAAGTATGATATATATTTAGAGATAAGTTCATGTATTTTATGGTTGTTAATACTGTCCAAATGCTAACCATCGTTGTTAAAAATATATATTTAAAATAATTATACATTAAAATACAAGTTTTGAAACAATGAATAGTATCTTATGTAAGATGCTATTAATTCTATTTATATCAAGGGGAATACATACTGTCATCATGCATGTTTTTTTTTAATACCATCCATTGTTTGCATTTATTATTCTTTGTTTGAATTTGTTTCATAGGAGCACATATAGTGTTTTTTTTTTTTTTAATGAATGTGGAACTAATGTGAGGTTGAAATAAAAGAGTAGTAGTTTGCAACAGTAGTTAAAAGGATAAAAGTTTTAAAAGAAGTAAAAACCAATTCCTTTAATTGTCATTTGTTAAAGATATAATAATGAAATGTATCACAACTCTAATTATACATTTTATAATTGTATATAATGTTAATATTAATGCATGGTCTTATCTCAAATACTTCAAGTGCCACTATGAACTTGAAAACCTCCAGAAAGCAGACGAGAAAGTAAAAACTCAGATCTCAGGCTCTCCCTGATTCTTACCTTAGCCCTTGCCAGTGACACGGTCAGAAAACTGTACACAATTTGCATGACAGCAAGAACAAAAATGAACATATGAAGTTGATGGATTCCATGTTTTGACACTAAAGCAACCTTATTAGCCTGCATGCAAATGGAGTTAACTTTGATCAAGAGTGAAAAATGAGTACTACTGGTATCATCTTTTCTTAATCATCATATAGAATTGATCACGTAGAAAAGTGGTTAATCATATCTATTTACACATACATTTTTGGCACTGCAAGAATCCAAAATTGCAGTATCATTGGTAGTGCGTTTTCGACATGGAAGCATAGTATCTGCAGCCCTCACTGGTATGCAGATTTCTATTATAGTGTTTTGAGTTACTGTCAACAAAAGCGACATGAACCCTAAGATCATTAACTCTGCACAAAACACCCAATTATGAGGGAATTAAACCTTATTCAAATTTCATAATATAAATTATTTTGCCTATTTATAAAGTAAAAAAATAAACAACACCACACATTCATCTATTAACCTGATTTAAGCCTCTCTATTGCTTCAACCAAATCGCTCTTCCGATGTTTCCTCAACCACTGTAACCATATCCATATTATCAGGTACTATGAAAAAAATCAGATTATATAACGTAACAAAAAGGGTAAGTATAAGGAGCAATAAGGTTCTGACTTTGATTATAAGATGAATGAGATGCTCCAAGATGATTGAGAGTGAGATAAGAAGTAAGGAAACAAGGGCAATTGCCCATGTTGGAGTGTGTTGTAAAGAATAACCAGACGTTGCCATGTTCATCACCAAGTTCTGGTTAATGTTTTGTACCGGTGAGTCTTTCTATTTATAAATTTATTCAAGGGACCATGAACGTGTCTCTCTCTCACATATCACTCTCATTAGTTTTCAAGGTTGGACAAATTTTCAATCTACTCACATGCTTCTTAATACGCGCCACTCGTGTCTTTTCATGATTGTTGTTGATAAAAAATCATTAAGTTATGTCTATACGTGACTTTTTTATTTTTTTTTCGAGGATTTTTCCACGGAAGCACCTTTGAGGCACAACCCTAGACGGTTCATTTCGAGACTCCTGTCAACTGAGGAAGCTTAAAAAGAACTTCTTCTGTGAAGACACAAGTCAATAATAAAGCTTTCAAATCCAATTGCATGTGATCCTATTATAAACTAAAGAAATATCCAATTATATTAACACTACATTCACTTGTTTTATTTTCCTTATCTTTTTTAATCCTTGTGTACACATCTCCAAAATATTTTCTTTTATAAAGACTTAACAGTATTTAGTTTCACAATAATTATATGATTTTGGTTTCGTAATTTCACTTGAACAAACTTGATCCCTTATAATATTTTCATTCACAATCATGTTCTATCCGAAATAAATATTAAATAAACTTTATTTATATGATAATTGACACGCTAATGTTAAAATGATACGACTATATTTATCTATTCTACTGACATTTGTATTAATGGGGTATTCATATTAACATAATGAGTAATTGTTTATGGAAAAAAAATGAAAAAATAATTCACGAGAGAAATATTAAATTTTTACATTAAATGTTTATATAACGTCATGATAATTTATGTGTATGGTTGATATACATATATGTCACATGATACCAACATGTTGTTAACATCAACATGATGTCATGATGATTTATATATCTAATTGATATATTTATTTATTTACACAGTTAGACTAGATAAATTCACACATTGAACAAAATTTATGAGAAAAGTTTTGAAAGTGGTGGAAATAAAGACTCAACCCCATTGAGCTCTAAAATAATATTGGTTAAATCATTAAACTAATTACATTTATATAGTTACAAAAATTATATTATTTTAATAATTATTTATACGTATAATTAGTTATTATTATTATAATTAATTTTTTAATCATGATATTAATACGAATTATTAATGGCTGGGAACAATGAATAACATGATAAAAAATTTGACTAAAAAAACAATAAATTGTGATTGAAATTTCGATTACCAAATAACTAAAATTGGTTATAATCATCTGGCATTAGTTTTTTTTTTTTATATCCATAATACCGAATAAGATGGAATTAATTCCGTGATCAAATAATTTCTAATTTAGTGACGAAATTATTAACTAAAACAGTGATCGAATCCAGACTCACAGGAAGGACCTTTTTCTGCCCAATGTGCTAACAAAATGCTTGGTTTTCTTTTGAACTCTTGCCCAAGTGGGTATGGTGAGCCAGTGAGATTAGAGTAGTGTCTTTGGAAAAGGTCATATGGTGCTTATGCAAGCCCGCAAACAATGGATTATACATCATATTACTGCGCACACCACTCAGGTCATGGGCGAGATCCTTAAGTCGCACATGGCTTAGTTGGCAAGTTCTCAACATCTCTTGGATTACACCAACTATGGGTTGGGTAAAGTTTAATGTTTATGGAGTTGTTAGACAAGATGAGCATCAGCCTGGCGTGGAGAAGTCTTAGACAACTCAGGATTTTGGCTGGAGGGTTGTCATCGCAGTCTGGGATCAAGTGATATCTTTATACACAGAATTTTCAGTCATTGTCACTACTTTACTCATTGAAAAGAATTTTGGTAATGTCATTCTGGAGACTGATTCGCTCACCGATATACATCTCATATTGCTCTGCCCATCTGCTTCTACTATCAGGCTTATCCAAGCTGATCTTAACCTTAAGGGTTTTGTTGGTTTTTCCCACACGCTTCAGCAAGAAAAAGAGACATACATAAATAATCCAATAACAAAAACAATCATTCATCAATTATTATTATCAATATAATAATAATAATAATAATAATAATAAAGAAAATATTCATATTCTTACTTTTCTCTCATTCAAAAATTGTCTAAATAAATATTTATTTGGAATGAATTGGCAATGAATGATTTTTCTTTTACAAATAATTCTAAAACTATTACACGTTTTTATCTTGTCTACTTTTGAAGATTTCTGGAGGAAATTATAAAAATAACATTTTTTTAAAAAAGGAAAAGGACAAAACCATGTTAACATTTTCATAATTATTTATGAAATTAGAAAAACAAAACATTTTCTCCTGTCAAACATAAGTAAATTAAGAAGAAAAAAAAAAACAATTTCAAGGCTTCGCGTAATTGAGATCAAAATCGAAAACAAACATTGGCATAAAGTTGCATTCCAGTTACAGCATTTCCAAAAGCAAGTTTGTTTCCTCCATTTTGAGGGATGTCGAAATATATATACAATGATATTAATTATACTACAGTACAAGTTATTTATCCTTTGTATCATCAGCCAAAGCAGATGATTTGCAGATAGGGCATAATTTCTTCATAGATAACCACTTTTTAATGCAGCTCACGTGGTAGTCATGTCCACAAGTTTTAAGTGTTCCAACATCGTCCATGTTCTTGTACTCTTCCTGCATTTTCAATAAAATTTGTTAGCATCCCATTAATGTTTATCCAAAAACATGTAAAATATTTATCATGAATGGGAGAATAAAAACATACCAGACATATAACACAGTTTCCTTCGTCCTGACCTAGCTCAGATGAACAATATATTGTTTCCATCAAACATTTGGAAAACAAATCCTCAGAGAGTCCTGTATTCACATAGCCGATCCTCTCACCAAGTGCAAGTAGGTCCTGGTCAAACCAATTATCAAAATAATTAGAAATTTTGTGAAAACATAATATTAATTGTAACACAAGAAAACTGTAATAAATTTATAATCACCTCATAACTCATGTTATCTATGTCCATTCTCATTTCTCGGTGCTGATCAAGCATATTCCTGGAACCATACACTGATGCACGCTCAACAAGCAGGAAACCCTGAAAGCCAACAAAAAATACAATAAAATAAATAAATGAGTCGCCAGTAGTAGTAACGCGAGAAAGAACAATTTAGCTATTCTCAATGAATAAGTATTGCAACTAGTTCAAAGGAATATATTGAACTAATCAGTTTAGAATTTGCAAATAAACCAAGCATCCCTATTCAAGGTTTAACACTGGTGCAGAGGCAAAAACAGGTCTTCCAAAATTCCAGACATTATACATATATATATATATATATATATATATATATCCTTCCATAAACACTGACATAAAAACAGGAGTTCCTTGAGATACGGGCAAAGATACCTCTGAGGTAGATCGTTCGTGGAGACCACTCTCCTCAATCAATGACCTATATCTTTGACTAGAAATTCTTGACCTCCCATTTCTATCACCATTCCGCCAGCCAAGGGTGCTCAATGGCCTTGGATGTCTAGAAGAGTAACTTTCAGCTACCATAGGCAACCCATCATCCAAAGACGTCACATGTCCCAAGCGCAAGCTGGAAGAAGCCCTAAGAGTTGGAGTGGATCTTTGAGAATAGTTGCTTTGAATTCCCCTTGCAGTCTGAGTTTGATTATTTTGAAAACTTCGAGGAGGAGTAGGATTTCTGTTTGCACCAAATTCATGATGGAAGCACCCAAAATCTACAGAAGCATTGCTAGCAGTAGCCCCACTTCCAACAGGGAAATGACTAGTCTCGAAAGCAAAAGCACTTGTATCTGCATTCCAAGTCAGCTTTCTCAAATATAAAGGCAAAGAGAATGGTATGTGCATGTATTGATACTAATATTTATCAACGGCAAACTAACCTGATAACAAGACCCTTCCATTAGTTGGAGATATGTTCATTTGGCTCCAATCCCTTGTCATTGTAGCAGAAGTCTGACCAGAAATATCCACCAAACTAGAATGGTCAACTGGTGGGAGAGTAGGGTAGGAATCGTGTGAATGATTAGTTGATAAATGGGACCTAGTCAGGTTGGAATCCAAATCAAGTGCAGTGCGGCTTCTCACATTCCGCAAAAAACTCTCACCCTTTATTGACAGGCCAGTACCTCTGAATGTGGATGTCATAGTAAAATGATCCCAGGGCATATATTGAGAATCATTACTTGGCTTCTCCTGCCATAATTCCGAAGATATAGGAAGATCAGTTGAACTCCCAGCATTGAAGTATCTACTTGTACTGCCTCTCTCATAGACTGGAGGAATTCCAGGGCTCTTACGTTTGTGAGGGCCTTGTCCACTTCCCATTGTAAGATCAACAAAACCACCATCAACATGAAATGTTTGTCTGTCATAATTGGAAGAAGAAGGCTGGTGTACATAATTTTCTGACACTGTAAAGAATGCTCCAGCACTAGATGAATGCACAAAATGATCATTAGAAGTGCCCGATGCATCTGACTGATGAGGAGGCACATCAATGTTGTGACCTGAGGATGCATATCCATTTGACCTTGTGGAAGAGTTCCAATGTGAAGGGAAAGATATGCCATCTATAGACATATTGTCTGCAGGATAAGCAAAAGAACCATTCTCTGAAGTGCTAGTTCTACCTGCAATAGTGATCTGTCTAATATAAACAATATGGTGCGGATGTAATCAACTAGCAGAAATGAGGCACATGTATTTAACATTACCAAGGTGCACATTTTGTTGATCAGTGTGCATATGATTCCAGTTTTGGTCAGGCTCACCCTCAAACAATGGAGATGTGTTATAGAAGTGTCTATGCCCCATAACTGTCACTTGAAATCTCTCTGTCAAAATAGACACTGTAGTCGAGTCAGATCTGCAAATAACTCACAACCTGAAAGACAAAAAGAGCATCTAAACTGAAGTTCAATATCAAAACTAAAACTTAACAATCATAGCTGCTTCCAATCCACAACAAAATTTGCGAGAGTAAAGCTTTATCAAGACTGTAGTCTAGACAATAATATAATTGTTATTAAATACTTAGTGGAAACTAAACTACTCTGGTTGAAACATGCTCAATTGAACTTCCCAAACCTTGCATTGTGTACAATACTTATTGCCCATACAAACCTATTCAAACTAATAATGAAAGGAAAATCCCAACGCACAGCTGAAAGACTTGCCTAGATGCTAAATTGAATGCAGACACTTATAGTGACAACTCATGTATTGCATGTAGAACCATATTTGTTATTAAATGCTTAGTGGAAACTAATCTACTATGGTTGAAACATGCTCAATTGAACTTCCCAAACCTTGCATTGTGTAGAATATATATTGCCCATACAAACCTATTCAAATTAATAATGAAAGGAAAATCCCAACGCACAGCTGAAAGACTTGCCTAGATGCTAAATTGAATGCAGACACTTATAGTGACAACTCATGTATTGCATGTAGAACCATAAGTAATAGAAGATATGTTGACCAAGCATAGTTTATCAGTAGATGTTTGGATTAGAGTTTTTAAATTTTATTTTGGTCTAAATTTTGTTTGGAGTAACTTGAGTTATATTTAGTCGCTTTTATCTCATATGAATTCAACAAAATGAAGGCTGTTAGGATTATATAAATCAGAAACACTTTGGAATTTTTGTCATTACTGAAAAAGATGTGAAATTTTGTAATAAAAATTGATGTGATGATACAATACTAAATTTTAAAGGTATTTTTGTCAAAACATATGCAAAGTGATACAATACTAAATTTTAAAGGTATTTTTCTCAAAACATATGCAAAGTGATCTTCTTACCGCAAAGTTTTAAGGGTTTTGCCTGAAGTGTGCCAAATATGATTGCCCCATGTCTAATTCTTAACACAAGCAAGATTTTGGTTGGTAAAACCAAACATGCTCTTGATCATTTGGAGATATTTGCACAGGGAAAGGGGAAGGGAGAGAATGCATAATAGATAAACATGCATATGAATACGTGATAGAGAGTAGGGTCAGAAATCAAAACACTCACAGGTTTTCTTGTTTTTTTAAAACTAAAGTTAATAGTTCTCATTATCACAATAGTGTGTCAGGACAAGAGACTAGGAAGAGTAAGTACTGACAGGGGAACAATACCTAGAGATGATGTAAGATGTGTATGATCAGAGTAGGTCTTCTCCTCAATATCCCTAGTAACTACAATTACATCTGGCCGGCCTTTTCTTTTCCACTTCCAGAATATACATAGTATAATACCACCATAGCCATTTCAAATCATTTAAAAATTCCATCAATTTCTCATACACTATTCATCAGGTTTCACCATAGTTTCTAGCCTTTTAAAAGGACAGGCAGAACTATTTAATTTTCCTGAGTAAACAAAGAACTACTTGATATATGCTTTTAGTATCGAGATTCAATATTATGTTTAATAAGCCAAGAGGACAATGCTCACGTCATGTACTATATCTATAAAATGCCATCACACGGCATGCATGAAAATTGAAGCATAAATAACGGCCATTCATATTTGGTCAAAAGTGGAGAAACAACACAAGCAATTATTTCAGGAGCGAAGGAATTCATAATCAATCTAACCAACTAGCCTCTTAAAACTAAATACTTCATACTCATGGTATCCTTAACCATAATTAATTACCAACTGCCCCAAAAACGTTCACTCACTTGAAGCCATTTACCCATGCCTCTATCCACTGATACAGAAAGAGCACCTTCTACTCTGAGGCAGAAAACAAAGAGGACGGAGAAAAATGAACATAACGGAAAAAATGACATAGCTGAGACTTAAATTAGATGATGGATCCACATGAATATCAGCAAGAGTTAGGATAAAGAGGAAGGATTGGAAAGTAGGATGACTAACAAATCAGATATTACCTGGGTAAGGTTTAGCAAGTTTTAGAAGGTGTTAGCTTTTTCTAATCTTTTCCTGCACTTGAAAATAATCATCAACAATGCACAAACATTGATCACATAGGGGGGAATACTCCTATCTATTGCCCTCTAATCAGTAAACAAGACAAGACCAAAGAAACAAACAAAATTAAGCAAACCCTAGGAACCACCAAAAAACAAAGAATATCTTACTCAACTTATTTTCTTTGGAAAAAAAATACAAAGCAATTAATAGTGAAAATTGCTTGAACAACAAAAATTAAATATTGTCTGTATTAGAGAAGGAGGTGTGAGAAAGAGAAATATAAATAGATGTATGTCTAGTATCTTAGCAGAAAAGTAGAGCAAAGCAGTTATAAAATAATAGTATAAAAACTGTTTCTACTAGACAGTAATTTTACTACAAGAAAAATCATTGAAGAGAACATTATACTGACACGGAGTAAACTCCAGCATTAATTGATATTATGTTAAATAGAAAAATATAAAATCAGTATGTAATACGCAGAAATTTAAAAGAATCAAAACCTGTCTTCCTCAGGGAAAGCAGAAAAAGCATCACAAAATTTCTTACCTTTAATATAAGCATTTTTTGTATGTCAGTGATCTCCATGTTTGGTTATGCTTACTTTTACGCTAATATAGCTTTTCAGTGGAAAGTTGTCTTGAGCATTTTTTATCATAAGTTGTTGTTAACACAAAGATAAATCCAAAAAACACTACACGACAAAGATGATAAAACTCAATGGAGAAAAATATTATTAAACTATTAATTATTGAAGACATCAAACATCAGAAAATAATATGTTAGACAAGCCTCACTTATTATTAAACTTTAGTTCAGATTTCTCTAAAATCCAAATAATAAATTACATCCAAACAGACAATCATGGGCGGATTGGGGCTTTGTATAAAAAAAAATGGAAATATTCAAATAAGTACAAATGCTTCAAGGTAGTACGGCCTATCTCCACATAGAAATTTTCTGTTTACCAAAATAATATTAACAATTCAAACTCGTTGCTATAACCAACTATTATAAAAACTCAATTGTTTGCCTTGTTAGGACCTTCCATCACCCCAGTAAAGCATGAGATTGAAAAATTAGGATATACAAGCTTGAACATGGATGTAAAATATTTTCCATCCCCCATAAATAGGTAAAGCAAAAGGAAGAGTGCCTGCAATCTTGTTAGGCTATCAGAACCTTGAAATTACATATTCATATCATTCCAGAACATTTATAACCATGAGTGAAGATCATATAACCAACTCATGCCTATCAAACAGGTTCCATGTCAATGAACTCATAGGTTCACATCGAAATAAAGAATCATGCAGCATTACACCAATCCCAACCATGAATTGTTGCATTACTAGAGAAACCAACCGTTCCCAGAACCAGAAGCTGAACTGACATAGAGGGCAGTCTATGTCATTTAAGAGAAGATGCATATCACTATAGCAGCCTCCTCCATTTATGGTATGCCCTAATGGTTCAAAAAGCAGTCTCCACAGTGCATGTTAATGTGTTGCGAATGCTCTATGAAAATTGTACTTCTTTACTCATTATACCAGCCCCAACTAAACAGAGCCACTTCCATAGCAGATTACATATTAAGAGAACAAGCATTCTACAAGAAGTTTTACGGGCAGATAGGTTTACCAACATCCATATTTTAGCATCGATTAGAACTATAACAATGGTATATGAAAAATTCCATCCTCCATAAATTTCCTGTAACAGTTCACAATGACAGCTTTCATCACTAAACATTCGATGTGACCACTTTATTGCCACAACATCCTCAGAACAATAGCTGGGCTATTTCATGCCAAACAGCCTTACAATCCCAAAAGAAGGATGACCATGGCCTAAAAGGACACAATGCAGTTGAACAAGGCCTATACAATCCTTCCAATTAATTGTTATTAACCTTTGGCACAATGTACCTTCTTCCTATATGAAAGTTGGCTTACAACATAACTGCGGCATGTAATGCTAATATCCTGAGTACTGAACATGCCATAGTCGTCACTCATCAATTCTATAGTCTCCCCGTTAATCCAAGATAGAAAAGGACCTATAACACCATCTGCAATTCAGACAATGTAATGGAATATACCAAATCAAGAAATCACCCACTTCTGTAACCTGCACAATGCAAAGGCAAGACCAAAGTTCTGCCTAAAATATGATGATGATGATCATAATAATAATAATAATAATAATAATAATAATAATAATAATAATAATAAATTTAAAGTTTAAACACATAGGCATAAGTGTGTGTATATAAATAATTTTTTTACAGGATCTATAAAGAGTTAATTATTATTCAGAAAAAAAGGTGGCAAAGAGAAACAGTGCTGAAGAATTTCCAGTGGAAGTGCATCTCACCAGAATATGTAGAAATAATAGCGTACAATACACCAACAGTACCAAGAAACCTGCATAACAAAAAACCATCTAAACCTAATTGATTCTAAGGAAACCTGATAAAAAAACTGGTTTACAATATCTGCCACAGCATCCGATACAAACAAAACTGTAATTCTCAACAGACAATTAGTATTCATCACGTTATTCTAAGTTGCAAACACAAATATCAAAATGTAAATTAAAAAAAAAAGGTATATAGATAAAACCATTATACTAGAAAACATGAATGAACTGCACCCCCTATGACATATAGAGACAACCAAACATGAAACACAAGGCAAGGGAGGAAGTCGTAACTAAAAATCAGGACATAAGCAAATGCAAAGTAAAATGCCGTACATCATGTGGTACAAGTAAATATCAATGATTTATTGTTTTATCCCTTCTGCTACGAAGAGATATTTGGTGAGAAAGCTTTCTGCGATGTCCATCCATCATCAAGCAGACAAAAAAGGGGTGACTTAGGCCTACTTTGGATTATCATCTTCATAAGCACTTGTACGAGAAAAAAAAGAAAGTAAAACGAATTCACTTCTCCCATAACTTAAGATCAATTTATGCAGCTCAACTTTATGAGAAGTTGGATGAGAGAACTTCTGTAGAAGTTAAGTACATAAGTTAATTTTAACTTAAAAGCGAAACCCAACTTATTTTTCTTCTCATATAAGTGCTTTTAGAGATGTTCATCCAAGCAGGGTCATTGCAGCACTTCAAATAGGTACAATATAACTAAATGCAGCAGCCGCGACACATGAACAACGAAAAAATCAACTACCACAATAAGATTCTTTAAGGAGAGGTCCATAATCACATGACTTCCTATAGTCATGCCATGCCACCACATTCGAGAATATACTTTTTTTTTCTTTTTTTTATTTATAATACAAGAAGTAGATACATCGCACATCAATGATAAGATGAAAACACATGAACTCACGATGTTTTCTACCAACCTCATCAGACACTTGATAAGCAATGGAAGGAACGCGAAACACAAAAAACCAGAAGAAAAAAATAACTAATCAAATTTAAAAAATAAAAAAAAATCGATAAACTATAGAATTTTCCAAGGGGGAAGTCCAAAAAACCTCAACCCTAACGAACAATCTGAGGATCAGTAGCGTCATGAAAAACAAACACGTGGCAGAAACAAATCAACACACAAACGCGGAAAACTGAAACCTCGGCTCGAAGATGCATCAGAACCAAATCAATAGGAAGCGAAACAACGATCAGAAGGAAGGATGAAGCGAGTGCATACCGAAAATTAAAGACGGACAAAGTGTATGATCGTGAACAAGATTCTGACAGAAGGACGGAAATGAAGGAGAGAAAATGGAAATAATAAAGGACAATCGACGGCAGAGGAATTGGAAGGAAACGGCGTCGTTTGAGTGATGATCGTAAAGACGCAAGGTGAGAGAGTTGCAGAGAAGAAAGTGAAGAAGAATGTAAGGGGATTTGTTTGTTGAGGGAAGGAGACAACGAAATAAAGCGGTAGCAGCAATAAGAAAGAAAAACAAGAGGAGGAGAAATTCCCGTTCTCTCCACTACCACCCACGTTACCAGTTACCGACGCAACCGGTATGCGATTTATACTAGTATTAACTCCTTGCATTCATCCATGTTCAAAATTAGTTTAGTTTTTTTTCAGTTCCTCTTTATTAAACTAATGAACAATTAATGCTTCTTCTAGTTTTAATTGATTTTGATTTTTCAGGGGTGTAACCAATCTAGTTTGAAAAAAATATTCGGTCATTTATATATAAAAAAAAGCTTAGTTTTTTTTATCGATAGTAATATAGATTAATTGAAAATTTGTTTTGTCTGTTTTAAAAAATAAAATAAGTATAATTTTAAATAATTTATAATTTAATTATTTGCTTAGCTAAAATTTTACTCTTTATGATATAAAAATTAGAATGTTTTGATGTTAATATATATCTTAAAATTTGTGTTGTTTTCATTTATTTAAGAAAAATCTTTGTTATTAGTCACTAATTTAACTCTCTCCATTAATTTTAATAATGGTGACATTATCATATACGTTAGCAATGATTTAACAATGACATTATAAAATATTATCACGTACGTCATATATATATATATATATATATATATATATATATATATATATATATATATATATGTATGGATTAAAATTAAAATTTATTCGATGTATAAATATTGAGTGTTGTATGCTTTATGTAACAATAAACATTTTAGTAGTTGATTAAGATAAAAAAAAAAACTGATAAGTTAGGTAATATTAACTAAATTAATTATGTATATCATTTTTATAAGATAGCGCATGAAAACTTGTTTGCATACTGGTTTTCATTAACAATGTGAAAAAGGCCATTACATCAGTAAATTACTTTTTTTTTTTGCCAAGAATGTAATTTGAATTGCTTAGAAAACAAGAAAAGTCATGATGAACAAAGAAATCATCTATGCTAACATTTTGTTAATTGTGAATATTATGAGCAAGATGAAGACACATTCACCAGATGCTCCTCGTGTTGAATGAATCTGGTTGATGCAAACTAAAGAAAAGTTCAAGCCCAAGTGGTTTGTCACGAGTGGAAGTTGATTCTTGTGACTCATCACTCTCATTGTGTCTACATTCTTTCACAGTGATCGACACGTTTTTTGGCTCAAATTATTCTGCCCATGGCATGTCGACACAATGCTTCATCTCTTATTAAAAGGATGCGTGTCTAGTTTCTTTATCCTCTATTGAAAAAAAAAATGCATTCTTGTTATGTTAGCCATATACGATCATTGCTTACTTTGTATTTGTCAATGGCTTGTGTATTTTATTGACCTAATCCTTTAGCTACTTTAGCATTACTAAAGATTGGAAACTATGCTTTATACAGGAGAGCTAATGTTATAATGCCAAATTAATTCATTTTGAGAAATTTCTATTTTCAACTTTAAATCGATTAAAAACTACCATTAAACACCCCTGAAAACATCTATAATGCTAGACTTTAAGAAAAAATAAATATAACAAGTTTCAAGAAAAAATAAATACTAGTAAAAAATAGGTTTTATTACAAGTTTCTATACCACTTGTATGGGAATCAATATAAAAAAGTTGTCTGATAATCTGTTTAAATAATTAAGTTGAAATTACATGGTTACTGTTGAATCAATATAAGAAGAATTACACCAACCTTTTATTTTCCTTCAAAAAGTTAAAAGAAAACTATGTCCTATCAACCTCCCTCTGCATTCTGGTTACATCATCACACCTTATTCAAACATCCAACACATCATGCATACAAAAAACAAACATCACCAGAAATTACAATAAGAATTATAGATTATATTATTAACATAGATCTGAATTTTTTTTTCTTAAAGCTTAATTTCTAGACACGATTATGTATCTTGAAAGAAAAAAAAAAAAAAAACAGATGATGGCACTATTTATACACAAGTTTGATTAAAAATAACAAAAATTTATACTGGAAGTATCTTCTAACAAACAAAACCATTGAACACCACACAAGTTCTGCAATGATTATCATAAGTAGCTCGTAGTCAATGTTTTAGGAATGTGTCGTACAACTAAATGTACAAAATTAACTAGTATAAAGCTCTATTTATATATTGTATTTTAATATTATCTTTGATAAGATTTGGATTTTGTGAATAATGTATATGTGGTTGATCGAGTTAGAAAGCTTCCGGGAACTAAATGTTGATATTATCTATTGGATGAAACTAGTTTTCGGGTAGGTGGTGATCTTCAATTTCCAACCCCGTGAACACTATTTGTTGGACCTTGGAGTTGACGTGGTTTGTGCCATGACAAGAACAAATTGGTACAAGATAATGACTAGGACCAGGATGAAAAGGTAATGGTATATCCTAATGTAGGTGAATCAATAAAACGAGTTAGATAAACTTCTTTATCTTGATTATTAAGTATTTTGTAAGGGTGAGAGGGTGGTTGGTTGCTATGACTTGTGATTCAAGTGGTGGATGCCTTTCTTTCTTGTAGGAAAAAAAAAAAATGTTTATGTTGTGCCTTTTGTTACGGAATCCCATGCCAATGACTTTTGTGGTGGTTAGACTTCCCATTCAATTAAAGTGATGGGTGAGATTTGAGAGTGAACGAGTGATTGATGGCTAAGAAGTTGAAAAACTTTGAATTTCTGGGTGGATGACTAGGTCAAAATTTATGCCTGCAAAATAATTAGCCTCTTCTTTATCTGCCATTTTCCTTAGTTTTTTTTAAGTACTTTAGGTTGTGATAAGTGAGAATGAATTTGTAATTTGTTTGGATTGAAAAATGAAATTGAGAGGGTGAAAAAAAGAGAAAAAGACAATAAAAAATAACCTTATTTGGATTAAAGGAAAGAAAATAAAAAATTAAAGAAAAATAAGTGAAAAAATAGTAGAAAATAAAAAAAATTAAATAATAAAATAATATATATATATATATATATATAAATATATATATATTGATTATAATACTCTCATCATTGATTTATTATAATTTTAATTCATTGACAATATAAAAAATTATTTTAATATTATTTGCTATTTTTTATAAATACTTAACATAAATAATTATATAGTGTAATTTAAAGTTTTAAATTTATAAATCGTAAGTGCTTTAATTTTTTTATTCAAAATTTATTTTAAAAAATTAACTAAACATATATTTTATAATTATGTTCCCTATCTTATTCTATAATTTTGAAAAAAATAATAACTGAAACTTTATTTTTCATAAAAATATATAACATAGAACAAAAAGAGATATTTGATTATTTGTTTCTCTTTAATTGTTTAATAAGAAATCCATAATCGATTATGTGAGTCTTTATAATCAATTAAGCTCATTTTCATAATTAATCATAGATTGTGTAAAAGCATGATATAATCAACAACCATAGAATTTGTAACTCAATTAAACTTATTGAGAGGCTTCACACAATCAAATTTGCATCTTCAATTATTCAAAATGATCCAACAAATTATACAACTAAATGGATTAGAAAACTTACTATGGGAGAAGGGTGGTTTGATGTAAGTGGAAGAAGTAGTGTTTCCGTCTCGGGTATGACTGAGCTCACCAATAGCATGCACCGTGTTGTTGCAGGGATTTCATCTCTGCATGTGCACCATGAGATAAAACCGAGACATGTTCGTCATTTTGATTCATTTTTTTGTATTTTATTGCAACTTGGTTATAGTTTTAAATTCTCTCTCATGTTCTCTTTGTGCAAATCAGTAAATATAAATAAGATTTATACCTTCAAATTCGCTCTCCCAATTCTTTGACCACAATAAATCAATAGAAATAAATAATACATTAATTAAATAATACAAAATTTGAATATTAAATTCTCTCTCATTTTCTCTTTGGGCAAATCAGCAAATACAAACAAGATTTATACCTTCAAATCCGCTCTCTCAATTCTTTCATCACAATACATCAATAGAAACAAATAATACATTAATTAAATAATAAAAAAATTGAATAGTGGTAGAATGTCTCTTTTAAGTATAAGATAAATATAAAAAACACATTCATAAATATAATATTTCTAAAAATATCAATCCTGAAAAAAAAAGTGTATCAGCAGAGAAATTTCTCCAAATTCCATGAAATTTATATTTTCTCTAGTTCAAATAAAACAAAATTTAGTATTTTGGTATTGCATCTTTAAAAATTTAATATTTTATTTTAATTATCTTTTTAATTTCTTAATTTATTTTAATTTGTTGTCACTTATTCTCGTTTTTACGTTCCCAAATTCTCATAACCTTTAATAGTTTTTTTTTAAATTATAAAATTAGTGCTTTAAATTAACGAAGACTAATTATTTAAAAATGTAAACAATTTCTTACTCATAATTTGTTTAGTGACTTTGATCTTGGGCACTGTATGAAAAAAAGTGGAGAAGTTGGTGTTTATAGTTGTTCCAGGCTGGACGGTTTAACAGTCTGTGTGCGTTGAGTTCAACGGACGGATCAGGCTGTAACAGTGGAGTCCACGACACCCAGTGAGCAACATTCAGATCCCAACTAACAAAGACAGCAGAGACGCGATGAGTGTCATCGACATTCTCACCAGAGTTGATTCCATTTGTAGAAAGTACGACAAATACGACGTCGAAAAGCAAAGGGATTCCAATATCTCCGCCGAAGATGCATTCGCCAAACTCTACGCCTCCGTCGATGCCGACATCGAGGCCTTACTTCAGGTCACATTTACACATTCATGGGGGAATCTGTGCCCTAATTCATGAGATTTTTGGAGTTTATTTTTTATTTTTATTTTTTTTATCTCCCAAAGATGTGTGATAGTATGTGGAGTCGTTTGTGCAGAAAGCAGAAACAGCTTCCAAGGAGAAAAGTAAGGCGTCCACTGTAGCGATCAATGCCGAGATTCGTCGTACTAAGGCTAGGTTGTTGGACGAGGTTCCCAAACTGCAGAGATTGGCAATGAAAAAGGTTGGTTCTTTGCTTTTTATGCTGCTTAGTATCATTTGAAACGGTGCTTTTGTTATGTTTTGTTTTATTTGATTCCTATGTTGTTGTTTTTTCTCTTTTTTGCTTTGTGGAATTCTGTTAATTTTCTGGAGTTTAGGATTTTGGTTGGAACATGAATTGCATTCGATACATATCATGTCTTTCTTAGCTCTGATTGATTGAATTAGCCAAGTATTGTAGTTGTGAATAGTCAATATTCTTGTAGCTTTCATCTGAAGTGAAGAGTAAATTGATGATTTATGCAGTGACAGAGATATCTACCTAATAACATGTTATCTGAAAAGATCATGTATTTAATCTACTTGAAGGACCAGCATTATAAAATTTCGCAATTAGTAGACAAGTTAAAGAGCAAAAAAAATACAATTTCTGTTGCATCTATCCATCTAGGAATGGGCTAGGTTCGTTGTTGATTCTGTATTTAATTTTGACTATTTCCAGAAAATGTTGATTTATTTTATTTGGCATGTATGTTTCTCAATAATTCGACTGTTCTTTTTTCACAATAAATGACACACTAGCCCGCAAATGTTCAAAGTTATTGATGATAATATACATTTGTCCAATGCATGATACAATCGCAGGTAAAGGGGCTTTCATCGCAAGAATTTGCTGCCCGTAATGATTTGGTTCTTGCTTTGCCAGATAGGATTCAAGCTATCCCAGATAGGACCCCTGCAGAACCCAAACAAAGGGGAAGTTGGGCAGCTTCTGCCTCACGGCCTGGAATTAAATTTGATTCAAGTAATTTGAGTTATCCATGTCTCATAGTGACACAATCATAGTAGTTTATAAATTGGAGACTTTGTAATTGATGGTCCACCATTCAATTTTGTGTATCTTGTCAATCTCAGATGGACAATTTGATGATGGGTACTTCCAACAAACTGAAGAATCAAATCAATTTAGGCAGGAGTATGAAATGCGTAAAATGAAACAGGTAGGCTACTTTTAGCAGTTGTGACCAGAGAGGCTATATTTTTGCTATTGTCAATGTTCTTTTGGAAATGGTTTCATTCAGATCTAATTATATGAACCATACTTAGGATCAAGGTTTGGATATAATCGCAGAAGGATTGGATACTTTGAAAAACATGGCACATGATATGAATGAGGTCTGTTTCCTTGTTGTGTTTGTCTTTATTCCGTTGTGCATGCATGCACATGTGTTTTTTTATTTATTTCACATTTAAGTTCATTATTATGGGACAAATGCAGGAACTAGATAGACAAGTACCACTTATGGATGAGATTGATGCTAAGGTGAGATTTGTCAATTTCTGCCTCTACCCTTAAGCCCCAAAACATGGAAATCAAAGTTTCAAACTAGAATTAGGAAGTTGAAGTTAATAGGTACTGCTATTTTTGTCTTTACAGGTGGACAAGGCATCTTCCGACCTTAAAAATACCAATGTTAGACTCAGAGACACAGTGAACCAGGTCTTTTTAACTGCAAATCTTAGTCTTAAATTTTCATCAATTTCCAGTTGCATCGTGATAAATTTTATGTTTAATCTTAAATATTTTTTATTCTCATCCAGCTTCGGTCCAGTCGAAACTTTTGTATAGATATTGTTTTGTTGATTATAATTTTGGGAATTGCTGCCTATTTGTACAAGTAAGGTTCCTATCCCTTTTTTGCAGTTCAATAAAACTTCTAGTCCCTTTTCTTTTAGTGTGTGTATTTCAAGCTCATTTCATATCTAGTACTGCCTTATGAGTCTCTTTTGACCTGAATGCTGGAAATTTGATAATGTGGGAAATTTGAGGTTCATATTTAAACATTTTTTCTCATCTGTAGACTTAAAACATCTTAAGATAGAAATTGGTGCATGGTTTCTTAATAAAAGCATTCATCAGTCGTTGCTTTTTCAGGGCGTTTCTGTCGGTCTTCATTATGTGAAATTCATTCCTAATAATATAGTGATAGGAAACCTATTATTCGCATTTGAAACAATAATGCGCTTGGTTAACAGTGGAAATTCCTGCAAATACACGTTCCTAAGAATAAATTTTGTATTCTAAATATTCCTAATAAATTGCCACCTATTATAGAAGATGTTTTCTAAATATTCCTTTTTTCAAAATTAATATAAATTAGTGTTCTATATTTAATTATTACTTTTAGAGGAATCAATCTTTTTAATATGCAGTACTTTTCATTCTTTTATTAGTTTTATATATTTATTGCTTGGTAAAGACGTAAAGTTACTGGTAACATCAAAGTACAAAATAAGAAACAATAAAATTATTTTGGTTAGTTTGTATTTTATTACTGCATTCCGATGCGAAAGAATTACTGTGAGTTATGAAACAAAATAACCACATCGGCAAATTATTGTTACATAGCAAGATTTTGGCATAAAAGAAAGAATGTAAAGTGGAGCTACCCTTGATGAATCATATTGAATACATGCCTACCATAGAAACGGGGAACTGGGGTGGAATCTTGAGAAAATTATGTGGGAAATACGTGGGTTTTTTAGGAGTTTTGGATAACAGTTTATTCCCACTACTAAGCAAGGGAATGTATCTTTCCAGACATATCGTGTGGGAATGAAAATCCATTAGAACTTGGGGACCGACTTTTTTTCCTGATAATGACTTATACCTGGAAATAAATATTTTCTAAACTCATCAAACCAAAGAATCCTTATTCCCTCACCTGTATTCATAGCAATGCAGCCTTTAGTACGGCTCCTTTACTTTGTTTCTGAAATTCAATTTTCACTTATCTCTTTTCTTTGTGATTCATATCAAGATATCCTTTATCTTTACAACAATACAAAAAACGTTTGCCCAAGTCTACTATAATTCTTTGCTTTAATTATGGGGATTTTTGGTAAGCATTAAGTTTGATTAACCATTCCTTCGAAAACAGAGGAGTCTATATGTTTATCTAAGGCTTCATTACATCCGAGGTTCGAAGCCCAAAGTTTACACAAGTTAGTTATGGTGATGAATGTTTCTCAACTTATTTGCTGGTGATCTAGTTAAATAATTAATAGTGTACCAATACTTGTGTGTTTAATTCATATATATATTCAAATGTGAGGAAGCATGAAATCCTCAAATTTTTGAGATCGTTGCTTGTTTCTTTTCTGATACGATATGTGTGATCTTTAATATCATAGCCTGTGTTTGAGATGCGCCTTTTACTAGTCTTGTGTGTTTCCTTTTACTTCTTGTGATGCATTCTCTGACGTGCCGTGTTTATTGCAGTGTGCTAAAGAAATGATACGGCACAGAGGACCATTCGATGAATTTGTAAGGCATAGCTGTATTTCTTTTATTTTCGTGGTAATATCGAAGTGTGACTTGTGTCTTTTTTTTTTTTTAAACAATTTTTTTGCACTTGTTCCTACTACTTAAGAGATGCATTTGTCCTTTATAGACTCTAGATGCCACTAAATTATGTCAAACAATGTGAATTTGTATTTGTAATGACACTTGTGTATAATATACGAATTGAATGTTTGCCTTGACCTTGAGGATATCTCAAGTAATATATTTTCACTTTGAGCGAAATAGAACGAAATAGAAATTATCGATCTAAAATCACGATAAGGGAATAAAAGCTAGATAAACCGGATTGGTATTAATATTATTGTTATTTGTTTGGCCTGCAATAATTGTTTTTATACAGTAAATCATGTGATCTGTGGTGAACCCGATGCACATTTCTATTTGTATTGATTTCATGTAGCAACTATCATGTTTTAATATGATTCTAGTGGTGAACTAACTATTCAAGCATTTGTATATATGATTTGAATTCCATTATTTATTTTAAGGATGTCACTCGTTTGGGTCAGCACGCCCTTTGTTTTTGAATTAAAAGCATGAAAGTTCAAAGTGCAACATTAGACGTATACTCAAGATGGTGTTGTCTTGTTTTCTTTAGTTCCAAGTCTTGATCATGTGGCCGGCAAATGATTCCTGACTTGTTCTCTTAATATACATATTCATCCAGAATGTTTCCAGGATTGCGGGGTAGCAGCTGAACTCATCACTCCCCTCACAAGATATTTCCCATAAACCCTGCACTATTCAGACAAGTCTCAATTTGGCAAATTGCTTTTCACATTTCTCATCAATCTCAGACCACTGACAAAAATTAAGTCCCAATTCCTAGGAATGGTTTGGTTTGAGTTTTATTAATTTACTCAAAACTCAAATGTAAGAAAAATTAGTTCATTTCACAATAATTAACAGTAATAATTAAGTTTATATATTATTATAGTTTTTATATTAAACGGATGTTTGTTAATTATCGTCAATTATACTTTTTAGGAATAATTAAGAGATTTGAAGATAAAAGTATTTTTAAAATAGTAGTATTAATCAGGAGTTAAAGAATTAAAATTTGCTTATTAATGTGATGTATTTTCGTCAATTATTTAATATTATTTTCTTTATGATCAGTTGTATCATATGTTGTACAATTATTTTGTATAATTTTATTTTTTTATTATTTTATCGAACATATTATATTTTTAAGTATTTTATATCTATGGGTATTTTTTTTTTTCATGAGATGAGATCGAAATTTGTGAATCTAGAAATATGCACGTTTATTTATGTAATATGTATTATGCACATCTCTAGCATAATTTAATTATATTATCTGTGGAATCAACATAAAATTTAAACGAGTATGTTTAGTTAGGATTGACGATTATATAATAGTGATAACCTTTTTTGAAACTTTTATATTTTTCTATTATATTTTATTTGGGATAGTTAAAGACTATATGGGTAAATAATTATCTTTAATTTAGTATTGAGATTTAACCCTTACCATTTTTATTTACACAAAATTTTTAACCTCTGAAAAAATGTTTAAAAAACTACTAAGAGATGAACCTAATTTGAATCAAAAGAAGAGATAGATATAGGTTTGACCATTCAATAATTAATGAATTAAAAATAATCTTATTTTAGTTAATTGCGAATGACAACATGAAAGTTTAAGTTAATAAAACTAGATACATCACTCAATTCACCTTTATAGAAATAATTTCATCCTTATTTTCTTTGTACAGGAACTCGCCTTAAAAAAAATCAAAACAAGATAGACATAATTGCATCTATTTCAATTCTTAACATATTACTTTAATTTTTATTTCATAAAAAATACTAAATTTTCATTAATATTTTTTCTACCATTTCTCATTAAATTACAAAGTGAAACATAATTCTTATGGATTTCATATTATTACTTGATAATCGCACACCTGTCACTTTTGTATAATTTCCACAAATATAAAACTTTTATTTTTTAAGTTTAAAAGGGTTAGTAAATAGTATTTCTAATTCCTAGAACTTGGAAATTTTGAGTAACAAAGAAGTGGCTTAGCTTTGAATATAGAAAAAAAAGTAATTAGACAATCTATTTTTTACCATAAAATTATTAACAATTTTATTTATTAATATAATAAAAAATATTAAATTATTTTTTTAATTAAATCTTATTATATTAATTTACAAATGGTCTAAAGACTAATGCAAATAGTTAGGATGACAAAATAAAATAGCTACAGTTCCACTCTTCACTTTAAAAATAACGAATTGAATTAATAATTTTTAATCGTTAGTTTATTTTAATTTGTTTAGTCTATTCCGTCCTGATAAATAATCGACTATTTGTTTAAAAAAATTTATTTATAAATTAAAATAAAAATACAAAATAATTATAATTAAAAATATTATATTTTTTATTATATTATTAAAATATATAAATATATTATAATATTATAATTTAAATTATAAATATTAATTAATTAAAGTTAAATTATTAATTATAATTAGATATTTTAATTAATTAATATTTTTTAAATTTATCTAATAAAAATATTAATTAATAAATAAAAATTTAAAAATATTTATATAATTAAATATATATTTTAAAAAATACATACAAAAAATTACATAAAAAAAATTAGGAGACTAACCCACTAATACATTATTCCATTTTTTAATCGGACCAGTATCTAACCTGTACTCACGGAGTAAGAAATACTTGGATTTTCATAAATTAATTTCAAAACACAGTAGAATCATCATCGCAGTAGAACTGCTACGGCACTTTATTCCATATCTCACATATATCACCTAGATAATATCCTATAACTTATATACATTTATGCTTACTGAAAGGAATAATGACACTGCATCAACAAAAATCAACAGCATTTTTTCTTATTACATATAGAATTCGGTGTCCCTCTCTCCCATGCAGAGATATCTCCACATGTTTCTACGTGAGCACACAAACAAGCATGTTCAAGCATCTATAAGCAATTCATTCATATTTCGTAAAGACTCGCTATTAAGCTCCTGGGGTTGTATGATGGAAGTCCACTGGTCAAAGTTATTGAAATTGTAGCCTTTGTTTACATCTTTCTCAAGTCTTTGTTTCCCAACATCAACTTCTTCGCTTAGAATTTTATTGAGGGTAGCATCCAACTCGTTCTCTTCAAACTTTTTTCTCTTCAGTGAATTAAACAAGCCCTCAGCAACAGGTTCCCTAAACTGCGCTCCTATTATTAAATTCAAGTTTTCATCATCCAATGAAGCATACGCTTTTACATCGTCATTACAACCAAAGCCAGAGCCTGAGGCCATGCCAATAAAATCAGGCAGAGAACTCTTAGAAGCAAGAATATAAGGTAACATTGGATATTCAGTATGCACAGTGTTTTTGGCTGGTTCAAGATTCGAATTCTGGTTTATTTGGTGAAAGTGGCTAGTTGGTTCGTGAATAGGTTCATTTGAGTCTTCCCAAATGCTTCTTGTGCTGCTAGTTTTCTGTCGAACCCGGCACAGCACCCACTCATCCAGCTGAAGCACATAACAAGAAAGTGTCAAAAACTTGATGATATATACTGTATCACTCTAGCTATAAAAAACCACCGAACTCTTAAGAAGATGAAAAATTGAATTCATGCAATTGATGACCTACTCTCATGGACCCTCTTTGCTGTGGAATTGAGTTCATGGAATCGTGCAACCTATACTCCTGCATGATCCAATCAGTTTTAGATCCTTTTGGTGGACGACCCTTGTAGAACACAAGCGCCTTCTTCACTCCAATACTCATCATCCCACATGAAGTAAAAATGGGTTTGTCAGTGCCAGTAGCCTTCCAATAACCAGAAGCAGCTGCTCGATTAGGCCTCACTCCATTGGGATACTTCCTGTCCCTGGGAGTAAAGAAATACCATTCATCCTCCCCAAACAAAGCCTTACCTGTTCAGAATTGAAAAGCTATCATTCTTTTAGTATAACTACTTCTTCAACATCAACAACAAGAATAACATCAAACGCTTTATCCCATTGGATGAATACTATCAAGAAAACAATGAAACAAAAACTAAATCAGTGCAATTACTAACACAGACTTGGGATCTCCCATGGATTATACTTGTAAAGATCTATTTCTGCCATGAATGAGGCAGGAAGGGGTGATGATGTCACTTTATTTCTCAGATAGTGAACAATTAGCTCTTCGTCAGAAGGGTGGAATCTAAATCCAGGAGGGAGTTGGATTTCTGAATTAGCACCTTTGTCCATGAACATGAAGGAATAATTCCTCCGGAGGAACAACCTAGAATGCATCAATCAGTTACCGATATTATCGATCAAAAAGGCCGTAAAACTGAAACTACTGTGCATGGGATATTTATATATGTGCTGCTTGGTCATGCAGAGAGGGACAATTATCTCAATATAATATACTAAATAGGTGTGGGAAAAGAGACTTCGAAAGCAACCCGTTTGTCCCATGTTCTGTGATCAACTTTCTTCAAAAGGTATGCCATATGATTTCACCACCAAAGGTTGCTCATCAATTTAAGCAAAAGATTGAGTTCTGGGGTGCCCACAAAATCAGGTTGAATCACACATATAGGATACAGCTTGGTTTGAAGCTTCAAAGGCAAAGTTTGTCAACTTTCAGCTTTAATTTATCCAATATTTCTAAATCAATTTGCTTATATGCCACAAGTTTCAGGCAATATAGTTGTATTTCAAAATTAAAATATGTGCTAGTGGCTCAGAACTTCAGATGATTGATATTCATAGGAATGTCCAGGGAAGTCACATTCTTGGAATGGCAGAGAGTCAACATGTTAACCAGATCGCGTGGCTAACCAACCTATAGTTAGTTCCAATTTTTGCAACTATTTGTTGATTATTATACGTTAGAAAAAAAAAAAAAAAAAAAGTAAGAAGCAACATATCTATATACGAAACTAGGAACTTTTCTAATGCATAACTATTTAAATGAGTTAGCATCTTTTACTCTTCTAAATTTAAACTCTAAACAAAACTTAAAAACTTATTTCATTATATTATTTTTTTACTGTTTTTTCAACTTTATTTCACTATTATTTATCGTGTCAGAAATTAGTTATAAAAGATTTGAGGAGCAAAATGAGAAATTGTTGCAACAGATCATCGTTAGCAAGGCCTAAAATAAAATGTACTTCTGAGTCTCAATTAGTGTATGGCAATTTTAACCAGAGGCCACAACATCTGATGAATTTGTAACTTGTGGCAAAAACATGTATATAATTAATTGTTGCCAATCCATTAATATAACTCTTGTCAACCAGGACTTGGGAAAGAATAAGATGACTGGTGTAAGATGAATAGCACGAGCAATATCCACTTTCCTATGTAACATTTTATTGCAGCTAAGTGAATGAAACTACATATGGAACCACATAGTTGATGTAATAGCTAGAATACTCTTCATGAATGGGAACGTGCAAAGTTAAAATATTCAAAGAATTTTCCTTAAACATAAGTGTTAAAGTTGCAGTTTTTCCTCTTTCTCCTTTCCATTAAACAATCCAATAGCAGATAACGCCCTTTTATTAACTCATAGCAGCATTAATGGTATGCCTATTCTACTATGAATCTAGTTGCATAAACATAAATGGGTTCAGAAATCAAATTCACAATATATTGTTGATAATGAGATCATTTTATTGTTTTCTCTTATATAGCTTTCTTGGTTTTACTCTACTTTTTTTTTTTTCGCGGGTTAAAAACCATGCATAACCTTACCAATTTCTTGACATGTCATCTACCAGCATACATCATTCCACGTTTTGTCTTTTGTTGTGTATTTATTCACCCATTTAAAATATTCATTTTTTCTAATCTTTTCTTCTCTTTCTATTTTTAAGTACTTTATACAATCACAAATAATTGTATTACTTAACTCCATAACCAACTCTAAAACTTATCAATTGATAAAATTAAAATAAACTCTGTTTCTGTTCATTTCTATGATATTTGACTTAGAATTCTACTGAAACTCTCTCATGAATTGTCTCAAAATTATCTTCATATCTTGAAAACCTGATAATAACAGATTATTGTTGTCAAACCTGAAAAAGGTATTATAAAACACCTACTATACAGTACTAGGGCACACTACAAAATACTGCGGCTAGGTTCCAGCAGCAAAAAAATCAGCTAAAAAACAAAATATTAAATGAAAAATGTACTTTAAAAAACTTCAGATGTATAGCTTATTACCAAATGTATATATACGTACTAACCAAAAGTTTCTCTTGCAAGTTTCCATCAAAAAACAATAATAGAGCTATTAGATTTTCTTTAAAAAAAAAAAAAAAAAAAAAAAGGCATCAAGGGGAAAGATGCTTGCATTTGGCGTCATTTCAACCATACCAATACCCAGTTGCAGAACAGTCCAAGAAATAGAACATGAACGATAGGTGAATAAGCATAATAAGACCAACTTGATTCTGTAATTTGGTTTCTTCTTCTTGGAACCAATCAATTCATTCCAATGTCCCAATTCTTGTTCTCCCCTTAACAAACAGGCTGTTGCTCCATTGCCTCACAACTGTATGTCACTATACTCTCAATCAATGAACCACTACCAAGAAACCCCACTTCTCAAAGTGTAGCCAACCATACTAATTATTCTATTCATTCAATCTGAGTTTTCATTCATTTAAACCCCAAACCCTAGTTTGTTTAAATCTCCAAGCTTTAAAATCAAGAACATTAGTTCATTTAAAATCTTAAATTCTAAACACTAAATACATGTTTATCGGATTGTGTTTATTGATTCATTAGATGAATTATGTTTTTATCTTGGTTTCTATACGTCACTCGAACATGAAATAAACATATAAAAAAATTTAATATTTTATCTTACATAAAAAAATTATAAACATTCAAATATTAAGAGCACAAGTGAATAAATTATTAAGCTAGTTATGTAAATATACGAAATTACTGGCACCTGAAGGTATAAATGTTCAAACCTAGGCTTCCGATTTGTCTTCTATAGAATGAATCGCATCTAAAGCTACGCAATGTTTTGAATTACGTACGTAACATATAACGTAAAATATGTGTGTAAACATTGCAATCTGATCTGTGTTGTGTGTATGATCATGATAGATTGACATAACTTCCTCTGCGATTGTGATCTTGTTGGTATACAAGCTGAGTTTTCAATTTCAATAAATAATTGATGGTACAAAGAAAAGGACGATACTAATGAAGAACTTAAAAATAAAAATTAAAAAAAATCATGGTTTGAACTGTCATGGAGAACGAAGGTAAAATAACATGGGAATATAAGTGAATACTACCTCTAACCTAAAATATTAAAACATAAATTTACATGGTCTTTGAAGATATATATAACACTAAACCACTGTATTAATTTAAAAATATTAATTAAAAGCCTAATCTACTTTGCAGTCGATAAAAACCAACTAAACATAGATTAAAAGGAGTTATTATTACTAAAGACAGATCAAAGAAAATTATTATTATTATTATTATTAGAAACACATGAGTCCACGTTTTTTTATATAATTAATTTTTTTAAATATTATTTTCAATTTTATTTTATTTTTCTTTTCACTTCTTTAATATATTTACTTTCTCTTTATTAACTAGGTATTATTTTTTAAATATATAAATTGTAATAACTATATGATAATTTTATTTTTCTCAAATGGTTAAAAAAATATCGTTTTATACATAATTATAAATTACTATAATTTAATTATAAAGAATTGACCATTGGAATTGTGTAGTTTGCTAGAAAAATGGAGAGTATTCCTTATGTCGTTATCTGGTCGGATATAATAAGTTTTTAAAATGCACCTGTGCTTTTCATTCCTACCCTTGTCGACCCTACCTGCAAATCAAATACCAAAGTTCTTGTGCATTTCGATATTTTGTTAATTATTTATTTGCACATAGGGTTTTGAATCTGCATCATGTTTGTGGTCTTCTTGTGAATGTGTTGGGGAGTGAGCATAGGATACCAATTATATATGGAGACGAGGAAACATACATTATAATATCAATTGGATGGGAAGCTAGTTCCATATATATAAAGCCAAAAGTTGTTGAATTGGCTAAATTAATATAGTATTATCAAGAACTAAATTTCAAGTCATTAATTTTGTTATTATCTCTTTCTTTTTTATTTAACTATAATTAATGTGAGATCACTGAGTGAGATCTAGCTCTAGTCTCAATTGCTTATATTTATATAAATATGTTTCTATAAACATACACTAATTTTATTAATTATTACGTGTTTCATCTATAAGAGTATGATAATATCGTTTTACACAATTTTTATGTCTAATATATTATTTATTTTGGAAATTTTTTTTATCACAATATTATTTTAAAGACGTCTCGATTAAAAATAGTGTTAAATGTATATATTTTTTTAAAATATTTTTATTTTTTATATTTAACACACTCAAATTGGATTTTTTTTTCTCTTTTATTAATTTTTGAGAAAGAAAATTTCCCTTACCTTCTCTAAATCCTCGAATCCTTCATTGTCAACGTTTATTTAACCTACTTTTGTCTTTGCAATTATGTTGTTCTTGTATAATACATTATACATAAATAGAGAGGGACGTGAAACTTTAAGTGCTTTGTGCTTCTATCTATTTCAAAACCAGTAATTACAACATTTACACGCCTAAGACCAAAACACACAATTTGCTTACAAATTTAACCAACTCTGGTTGTTGTGCATCTAGGACACAAATATTGTCTTATCTACGAAAATAAGTTTTAATAACACCATTATTTTTTAGCAATATAACGGTGTAAAATAATAAATAATAAATTTAATCATGTGAGTAAGAAGATTTTAACTTGAACAAAGATAAGGAAAGGCATGATCTTCATATAACCATATATATACCTAAGTTTTTGTGCATTTATAAGGTAAAAGCTATCCCTATGAGACCCCATCCCCATTGCATGAAAGTCAAGTAAGGACCAAGTTGACGAGGATGGTGGTATAAGCTATAAATAATCATTTGTAGAAGAACATGAAAAACTTTTGGAGACACTTGTGATACATGGAAATATATAGTATATACACTCGTATTAACGTTAGTGGCAGTGGTTAGTTGAGTTGAGGAGGTCAATGCTGTTACTTGTGATGGCAAAAGTTGTTCTTATATGAGACTCGTAGCTACCTAGGGTTGTTGGAAATTGAGAAAGACAAGTTATTACGAGAGGAATTTAGAGGGAGATATTATTACATTTTAAACTTTGCTGTAACCCCATGATGAAGTGCATCACAGAAATTTAATATTCCCGTGAAAAGGGTATAATTAAATTTTATTATAAGTCTTTCTCTGTTGCATTTGTTTAATTTCTTGTGACATTTAAGTGAAATGCCAATTGCGATAGACATCTAAATTTTTGTTCTGGAAAAACTGCATGATAATTATTAGAAATAGAGTAACGATTGAGATTCAGAATATGTGGTTGAACAATCAATTGCACATGATCATATCACAAATAATTTTATCTGAAGGAAATTAGAAAGAGAAAAAGTAAAGAAAAATATGAATCCACATGGGGTCAATGATTATCAGGTAATATCTTGGGTTGGTGGTCATCTAGTTATATCATCAATTATGAATGTGACTGTGAGGTAAGATGTCTTATCACCCTAATAATCTCCAACTTCTTAATTAAATTCATCTCCACAACATGATACAAAGTTTTTCTCTCACACACATTAATCTGTAATATTTATCTTAAACTTATTAAAAATCATAGCATTTCGCAATGTACATGTTCCTGGATGGAAAGTATGTGCCACTCAATAACTTAAATCTGTGTCACTGTTTCCAAATGAGTTTATCATAAGGCCTCATGTAAAAATTTTAATTTTTTTTAATATGATTGCAGTATTTTAGTGTTATTTTAACCATAATGGAGCATGGTTGATTTTAACTATTATATTTGCAAAGAACTTTGGTATTATTTCCTTTCAACTTTGATAAAATTAACAACTTTTCGGTATTAAAAAAAAACTAAAATAATAACATAAAAACAAGTGGTCATAGAGTTACATTAATTATTTAGGTTGTTTAAAAAAATCTCTTAGAGTTGAACACAACCTTGAATATAATGCAAAAAGATTAATGTATAACATCTCCTGCTACTTTATAAAAAGAGTTGAATGAATATATATATATATATATATATATATATATATATATATATATATATATATATATTGTATTATTATTTTTTTCCCACAAATTTCTTGTAACAATAAAAATCACACATTTTAAAGAGAGTTAGGTGTAAGTCGATTAAATTTACAATCAGTTTGCATAAGCTCCCCATTAAACAGGCTAAATTGGGTTATCCCTTGAAGCTGGAAGTAAACAAACCTATAATATAAGTAATTTTACATTGGTTTTATGTTTAAATTATTATTATTATTATTATTATTATTATTATTATTATTATTGAAATATTTAAAATTAAAAATGCATACAAATTATATAAAAATCAATTAAACATGTAACATTTTTTTGCCTATTAAGTAATGGAGAAATATTTATAAGCTTTTTAAGCATCATTTAAATATCCAATAAAATGTAAAAAAGTCAATATATCTTCTGCATCAATGATGAATATCCAACACACGTTATGTATAATAATAATAATCTAACATCAAATGTCCACATTAAAAAAATTCCAAGCATTAGTTTAGGGTTTTAAGATAATATATAGGTTAACTGGGTGGATTCTCAAAAATGCAAATCGTGTTACTTAATTGATAATCAACAGATCAAATATAGCAAACGTCCACACCTTTCATGGTCAACAATCAATGGATTGTGGATCATTTGGATAGAGTATATATCAAACATATTCGAATTCAAACTCAACACAAGTATGTATCTTTGGGTAGATATATTTAAGCAAATGGTGAGGGTTCATCCAATTAAAAATATCAGATCTAAAAGTTTAACATTCACATGCAATAAATAAATAAATGTTATCATTAAATAAAAATAATAAGTAAGAATCTGTAAAAGTAAGAATAGTATAAAACATTTTGGTAGAAAATTATGGACGTACGAGTGATACTTTTTGGGATGATGGACGTTGTAGCGGGGACCCCCCATGGTTCAATTTTCTTGAGCCCTCACAATGACTAGGCAGTGACAGAGTATCACGGACGGTCCTATCACCTTGCGTTGGAAAAAGAGAACCTCAATCACTGTCCCACACTACATTACATAGTAGACTAGTGTATTGACCCCACAACACACATGCACCTTCTCTCTCTCTCTCTCTCTCTCTCTCTCTCTGTATGAATGTTTCTCTGACCTTGTTACAACAGTCTCTCGCATGCTAAAAGGATACCTTCACTGTAATTATGGCTTAATCATTCAGTACCAACTAAAGGCTCTTATAAAGGTAAGTAACTTTTCTGTTACCCTCGTCCTCACAAACACCATCATGTTAACCTTAATTTCTTCCATATCACGTGCACAACACATCCTCTTCATACGTATTACTCCCAATGTAGGGCTATTTAGCTCCCGAAGAGTCAACGTATGTATATAAAGTAACTTTCTTCACTTCTACCAAAGGTGGTATACTGGCAGCTTTTAAATTTTCGGTTTTTTAAGGAGATTGTGTTAAATATAAGCTAGCACACACTCTACTAAGACGAATTATATATAATATATTTTTCTCTTTTGTTTATTTCTCTTGAGGTTTATTCACAGCAAGGAAAGTTAGATGATCACTATTCCTACTATAAGATAACCTTTATATATATATATTTATTTATTTTTATTTTTTTTTAATTTGCTATACATGAGGTTGAGGAAATGGAACTCACTCTCCCGTACAGATGAAAACACATACATTCTTCTATGTGCATGTGGGTTGTATCTGTTCTGAGAAAGTTCTGGTCAGTTTTGTGTATGTGTGTGAGGCTGAAAGAGAAGTGTGTGTGGAGGCGTGTGGTGGCCCATTAAAATTTATGACTGTGTCACTTTGAGAATGGCAGTAAATGAGTTATTAAGAAAGAGGGTACGCGTAAAACCAAAGACAGCTTAGAGGAAGTGAAAGGAGAGAGAGGAAGGGAGGGTGACGCCAGACATAGAGCTGACATATTATTTGTATAACTTTCTTTCAGAGAAAAAGTTCAGGTATGACATAAGATATAGCTCACGTATTATAATTAATGTATAACTATATCTTATGAATTATAATTAATAGAAATATTATACTGTGGAAGAATTTTTTCATACAAAAGAAGCAGGTAATAATGTGAGAAAATTGTGAGAGAAATGAGTTATATAAAGAAAAATGATAAAAAATGTACAGTATAACGCTCTATTTATATATATTATCATCTGTCATCATGTTATATATTGAACTTTGGTTTTATCTTTCAAATGTTAAATAAATCAAACACAAGGTTGCAGACACCGGTTGGAATAGCCCTTACAAAAGTGTGTATGTATGTATATATGTATATATACACTATATTCTATATTTTTCAGGGGGTTAAATATATTATTCCGATTCAAGTTTCTTCTATGGATTTTTCTTGTCCTTTGGCAGAATAATCACATGAAGCCAGCCATTCCCTCTTACAGAATATTGTGGTACCCTCCAAAAAAACTTATATTATATTTCTTGGCTTTAGCTATTCTAACATCCCTTGTTTTCTTGCTTGTACTGTCTGAAACCTATGAAAGTTAGCTGTTTGCTTCTACTTTGCTAGAAAGCAAACCACTCCAATATAGCTTCACTGCTTTCCTTTTACCAATATGCAAATGATACCCAGTGATCCCTTTTCACTATCCACTACCCTCCCAGGGCTTCCCAATGAACAAAACGCAAACCCTAACCCTAATCACCCTCATCCACCCACCAAGAAGAAGAGAAATCTACCAGGAACACCAGGTAATATAAAACCACTAATATAATAAATTGGTTTTCCACCTTTCAAAATTGGTTTTAAGTTGCTTTGAATTTGGACTGGTTTATGCAGATCCAGATGCTGAGGTTATTGCTCTTTCACCAAAGACGCTCATGGCCACGAACCGTTTCATCTGTGAAATATGCAACAAAGGGTTTCAGAGGGACCAGAACCTTCAGCTTCATAGGAGGGGTCACAACCTTCCATGGAAGCTACGACAGAGGTCAAACAAAGAGGTTCGGAAGAAGGTATATATCTGTCCAGAGAAGACATGTGTCCACCACGAAGCTGCCAGGGCTCTCGGCGACCTCACCGGAATAAAGAAGCATTATAGCAGAAAACACGGTGAGAAGAAGTGGAAGTGTGAAAAGTGCTCCAAAAAGTACGCAGTTCAATCTGATTGGAAAGCTCACACCAAAACCTGTGGCACCAGGGAGTATAAGTGCGACTGTGGCACCCTCTTCTCCCGGTAATTAACTAATCCATGCAGTTTTTTGATGAATATTCTCACGCTGATTTGATTCATATGATTTTACCTCGTGAAAATGAAATTTTTTTCATAAACACAACACAAACTAGACATGAATTAATTCTCAGTTACAAAGTCACGTACAAATCTACCTTTATTTTCGTTTATTAGCAGTATAACTATATTTTTATGATTTAGTTTTTGCAACCTCTGGGGTGTGTTTTTTGGGGATAGAATAAATGCTTACTCTACACCTGTTTTGTGTATTGAATTTGAGATTTAAGTGTGATAATCGGGTAAGTGCATAGTTTAAATGATTAGGTAATTAATGGGGAATTCTCATTGAACTTTGCACAGGAAGGACAGCTTTATTACTCACAGGGCCTTCTGCGATGCCTTAGCAGAAGAGAGTTCGAGACTCTCCTCAGTTGCTACCAGTAGTCTAAATTTCAAGAGCGAAGATGCAACTGTGATGAATACACAGGCTGGTTTGTCGTCACGTGGATTAATCACTGGTCAGGGAATGCATAGTGTTCCACACTTTGGTCCACATGGGTTTCGTTTAATGGGAATGGGTGCAGACCAACAAAGACCAAACTTGTCACTGTGGTTGAATCATGGAAATCAAAACATTAATAACCCACTTGATGTGGCATCATCAAGTTCTTCAGGTTTGACTGAGGTTGTGCAAATGGCACAAGCTAATAATGCCTTGATTGGTTCTTCTTCAATATTCTCCAACTTTGGAATGCATGCTTCCAATTCAAAGGGAGAAGGTGCAGCTTCAGATTTAGCATTAATTTATACTGAGAGTCAAAACAAGAATACAAACTCAGCTTCGCCAATGTCAGCCACTGCCCTTTTGCAGAAGGCAGCACAAATGGGTTCCACCAGGAGCACCAACCCTTCAATTTTCAGTGGCAGTTTTGGAGTGATGAGTTCATCTTCAACCCAAAGTACTAGTCTCAATAGCAATGCAAACCAGAGCTGTGACCAACTAAACCAAGTCTTTCAGAACATGAGCCAACATGAGAATTTCGATGCAAGAAGCCACAGTGCAACTATGTTGGGCACTTCTACTAACTTTAGCTCATTGACACATTCATCAAACGGTTTTGATCAGTTTCTGATGCAAAACAATGTGGAACCAACTCAGTTGAAGCTCCATCCAGGCTCAAACACAGTAGAACATAACTTGACAAGAGATTTTCTTGGCATGAGTGGAAATGGAGGTGGACATCCATTTCTTCCCCAAGAGCTGGCCAAGTTTGCTTCCTTAGGCTCATCAATGGGTTTGAACCAGTTCACTGCAGGCCATCAATGAAGTCCTTTCTGACTATTAACTCATACGACATATCTAGTGGTCCCCCGATTCATGTCTATGAGAGTACTGTGTAAAATAACACAAAATTATTGGGAATTGTTGGCGAAGCTTAAGACCAAGTTAGAGCGATTTTGCGATCAGATATGGTTCTGCGTGTTGTCAGCGGTTAGGGGTAGTAGGGACCCACTGCATGTTTGAGATGAAAGAAGGAACAGCGAGTTCCCCGAGCAGTGCATGTTCTCTAAGTAGTAGTTGTTGTTGTTGGTTTGTCTTCTGTCTTAACCTTGTTATCGTTTTTGGCTTCTCTTCCTCGAGAGAAGTGGAAGATATAAAGTAATGAGAAAACAACTACAAAAAATATGAAGAATTCCAAAAGCAGAAAAATAGAAAATGATTAAAAAATACGGGAACTGCATAGTATTTGGTAGTAGTAAAACCTTCAGTCAATTTTCGGTTCCTGAACAACCCTACATGGCGTGGGTTAACGAGAAAAGCAAAATTATTATTAGTTCCCATCTTAACGTAAATCATGAGAAGGTTGAATAGTTTGAGTCTTGAAATTATCATAACAATAAATAAGTCTAGCCAGCTTTACACGTTGGATGTGTTTTATAGTAGTAATCATGATATTAATAATGATGATTAAGGGAAGTTCACGAGGGAGATAAGCATTTTGATGTTTCTTAATTATTTGGTTGCCTTTTTGATAGAGATATCAACTGCTGCACAGTAGTAGTTTGGAGTAGCCAGAATCTAGATGCTATAGGCTAGCTTTTCCATAGACCCTAATTATTATGACCAAATCTCTAGCTAGAGGTGAAAGTTTTGTTTGATTTTTGTCAAATAAGTGTGTGTATATATTTATTGAATTAAATGCTAGTGTATGCTTCATTGCCACTATAGCTTTCAGGTCAAACTTCTTACTTTGGTCGTATACTGAAAATCTTGTACTTTTCTATCATTGCAAAACAGTGTTTGAATTTCCAATACTTTTCACTGTCTGTATTTTATAAGGGATGAAAAGGGAAAGGTTTTTGCATAGAAAATCATACTATAATTAGAGTATGTTGTGGGAGAGCTTGTACCTATCCAATGGCCAAAATGGTGGTTCCATGTAAATGGTTCCTGGCTAGGTTTGAGCGACATGATCCTTGAACGTGCACCAAGGAGGAGATTCTAACCAATAAAAGGCAAAGCAAATTCTTTCAGGTCTGGATTCTCTTTGCTAACTATTGTTCCATAAAGTTGATATTTGTATAAAACAGAGTGAAATGTTTAAAAGAGAGGTATTTTGAAATACCTCTTTTCTCTTCTTTCTCTCCTTCTTCTCTCTCTGCTAGTTTCGAACCCGCGATTCGTAGCATAGGAACATTTAACCAAACCATCAAATCACTCGGGAAACCGGCAACATTGGTTCCAACAAAATTTTACTTTAACAACATATGTTTTGATGCAACGTTCACCACGCTACATGGCCTTAATTTTTCCAATTCTCATTCTCTCTGTGCTAGCTTCGGATCCGAGGCTCAAGCCTTGGATTTTTTTTCTTCTCCTCACCATCAAGTCTCTCGGGAAACTAACACCAATTTATTCAACAAAATATTATTTAACTAATGTTGTAATACATATACATTATTTTGCTGTGTCTTTTGCCTCAAATATACACCCTCTTTTTCCTTTTCAAAGGGTATCCTAGACCTAAAGAACAAGGTCCTTGTTATGCCTACTTTTATTTATATATATTTGTGATATTTTTACATTCAAACTAAATTATGTATCTTAATATAACAGTTAAAAATGAAAAAAAAAAAAAAAAACTTATGCACGACCAAAAAGAGAAAAAAAAAATCACCCACTTGATTTTAGTTCTATTGATATAAAGGTGCCATACATAACTCCATTTATAGGCAATGTGACTCAATGGTCAATGAATTTTGTGTGTAAAGCAGCTAATTTTGAAGCTAAAGAAATTTCTATACAATTTTATTAAATGAAATACTAACTATTTAAATCTTATGAAAACAACAAATTAATTAATTTTGATTATTCTTTCTAATACACTGACTATATTGAAATGATTATCTGGTTGATTTTTTCATCATGGTTAAACTTTTGGGCCATTAAAAAGTATACCTCATTATTTTAGTTCACATTTTTAGTTATTTTAAAAGAGTCAAAACATACATATGTTCGGTGATCAATAGTTGTGTGGTGAGTGATAACTCCCAGTCACATGCCCAATGTTTTTTTTTTTTTCTTTGCGACGGTCTGGCCCAATATTTAAAATTAAGGTTGTTTGTTCTTGCACCTCAAATTTTTTTTTATACTTTTATAATTAAATAAATTATATTTTACTTATATATTTTTTTTAATTAGGTGTTCTAGAAATATCATTTGAATTCACTATTTTAGAAATAATTATGAATTAGTTGTTCTGTATCTTATTTTTTGAACATTCTTTATAATATATTTCTGAATCACTTAATTTGAAAATTAGTTTTAAAATAATTAATCTGCAATATCTGAATTAGATGTTTGGGAAATGTATTTTAAATTTATTATTTTTAAAATGTATTTTCGGAATACCTATTTAAGAATGTATTTTTATAACCTCCAATCTGAAAATAAATTTTCAAATAACTATTTTAGAATGTATTTTTTTATTTAATGCTCCAAAAATATATTTTATAATAGTTGCTTGAGAATTCATTTTTGGATTCATATATGCACTCTGTATCCCTATATATAATTTCAATCTAGAAATAAATATTTAATATTATTAAATATTAATAAATTTTTATTTTATGGACTAAAATTATTTTCAATAGAGGTGAAAAGACAATAAAAAAAGAAAAAATTATAAAGATAGAAAGAAGATAGGGAAGTACAGAGGAGTACAGAAGTGAAGAAGATTTTAGGATTTCAAAATAAAAATTAGTGAAAATATTTTCATCATTTTACATATAAGTTATGATGCATGGAATTATGGAAAGGAAGATGAGCCAAAATTAATTATTTATGGTTGATTAGAGTTATTATATTGGGTCAAGTAATAGATCCAGTGATTAAAAACGATTCTCACTTCGGTTCTAGAAAAACAAAACCAGTAATATTTGAAATTATAATATTTATTTACACATATAGATATTTTCAATAGTTTATTTTAAGAAATTAGCATTTAAATTTGTGTACTGCACAAGATAAGGCTTATGTTATATAACTTAAATTGATTATAAATAATACAATCTAAATAAAAAAAATTATATCATAGATTACAATAGATAATTTATATCATGATATAATGTTATTTTTAATAATTATTAGTTTTTAAAGTAATATTAAGATGTAAAATATAACTAAATGTATATGCCATCAATATATAGAGTATCAGTTCTCATGTATCTCCATTTTTTTCAATGGTTTCACATTATACTTACATATACCACAATTACTAATATTAATTAGTAAGATTACATTTAATATATTTTTATTTTTTGTTACAACAGGTCAAATCATTCAATTGATATTAAATATCTAAGAGGAATCACATGTATATGGGTTTAAATATCGGAGTAAAAAATATATTTTAGAAGTTGTTTTTTACAAAAATTAAACTTATCATTCTTATATTACATTTTATCACATATTTCAATTTTTATATTATTTACAAGTTCAATTATTATTATTATTATTATTATTATTATTATTATTATTATATATATATATATATATCTTCAAATTTAAATACATTTTTTTTATAACATATATCTTATATATGTTACTATTTAATTTAGTTTTAGGATAAATATTTTTTTAGTACGTGAGATAACTTTTATCAAATAATTTGACGAAGGATGATATTAATTTATATTAAATAAATGAAATATATTGATTTATTATTAAAAAAATTGAACAAAATTAATATTTAAAATAATGATTAAATAAAATAAAATAAATTTTATTTAATCTAACATTTAATATTTTTCAAAATACATCATTTTTTATATTTTTAATTATAAAAAAATTCAACGGTAAAAATTTTGAAAACAAAAAATATCATAATATTAAATATTTATCATAAATTTAGAATATATTTTATAGGTTAATAGTATTTATTTTTTACAAATTTAGTTACAATATTTATAGATTTTTAAGTATTTGTTTACGTAAACTTAATTTAAATAAAATAAATAATTATTATGAGTAATGCATATGCTGAAATACTATTAGTATAAAAATATATTTTTATAAATATTAACATTATCTATATAAAATTAAATATTAACTGAAAATTAAGCTCAACAATGCAAACGGTGACTTGGCTTAATGAATAAAAACATGACGTGTCAGATAGTTATTGGCCTGAATTTTGCATCGGAAGCCTCATAAAATCAACGTGTAAATCGTCCATTGGATAAACCACGTGGATGACATGTTGAATGTTGTATCTCAAATCCATTTGGAAAATTAAGAAAAACTTGTTTCCTTTTCTGTTTATATTTTATTTATTGTTACAAATATTTAAAATTTAAAATAAATAATAAGCTGCTTGTGGTGCCTCTGCCAACAGTGTGCCCTTGATTTGTTCCTCTGCGAATGTGAAAAACGACCAAAAGGATTCGAAACAACAGAGGAAAAGGAAAATCACAATGTTCAATGTTATGGGTTTTTCGTTTTTTACAACGGATTCGGTGGCGTGCAGGGGATTGCTCTACACATCCTCCATACTCAATTTCGTTTTGGTCTGCCAACTCATTCTCCTTCAACCTCTCGTTTCTGCTTCCGGTACACTCTGATCTATTTCTATCTATTCATTTTCCTTCGAAATTTTTCTTTCACTTTTTGATTTAATGTTCCTTTTCGTTTTCACCCTTGTTCTCGGTGAGAGCTTTTGCCACAGTTTCTGTATTTAGCAGCAGAATGGATACGTTTTTTTTAGTATAATTTAATTGTAGAATCGTGTGGTTTTCAAAAGAAAGAATTGCATTTTGCATAGACTGCTATGAACCAAGATACTCATTTTTTTTTCAAGATATATTAATTTTATCAATAAAAGCAGGCATGGTTGTTCCACTGTGAATTATGATTTTAGAGCAGTAATTTCATGGGGACTTTTAGTGAAAGGTGGTGTCAACATTAGAAACTATGGTAAATTAACTAGATATGTTTTGTGCGGATTTAATAGAGATGAGAGTTATGAACCCAACAACAGAATCTGATATTTCATAGAGGGACGAGAAAATAGAGAAGGTGAAAAAATGTATCTGTGATGTTAGATTTTAGTTTTCCTATGTTCAAGTTTGATAACAGTTTCTGTTGCCTGAACATTCTTTATTTTATTTTCGGTTGTGATCAGATGGAAATCCTGAAAATGCTGCTGAGTTGTTTGAGCGGGCATCGCAAAGCGTAAAAGTGAAACATTATACTGAGGCACTTGATGATCTAAATGCTGCAATAGAGGCAGACCCAAACCTTTCAAAAGCGTACCTTTTCAGAGCTTCAGTGCTTCGTCAAATATGCAGGTGAGGTGTGGTTCATTTGCAAGCGTATGACGACCTCCCTGTTTATCAGTGCTTGTTAAATACAGCGTTAAACTTTTGAAATTTTTAACGGATATCATAAATAAGCACATCTTATCATGATGACAGGAGATACCTTATAAAACGTTGGTTACTAAAGTGTATTTTTTTTTATATATACATTCAAAGTTCCTTAGACTGTTTTATTTATATATTTAATTTAATGTTGACTTGTTCAAAATTAATTTTATTTTTCCACTTTCTTTTTATTGTGAGGGAGGGGGAGGGAGGGGGAGGGAGGGGGATGTATCCCAAACCTTCATACTATCAGTTAAGCATTATGAAAAACAGCAATACTGCACTCCTCCGTGGCGCATTCCTTCCTAAAGTTAGCAGAGACATAATAAGGGCCTTTTTTAAACTTGGTTTCAGAAACTTACCGTCATATGACTCTTTCCTCTCTTCATCTTAGTGGTGTCAAAGTGGGTTGACTCATCAGAGTTGAGTTAAGAGTGGATTAGTTAAACCTGATTTACCTTTTTTATGAGCAAAATCATTTACAATGCCCATTACAGGTTGATGGGTTAGGTTGATTGACTCACTTAAATATATGTCTTATCTATAATTTGTTTTTTTTTTTGTTAAATCACTAAAATATATGGTTTATGTAAATTGATTCACTAAAAAATCTTTTTTGTTATGGATTTCCACTTACTAATGGGGAGGAAAAAAAATTAGAATATTAAATATAAGAAAATATGAGCAGGGTTATGTAAGTTGGATTCGATTTCATCACAATTAAAAAATTTTAAATTTTTTCAATCCAACTCTGCATAAACTTGTGGTGAGTCGGGTTGACTAATGAGTTATAACCCATATTAACATTTCTACTTCTCTTCACCTTCCATCTCTAATCTACCCCTCATCCCAAGTCTCTCAAACTCCTAATTGAGAAGTTATATCATTCAGGTGCTTTTTGGCTATAATGTAGATATGAGCAATCCGAGAGGAGCTACAAACAGTTCCTGGAGTTAAAGCCTGGAGATTCAACTGCAGAAAAAGAGCTCTCTCAACTATTGCAGGCTCAAAGTGCCCTAGAAACAGCACAGTCACTCTATGATTTGGGCAACTTCTCAAAATCATTGGAATATATTGATAAAGTTGTTCTTGTTTTCTCTCCAGATTGTACTAAGGTAACTCTTCTATCTCTTTGAGTTCTATAAATATACTTTCCTTTTTGTGTCTATGTAGTTACACTATATAGTCTTAAGTGAATGTATAAGCATTGGGTTTGTGGAACAAACATGTTAACTCTATATGCATTATTTTCTGCAGGCTAAGCTTCTTAAAGTAAAGGTGTTAATAGCTGATAAAGAGTATGAGGGTGCAATTGCTGAGTCAGGGTTTCTTCTCAAGGAAGATGAAAATAATTTAGAAGCCTTATTGTTACGTGGTCGTGCGTTTTACTATTTAGCTGATCATGATGTTGCCACGAGGTTCGTCTTGTGGAAATGATGTTAAATTCTTAGGGTATTCAGATAACCTTTTTTATGACTATCTTACATGGGAATATATTTTCAGGCATTTTCAGAAAGGCCTTCGCTCAGATCCGGAGCATAGTGAACTGAAAAAAGCATATTTTGGATTGAAAAATCTATTAAAAAAGAGTAAAAGTGTAAGCCCTCGTCTATTGTGGAAATTTCTTTTTACATTTCATCTTGAGTCTATTTTCCTTCCCTCTTTCTTTTGGGTGTTGAAGAATAGTTGCCTTTTATTTCTATGTGAAAGGCTGAAGATAATGCGAGCAAGGGTAAACTACGTGTGGCAGTGGAAGAATTCAAAGCTGCACTTGCTGTAGACCCTAACCATCTTGCGCACAATGTACATCTTCACCTTGGCTTATGTAAAGTGCTAGTCAAACTTGGCAGAGGAAAAGATGCCTTGGAAAGTTGTAATGAAGCGCTTAAGTTCAATGAGGAACTTGTTGAAGCTCTTGTTCAGGTATTTTATGAACATCATTGTCCTTTTATCTTGTCTTTTACTTTTAGCTATACTTTTTTGGCTATATAACGATAGCAATTTGTCTCTTCATTTTTTAAATGATCTGTTAGGTATTAGGACAAAACGTGATTGCGGTAAGATATACTGTAGTATAGGTTATTCTCAGTACTTATCTTGATGCTATTTTTGCAGAGAGGAGAAGCTAAACTCTTAACAGAGGATTGGGAGGGAGCTGTGGATGATATGAGATCAGCTGCTCAAAAATCTCCTCAGGTTTGTTACACACGCAGTACTCATGTAGCATGCTCAAGATCAATAATATATTATAACTTATTAGGATGAGTTTTGTGATAAACAAATGTGCAATGTTGAATTCCCTTGAAAAAGATACAAAAACACACACTCATTGTACAAGTGTTTGATGTAGAGATTAACTGAACAAAGCTAGTTGGTGTCTGCACCAATATTCATTTTTTTGTTTTGACCATTTGGATCATAATCAGATCTTTACTGCTTCACTTTTAAGAGTGTAATCCCTTGGGCTCTTGGTGGGACTAATTGATATTCAGAATTGTCTCTAAACTGCAGTTGTATGAATTTTAATCAGAAAATAAAAATAAAAATAGACTGTCCTGTAAAGAGAGTAATAGTTTATCTGTAACTGCAGGATATGAGTATCCGTGAAGCAGTAATGAGGGCCGAGAAAGCTTTAAAGATAAGCAAACGCAAAGATCACTACAAAACATTGGGAATTTCAAAAACTGCTTCTGCTGCAGATATAAAACGTGCCTACAAGAAACTTGCCTTACAATGGCACCCAGATAAGAATGTTGACAAAAGAGAAGAAGCGGAGGCTAAATTCCGAGAAATTGCTGCTGCATATGAGGTTTACTATTATCATGTTTCGGTTACTTAACCTTTCTCCTACAGTCTTTAATAGGGACGTGTGTACATTGTTGAATGGAAATTTCTAACAAAATTTTTTTGACACATGTTTTGATATTAGATGAAATTTAAGTGGGCCAATTAAATTGTCTTATTCCCAGTTTGGTGGGACTTATACCAAGTTCACCCAATAAGTGTGTTGAAAGTTGTGCAGTGTGTTACTAGCATTTCTTGTTACACAATCTTACGTTTGCTGTTGTTGTGGCCATTTATCTGGATGTCAATATTTTGTTGAATGACTAATTGTTGCAATTTGTATTAGGTTCTCAGCGATGAAGACAAACGCGTAAGATACGACAGGGGGGAGGACCTTGAAGAGATGGGAATGGGCGGTGGTGGTGGTTTCAACCCTTTCGGTGGTGGGGGCCAGCAGTTTACCTTTAATTTTGAGGGTGGCTTCCCTGGTGGAGGCTTTCCTGGTGGTGGTGGATTTGGAGGGGGCTATCCTGGAGGATTTGAATTTCACTTCTGATTGGAAAAGCCACACCCCCCATACTTTGATTTTCTGAAGGGACCACATCCATTATATTTAACTAATCCCTTGCTAACTGTTCAGATAAATACTTAGGCCTTCCCCGGTGACTTGTAGGATAAGAAACGTGCTTTAGAGAAATTTTTGCTTTATGCAGAAGTGATGGGGTTGGGATTGGGGTTGGATGTTAGTTAAGGAGACACATTTTGATTTGTAGCACATTTCATTTAGTGGTTGTCTGTTGTCACTATGTAACGACTGCTTCAAATTCCAGGCAACCATTATACATTTTGAAGGATTTAAATCAATGAAATTGCTTCACAATTAGAACCTTGGTAATTTCGAGATACTGCTTGAGATCTATTTAGCTGCAAACTTGCAACTATTGAGTAAAATTTTAAATTGATTTAGCTTTAGCTGTAGCTGTGGCCGGGGCTCTACAATTTTTAAACTATCAAATTCTCTTGTTAAGAATTTTACTTACCTGAATATGCACTTTTTTCATTTATTATCTGAATTGTGTATCATTTAGCGCCTATACTTATTTTTATTTTCTTGTCTTTTCCTCGTATTTGGACCTGTCATGCTTTGTTCAATTGGCATTCGGCCTACAAAAAATTGAGTTGGGGCATGCTCACATGCATACAGCATGAGAATCAAGCACATGCATATACATTACTGTCACTAACTTCAAATCATATTCACTTTTTTAATTATTTATTTTACATCTTTATTATTATTTTCCTGACTCGACGAGTTTCCATTTGTTTTTGACAGTGGAAAGCTTGTAAAATGTAAATGCTCCACCTCATTGAAAGTTTGTTTAAAGATTTGTCATCCATATATATATATATATACATATATATATATGATAAAAATTATAATATATAAATCTCTTCTAATAAATTAATTTTGTAAAATTGAATTAAATATATATCTTCGTTAAAAAGTGTGTTAGTCGTTCAAAAGTTTACTAATTTAAAAAGAGCGGAATAATCCAATCATAATAGAAGTTTTGTTGAGGTTTCTTATTCTGCATACTGCATATCTGGTGGGTTGCAAAGTTTATTATGTAGGAGTCTAACGTGAATACCTATGTATACTAATTTGATAGTTGATGCATTTTATACACCTTTAGTTTTGATTAAACTTTAACTATTTCCTTGTTACTTCTATTACATGAGTTGATTATTTCTATTATTTAAAACTGTGATGATGATATTTTTATACTGCTACGGAAACGTAGCATTTCCAAGAGTTTGGATTTGCGAAATTCATGGGCCAATACACTTTGAAATTGAAAGGCACAAATTTTTCCATTGCAAAAAAGTTACGAAGTTTTTTGTTTTTGTCTTACAGAAGTGCATGATGAGATAGAACAAACATACGTTTTGACAGTAATAACAAACAGTAGCTCCAAGTCTAAATTAAGGATTTGAAAGAAAAAATCATTTATATTGAACCCAAAATTTTTTAACATCATAGCAACACCAGCACACAAGATCTGCATCTCCATCATCATATCATCATCAACCAACCCAAACTTGCTCCAGGGGAAAAAAATAAAATAAAACAGGAACATGAAAAATGAGCCATCCTCCTAGGACTTATATTCAGAAACAAGAAACAGCAATCCCAGCAGCAACGAAGGTAACAACTTCAACTGTCTTCCTTTTCAAACTCACTGCACTCGAAGCATCAACCGACGAGTCCGAAGACCCTGATGGAGAATCAGCTTCCCCTGCCCGGACATTTTTCTCCGGCTTGGTCGGCGCCGGAGCCTCTGCCGGTGCTGCAGCCGGCGCCGTGGAGCCAAAGAGTGCCATAGGAAGAAGCACCTTATCGACCTGATACACTGCAAGCTGGTTATCACTGAAGATAGTGTTGGACACTGGTGCATTGACCACCCCGGTTGATACATTCACTTGGTTCCCTGAGGTGGTCACATTCAGAGGGTACTCTCCGTCGTCACTGTTCCCAGCTTGTGTGTGCAAAGGATTACTGGCGGTTTGGAACTGTGAGATGGTGTAGAGAGTGGGGAGGATGTGGAACTGCACCAACTGCATTTGGTCTTGTGAGTTTATGGAGTTTAGTGTTCCTGCTTTTAGGCTTGAGAATGCATTGTCAGTGGGTGCAAACACAGTTAGGCCTTGGTTTGAGTTGTTGAGTTGTGAATTGAGTCTGTCAGCTATTTGTGTGGCTTTGAGAAGTTTGATGAAGGTTGTAAATTGGCCTGCTTTCTCTAGGACCTGGGTGATGTTGGTGGGTCCTGCTGGTGCTGGTGCTACTTGGGCTGTTATTGTTTGGATGAAGAGGAGGAGGAGGAAATGGAATAGCTTTGCCATTAGTGTGAGGAAAATGCTAAAAATAAGAAGACTAAGATTTTTGTTACAAGTGGTTGGAAGGGATGTGGTATTATATATATCAGGGAGAGGGTGCATGGTGATTAGAGAGGTAAAAGGTTAGGTGAAAGGTTGCAATTAGTATAAGGTGGCAAGAGGCCCTCATGCAATCAATTTTCTTTCTAAAAGCATGACATTACAGGGAGGGAGAATTGCTTCCCTTGAATGGTCTTTTTATTGGTGAAGATTGGGAAATGGGTGATGATTTTGCTAGAGAAAGTTGTTTTGTTGAAGGGACCACTTGCAAATGGTTTTGTTTAGGTAAATAAATACTTAATAAGGCATTCCTAGATGCTTGTAAGATAAGTAATGTTGTGCTTTACAGAAATTTTTGCTTTGTGAAGAAGTGATGATGAGGTGGATGTTAGTTAAGGAGGGTCATTTTGATGTTGTCCCGTTTCCTTTTCTGTGGTGGTTGTCGCAACACAATGGAACCAGATGACTTTAAATTCCAGGTAACCATACACATTTGTGTCAATTGAATTATTCAAAGTTAATGGTATGAAAATTTTAGTTAATTTGATGAGTGACCATACATATTTAGCTGCAACGGTCACAAGTGAAATTTTAATTCATCCACTATACCCTTATTATACCTACTATATGTTATCAAACCATTGCCGTAATAAGTAGGTTTTCCATTTATATGTGGAAAACGATGCATGACATTGTTTGCTATACAGAGAAAAAATATGATTAGCTTGTTTTTATTTCCAACTACTGGAAATATGTGAGACAAAGAAGTTCAGCGATTTTACTCATTTTAATGGAAGAAAGTTACAAATTTGAGCCACAATTTCATTTTTTTCTTCCTAAGAAAAAAAGTGAAGAATGTTTAAAAATTTAGTCATAATTAATTATATAAATAAATATTTATTTAGATAAATAATATTTATTTATATAATCAATTATTTGTAAGGACATAATTAAGTAAAAAATCACAAAAGAGAAAGTTTTAAGGAAAGATTTTCAAAAATTATACATTAATTATTGATTTGGAGAATTGAGAATGGAGTTTGGAGGTTGATAAATTTTGAATTTTCTCCCAACTCATTTGAGAAATGCTAAATAATAGGGGTAATGAAATGTGAGATTTTTTTTAGTAGCGGATGCAGATATAATTATAATGCAATTGTTAATAACTGAGTCTTTCTCTTTATTATCTAAACTATTATTAGTTTTGATTTTTAAAAGAGATAAAACTCATCGAAACAAATATTATTTTAGTTATTAAAAACCACATATATAATATCAAGTTTAACAACGGATATTTTTTAGATCTCCTATTGAACATTTGAGTATTTAAAGTACATCATTGAGAATTTAAGATCAATTGATACAACTCAATCAAGATCTTGCTTAAATATTTCATCCCTTTGGAAATGATTTACTTTAAATTATTAATGTTTTGCGGTGGTCTTTTTTGTAAGTCTGCAAATTCATAGTTAAGAATGATAAACAAACCTTATTCTTTAAAAAGGTTTTAAGCCACTGTTGCAGTAATCTTAATTAAAAATATTATTTTATTATCTTTTGTTTAAATTAGATATTAAAAGTTTTTTATTATTTTGTAGAATAAAAGTAAAAATATTATATTATTATTTTAATTCAGATAAATATAGTTAAAATATTATTAATATTTAATATTTTGTAAAATTTCCATATATGTATAAAGTATACAAGTACGTTAATGAAATATGAAGATCCTCATATAAGATATATTTTATATATCAAAAATACATGTATACAAGAATTCTCTACCGATTTTGATTTGGAGCATCTCCACCTTTAGGAAATAAGGAACCAATCACCTCACCCAAACTCATGAATAAAATTCCTTGAGCTCATCCACAAATAGGTTTGACTCTTTAACACACAATCAAGAGAATTTATTTTCTCAAGCAACTATGAAAAGAATTGAACACAAACCCATTGAAGTCTTAAAACCAAACTAACCAATGAACTATATATATGATGAACCTAATCCATGACCAACATTAAAACTCTCCATAGTAATTATAAGATTTTTCTCCTCGACAATTAATTGAATATATACATAAGTATTTTCAAATTCCAAATAAGATGATGTAAGTTTTGAAAAAAAAATCTTATATACATTTTAAAAAATATTCAGCCATATGTAGAAACTTTGCTTCTAACCACCTTCAACAAATTAAAAAAGACAATAAAAAGAGAATTTGACTTCTATCTTACAAAATACTTCATAAATATGAATGAATACTCAAGAATTTAAATGAATTTGTAAAGATCCAGCACTAAATGTGGTAAAATTGATATAATAATTTCAAAAAACAAATCCAATTTATGTATTACATTTACAACTTATTATATTAATTAAATAATAATATTTATTATTTTATTTATTTTTAATTATTGATTATATTTTGGGTTGAAAACTTTAATAATTTTGAAAAAGAAAGGTGAAAACTAGGAATGACAATGAAACCTATTCATATGGGTATCAATCTATCCCCGTTCTGAATTTGATGGGTAAAAAAATCAAGTTGATCAAATGCATACCTGTTCAAATCTTTTTCTCGCATTATAAAGTTAAGGGCAGGGATGATAATATAATATTCACCCCGACGTTATTTCATTTTTATCCCCCACTCAACTTTATATTTAAATCTAAATCCTAAAATATTAATCTTTTTATTTTCTTTCTCACATTGGTATCAGAGCCAAGGTCACGAGTTCGATTCCTGGTGGACAATTGTTGAGGGGGAGATTGTTGCAGGTTGCACAATTGTCCCGTGGCGGAGGCCGGTGGGCCAAGTCACAATCCAAGAGTGGGATACCTTGTAGGACAATTGCTGAGGGGAGATTGTTGCAGGTAGCATCAATTGTCCTGTGACGAAGGTCAGGTGGGCCGAGTCACAATTGAATCGTGGCGCTTGGGCTGTTAAAGTAAAAAGAGTTGCGCTCTGACTAATGGCTATAGCTTTTGGCCTAGTGGTAAGCGCTCGATCCTAACAATTGGTATCAAGAGCCAATTTTCTTAGTATGCTCTGTGGTTGCAGCTTTGTCTGATCTTCCACATCAGAAAAGATTTGGTCTTTTTTTTTCTTGGGAATCTCAGTTTAGAGAAGCAGTGGGAGCTTTCTTCGAAAGCAGTGAGAGCAATGGCATTGGAAGAAGGAAAGGTGAGGATCGAGAAGTTCGATAGCAGTGACTTCGGGTTTTGGAAGATGCAGATGGAAGATTATCTGTATCAGAAGAAGTTGTATCTACCCTTGACAGGGCAGAAGCCAACCGACATGGAGCAGTCAGAATGGGAGTTGTTAGATCGGCAGACGCTTGGTGTGATCCGGCTGACATTAGCCAAGAATGTTGCGTTCAACATCATGAACGAAAAGACAACCGTAGATTTGATGCAGGCGTTGTCAAATATGTATGAGAAGCCCTCTGCAGCCAATAAAGTGCATTTGATTCGCAGGCTAGTCAACCTCAAAATGGGTGAAGGTAACTCGGTTACTAATCATATTAGTGAATTTAATGCAATTATTGCGCAGTTGACATCAGTGCAGATAATATTTGATGATGAGGTGAAAGCATTAATTTTATTATCATCTCTACCGGAAAGTTGGGGTGCAACTGTTACTGCAGTAAGTAATTCTGCAAGCAATAACAAGTTGAAGCTTGATAACATCCGTGACTTGATCTTAAGCGAAGATGTTCGCAGGAAAAATTCAAGTAGAATCTTTCAGTTCTAATTCAGGTTCAAGCATTGAGTACTGAAACTAGAGGAAGAAGTCGCCGAAAGGTCGTAATCAAGGCCGAGGCAGATCAAAATCCAGAGGGAGATCACAAGCAAAAGTCCGAATGATATCACTTGTTGGAATTGTCGAAAAAGGGCCACTTTTCAAATCGAGTGTAGGGCTCCAAAGAAGGACAACAACAACAACAAGAAGCAAGATGATGATCAATCAGCAAATGCAGCAGAATCGATGAAGTTGAAGATGCACTCGTTATGTAGTTTAGATAATTCTATTGACTCATGGATTATGGACTCAGGTGCGTCATTTCATACTACACCTTCCTTAGAACTATTATCTAACCATGTTTCTGGAAAGTTTGGGAAGGTCTACCTTGCAGATGGAAAATCTCTTGATATCATAGGAAGAGGTGATATTAACATCAGAACCTCTAATGGAAACGTGTGGACTTTGAATAATGTCGGACATATTCCAACCTTAAAGAGAAACTTAATATCTATAGGGCAGTTGGATGATGAGGGACATTACACCACTTTTGGAGATGGACATTGGAAGGTAATGAAAGGTAATCTTGTTGTTGCTCGTGGAAAGAAGCAAGGATCTCTCTACATGATTGCAGATGAGGATATGATATCAGTTGCAGAAGTTGGCAACAATTCCTTCTTATGGCATCAGAGGCTTGGGCATATGAGTGAGAAAGGAATGAAGCTCTGATACCAATTGTTAGGATCGAGCGCTTACCACTAGGCCAAAAGCTATAGCCATTAGTCAGAGCGCAACTCTTTTTACTTTAACAGCCCAAGCGCCACGATTCAATTGTGACTCGGCCCACCTGACCTTCGTCACAGGACAATTGATGCTACCTGCAACAATCTCCCCTCAGCAATTGTCCTACAAGGTATCCCACTCTTGGATTGTGACTTGGCCCACCCGGCCTCGCCACGGGACAATTGTGCAACCTGCAACAATCTCCCCCTCAACAATTGCCCACCAGGAATCGAACTCGTGACCTTGGCTCTGATACCAATTGTTAGGAACAAGACAATAATAAAGGAAAGAATGAAGGAGAGAAAAATAAACGACACAAGAATTTTAACGTGGTTCGGCTAAAATATGTATGCCTACGTCCACGACTACACTAGGAAGTATTTTTATTTCTGTGTATATCTCAAACTTTACATAGGGTTGCTTATATAACAAAATAGAGAACCTCATCTCACAATCCTAATTGATGTGGGACTAAATCAAGCACCATAATACTAACAATATAGTAATTCCTTCTATATATTTCATACTTTTTATCTGTCTCCTACTTACTTTTCACTCTTTTGTCTTTTTTAATAAGTTCATTATATTATTTTTTTTCTCTTACATTTTGTTTAATCACATTTTCTTATTTTCTTCAATCAATTTAGTTTTTTTTTTAACCAATATGACAAATACAAAGTTAATCTTTTTTTTCTTTATCATTTTATAAATATTTCACATTAATATTAGTAGTACCTAATATTATTTTATTTCTAGTTTATTTTAATTTCCTTTTGTTATGTCATATTTTCTATATTTTACTATCATATGTCAAATTTTATCTTATTAAAATAATTATATGTTGAAAAATGAAAAAAGAATTATTAGTTAAAATTTTATTACTTTATACTAATCAAATATAAATTAACGTATTAAATATTGACTTACAAACTATATATTTCATATTTATTAATATTTTTAAATGATAATTTAAAAAATAATTACTTTTTATATATAATCAAATGTTTGAAATTTGTGTTGCTGATAAAATTTACCAACAAAATTTTCTAGTATATCAGCGAGAAAAATGTTATGGGTAAAAGTCTGGTAGGTGGTATGTTTCACAAGACTTATCGAAGGTTTCATCCGTCGGTAATTATCGATGAATATATATGTCAGGTAATTATAAATAATAGTCCTCAAACCATTTATTGATGTATTATCCACTGATAAAACTTCTCTATTTTCAGTAGTCATTGTTTTTTGTCTCTTCCCATATAACCTATAACATATATAACATTCAGTCTATTCAACAATCCAATCATAAATCTAACTCAAATTAATAACAACTAAATTAAATGTACTATAAATCATCTCTAATCAAACATAATGTACAATCCTAAAAAGAGACTAAAGATATAACTAGAATTATAATATTATTTTATTAGATTACATCTAAATTTTAATTTAACATATAGATTGTGTAACTTTCCTAAACTCAAGTATTTATGAGATACGAAAGTATTTATGAGATACGAAATAATTATGAATGTTTTACTAGCCAAGACAAATTATATGGGCAAAGCTATTAAGGAGAATGTATATAAAGCTATTCAACAAACAATTTTTGAATAAAACTTAAATACATAGTATAAATTTGAATAAAAACGTTTAACCATATAATATTTATAATTTTAAAAATATATAAACAATTGAAATCTCAAATAAAAATTCTACTATTTATAATATCCTCTAACAAGGTAGTTTCATTATTAGTTTTCTTTATCTTTGCCCAAATTTTTTTTATTATTACGGTGAATAAAGTATTTTTATACATTTGTACATGTTTGCACTATAGTAATAAACAAGTACCTAGTTATATTTTACATTATAATAAATAAATTATAAGTTATTTTTCTCTTAATTTAAATATGTTATCACATATTAATTAACATGACAAAAAAAAATATTTAATAGAATCTAAATATTATTGGTGGTTCATACCTTTTTTTTCTTTTCTAATAGTTGTTTTTACGTGCTAAAATAACTTACTCATCCAACTGGTAAGATATGTTACTTTAATAACTATAATATATTTTATCACTTAGTAAAAAAAATTAATATAAATCATAAGACAAGTGGTATTAATCTCAAATAAAAAGTGCACCTAAACAACAATTTTGATTGTAATTTGCTAATAAAAAACTTACTATTCCTGGTACAACTAAACATTTTGTCCAATATCAAACATAGTTTCATGTAAGTGTAGAAATTTTTAAGATTCACTTTCCTCTCCAAGGATGGAGCATCAGCTAACTTTCACATAAAGACATTTGAATTTGGCTTGTGCATCATCATCATTTTTATTTATAATAATTTTAATTTATTTCTAATTTTATTTAAAATATTTAATATATATATATATATATATATATATATATATATATATTTTAAAGCACATAAATATATATACTAAGATTTCTGAATTTAATTCTCAATCACTACAAGAATTTTACATATTAGCTATGACACATTCCGTAGCTATTTTATAGCTAATCTCTCGTCGATATGTTTTGCTTCAGATTAGCTACAGAATAGTTATGGAATAGTCAGTAGCTAAATCCAAGTAGCTAATTAGATACAAATGTATTCTCTCTCAAACTTGTAGCAAATTTTGTCGCTAAATTGTCGCTAAATCCCTCACTAATTTAAATGATGAAATTTTGTTTATCTCTAGCTAATTTGATCTCCCAAAACTTGTAGCTAATCCGTAGCTAATCTTTCGCAATTTCGCTCTCACTAATCCGTAGCTAATCCCTCGCAATTTCGCTCTCACTAATCCGTAGCTAATTCCTCACAATTTCACTCTCGCTAATTCGTAGCTAATCTCTCGCAATTTTTCTCTCGCTAATCCGTAACTAATCTCTCGGAATTTTTCTCTCGCTAATCCGTAACTAATCCCTCGCAATTTTACTCTCGCTAATCCGTAGTTAATCCCTCACAATTTTTCTCTCGCTAATCTGTAGCTAATTCCCGACAATTTATCTCTAGCTAATATATGGTTAATGCTTCGCAATTATTTCCTCGCTAATCTGTAGCTAATCCTTTGCAATGTTTCTCTCGCTATTTCATAGCTAATCTCTCACAATTTTTATCAAAATTTATAATATCAAATATTTAAGATTTAAATTATTACTCATATTCTTAAAAAAGAAGACAAACTTATTAACTTTCAATATAAAAGTATTGTTTAAACATAGTTAAAATGATGTTTCAAACCATTAAAACATAACAAAAATAATATTTCATCTAAAAAGTTCTGTATAACACAATTAAAAATAAAAACAAAGTTTAAAGTACGTTTTCATCATTGTTTCTTTAAGGCAGATAATAAATCTTTCTTGAAATACTACATTTCTTCTTGCATTTGTTGTTGCATGAAAAAATGGTTATCCTACAAGATAAACCCACAAAGGACTACATATATCTTTTCCACTATGAAAAGTTAGCCATCAACTACTCATGCAACTTCAGAATCTGATGACGAAGATGTGCGCATACTATCAGATGAAACATCAAGTAACTCATGTTCTTGGAGAAAAGACAAGTAACGTGAGTTTGTAACAGAAGGAATTTTAGATGATATTGGATCTCCTTTCCTTGAAATTGTTAACTCATGCCCAACCATCTTCGTATCAATTTTGGTTCCAACAGAACTGATTCCTTTCTTACCATCTGCAAAGCTTGACTGAAGCAAATTTATCTTCATTTTTTAATGAGTGTCATGATTAGTGTGAGTGCCACCAGAAGTCTGCGGGACCTGGGAAATCACTTCATTTTGTTTCTTCTTGGATGAGTTTGGAACCACTTCATTTTGTTTCTTTTTCGAAGAACTTGAAACACTTCATTGTGATTTTTCTTTGATGAATTCAATATTTCCTGCAATTTGCGTCGTTTCCCGTTTGAGGATTCATTTGATGATGTCTGGGATATAGGTTCTTTCATATGCAAGTCTTGTAAAGGGAAGGTTGAACAACTAACATTTTCTGGATGTGGTTTTGATCTCTTGGAGGCAACAGAGGTCAGTGTTAGTCCGAGATACTCTTTGGCCCATTTATAGACTGCACTTAATTTCCCATCCAAAGCTTGACAAAGAACATTCAAATCACTGATCTCGTAATGGTATAAGAGAATGTTGTTGCTCCAAGGGCAAGAACAAAAATGTTTTGCATGACCAAGACACTCAAACTTGTCATTTGAACATGAACACCCTACAGCAGACAAGTGTAAATCATACAGGCAAATACTACATTCCCTTCTACAAGTGGCATAAAAATTTTCATCCATTCTTTTTGATACTAAAGAACTGGAAAGAAATTTCCTCTTCAAAATTTCACTCTGGATGCGAGACTACACAAAGGAAACAAATATAGTAAGAATGAATGCAACCTGAATATGCAGCCAACTTTGAACAGAAAACAAGAAATGAAGGAAAGGAGGGGGAGAAGGCCTTCAGAACTTTCTTATACTATTAATACGTAAAATACATGCCTCTTCCGTCAGTACAATTTATGAAAATAAATAATTGAATACTCGTTAATCAATGGGGGTTTGAAGTTGATAATAAACAAGTTCTCAAAAACTAGGATTTCAGGCTGAAAGACTTACGTTGAAAGCTTTTGTTAAGAACTCATTTTTTCGATAGATGCTTATATCTCAAGCAGTCTGATGATGTGCTCTTCATGCATAGCCCACACATTCTCTTTCTCTTCATGTCTATCTTTCCAAAAACTCTTTTAGTGTGGTGAGGCCAACACTCTTTGATTCACTCCAACCAAAAGCCAAACAGAAACTTAAAAAAAAAAAAAAAAAAAAAAACACACACTTCAACCATTATTGAATGTGAAAACAGTCACCAAAAAAACAGTAATGTCATTCAAATCAATGTTCAAAACTAAAAACTGAGAGTGCATTGGATAGCTATCTATAAATATACACATAAAAAAGCATATACATAAAGCAACTAATATTAAGAGAATTTAATTAGAAGGGTGAGATATGACTTACCTGGTAGTAAAGAGTGAGATTGTTTATAGTTTCATGCGCACAGAAGAGTTTAATATGTGATATGGCACTTCCCAGAGTCTTATATACTGCACAAGTTTGGAAGAGGCATTAGGCAAATATGATTTGGCAAAATACACATGTTATAGAAAAATGGAGACATTTAGAATTTGTTAATTAGATTTACGAATAAAAGAATTGTCTTTCATGTTCGTGGTTCATTGTCTTTCATGACGTAAAAAGCAAATTTAAATACCTACGCGTTTCATGAGGTCTAATGAGAACCAAATAACTCCATGACTTATCACATATGAGCATGCAAAATTTGTTAATCATTACACAACTGCTTCAAATCATGACAAAATATACCAGGTTCCAAGGACACACCATAAATATATAATAACACACAAAAATTAACCATTGTTTTGTAGGTCTATAACATTTTCTTTTATTTGGATCAATCTGCATTTGTTGTATAAACATTTTCTTTTATTTGGATCAATCTGCATTTGCTGTAACATGATATACGTAATAGTGCTACTTACTCAACAGAACAGAGTTCACTCTAAAAATAATACACAACAAACTTAAAACTATTAGGTAATTTATATAAATTTTTGCAACTAATAGTTACAGAAGATTCATGAGTTTAATCCTATGAAGAGAAATAATTAGTAAGACTTAAGTTGCAACTGATAATGACTGACACAACGCATGGTTCACAAGTCCCCAATTGGAACCAGAGCATACCTTGCTGTACAATGTTCTGCTTATTAAACATTTTAAATCACCTATTTTTGTTCAATAAAGCAAAGAATTGAAGCTATGTATAACAAATTTCATTTTTAGGCGATAGACAATTAACTATGGATGAAACTTAAACATATATTGAATAAAATCAAACCTCCCAAAACTCAAATCATAGGGTAACATTCAAAATGAAGAAGAGATTACCGTGAGAAAACATGAGCCCAGCGTGTGCGGAAGCGGCGCAGGACAGCAGTAGTAGGCGAGGAATCCGCCGGCTTTTCCAGAAGCGGCGCACGCCACGTCGGACATCTCGATGAGCGTGACGACAGCTCCCTTCGCCCCCAGAAAGTAAGCCGTGCAAACTCCTATGACTCCGCCGCCGCAGACAACTACCCGCTTCGACTGATCCATGGGCGATGATGACTTAATCGACTTTGCTCTTGAAATGGGAGCTCTGTTTTGCGGATATACAATTGTTGGTGGCTGCGGAAACCCCACCACTACATTCATGCTCATCCAATTTCTGAATATAATAATTTTTTTATTTCTTATAAAGAATAGTTTCTAAAAAAATGATAAAGAAATATTATTTATAAAATTTTTCTATTAATTTAAATATTATTAAATATTTCTAACAAATTTAAATTTATAAAAAACTTACAAAAAATAATTTTAAATATTTATCAATTTTTTTAGATATTTTTTCAAAAAAATTATAATTATTTCTAAATAATTTATTTTAGATAAAAAATAATTTATATATATATAATTATATTTATAGTAAATTTGGTAAAAATAATTTTTTTAAGAAAAAATTGTAATTAATTTTTATTGATATTTTTTTCAAAAAGATCAAAAATTGTTTTTTATAATTATATATTTTTAGAGAAATTTACAAGTATTTTTTATAAATGATTATTTTATAAAACTAAAATAATTTATAAGAATAGTTTCCAATAATTTAATATTTTTTTCAATTTGATAATTGCTATAAATTTGTTACAGTTTAACTATAATTGTATGTTACACAATTTAGCTAGGAAATAACTTAAAAAAATAATATAGTTAATATTTATAGCGAGAGATTAGTGACAAAAATTTTTCTATCTAAATTATTTTTCTGCTAAGTGAGAGAATAGCTACAAAAATATTAGTTTTCTAGCTATTTTACTGCAGATTAGCTACAACCTTATTCTTTCACTATTCCATAGCTAATTAGCTACAAATTAGTGAAAAATAAATTTTGTAGTTAATTTTCTTAGCTAATTATAAAATTTGTTGTGGTGCAAATTCAAGAGTATTAATTTTTTGATTAATTGTAATAAATAATACTATGTTTTTTTAACTTATACTGTTAATAAAACTATTAAATAATTTTTTATTATAATTAAGGGTTTCAATATTTAACTAATATAAAATTTTAAAATTATTTACAAATTTGACCATTTAGAAATAATTCTTACAACTTTAAACTCAATTTTATTATGTATTTATTAAATTATCAAGTTATTTAATATATATTCAAATTTAAATTCAAGTAATAATAATAATTATTATTAAAATAATCTAAAAAAATAAACTTTATTTAATTATGATTATAATAATTTACTTTAATTTCTATAAATAAAATTATTTAAATATTGATGGAGTATGAGATTATTTATGATAAAAGAAATTAATAACAGAAAAGTAATTGTAATAAAATGTGTAAATAAAGTTATTAATAATTTTATTATAAACAAGATTAATAAATATTTAATAAATTTATTAATAATTTTTATCATAAATTAAACTCATAATTATTTATTAAGTAATTATTAAATTAATATATTTTAGTGAACAATATTTACTCATTAAATAGTTAATACATTAATCTTTATTAAATAATAATTAATATAATAATATTTATTCAATTATTTCATATTTTTTATTAGTTAATTTATTAACGTTACCAACGAATTTATTAACGATATTTGTGACTATAATAAAATTGATCGATGAATATTATTTCATCAATAAATTTTCGTTAATAATATAAATTTATCGACGAAATAATATTCGTTGATAAATTTTGATCTATAATATAAATTTATTGATAAAATAATATCTGTTGATAAATTTTCATAAATAACTAATAATTTTTTGTAGCGTGATATATTTAAGAAATTATGATATAATATTTTGTTCCACAATTTTTATAATCTCAATATATTTGAAAATAAACTAAAGTTAGTTAAAACAAATAAAAATTGAAACATGAAATCTTACGTAAGAATAAATTTTCTTTTGAATTATAGTTTTTGATAAGTATGAAATCAAAATTTTAGGAATAAATTCAAACAAATAATTTTTATAAATATCCTAATATATTCTTTTAATAAAATCTTAAAAGAAGTTTTTTAGGGACTGTATCCTAAATAATAAAATAAGTTTTTCCTGTAAATATTAAATCGTACAAACTAACATAGTAAAATATTACAGACATTAAATATAAAGGAAAATAATATAGTTTAATTAAACTTTTATAAATTCAAAAATATATGTCATAACTCTAATAATGACTCATATTCTCACTAAAAATTAATTTTTTATTAACAAAAGTTTATCAAGGAATGTGTGTAAAGATACTCAAGTCTTAAGGATTTTTTTTCGCACAAAAAACTATGTAGAATCTCATGATAGGTTTTTATATTATAATAATTGTATTGGGTAAAAATAAAATATATTCATGGTCTTCTCATATTTCCGCTAGTTTAAGGGAGGTTTTTTCTAACTTCAGAGAAGCATGCTCACTTGCTAACTTAGGCTATTTTTTTTTTTTTAAAACAATTTAAGCAATGGTTTACTTCATTAGCTTCAAGCGAGAGTTTTATGCAAGAAATTTTACTAATTTAAGCGAGTTTGCTAATTAATTAGTTTAAGGTAAGAGTTTTGCCTAATTTAATCGTGAGATGGTTTCATCTAGTTAAGGAAAAAGTCACACTTATTATTTGTATCTTATACTGTTTTATCTAAACAAGGAGATCTACATTATAAATATTGTTTTTATCTTTAAACAGATATTTCTTTTACATAGTTTTAATTATTTCACTTCACACCATCAACAAATCATCAAGATTTATCTATTTATTAACAAAAGATGAAATAAAATATCAAAAATTAAAAATAAATATTTTTAAAAATATTTACAACTAATTAAAACCGAGTTGTGACAACCAAGTTCTACTTGATTAACGGAAAGTAAAATTCAAACACCCACACAATTTGTACTGAATGGACAAAAATTCATCATTGCACCCAATTACAGATTCAATAGGAAAGAAAAATCATGTACATGGAACCCAAAATTTGAACTTATTAGCGACCAAAAATACTACACGAGATTTTCATCACCAATGAATTCAAACTCACGCACGAGAAAAAGAAAAACAAGAACAAAGTACAAGAAAAAAAATGAACAATCTAAGCCCTACATCCACAATTAAGAAACAACAATTGTCACAGCAATAGGTTGGATTGTCAAGTCCATAAAACTCATAAACATAGAATGTTTATTTATTTTAATAAATATGAAGGTGAAGGAAGTAAGAGTTTTTCTTAACTAACCCAAGGATGAGATAAGCCCAAACATCTTGGTCTGCTACTACGCAAGCGACGAGGTTTAGTGGGCTTCATATAGTCCATTTGGTGCGTCAACGGGCCTTTGGCATGGACTCTTAAAAGGCCGAAAAGTGAGCTGGCCTGAACGGAAATGTCGAGGGCACATTGGCACGCATAAGAAAGCGTGAATAGTGAGAGATTGTGCAACACAACGCACATAGAATGAATGGTATTGTGCTTCGTTATAGACTAGACTAGACTAATTTGCTTGCTTGCAGGAATTAGAGCGTCGAACCTATTGGCTTATCCCTGAATCGCGATTTTCAGTTCAAAAAGTGCAAGCTGATACGATCAGATAAGATACGAAGAGAGAAAAAATAAAAATAAAAAGAAGGTAGTAATTCGCAAATGGCAATCGTGACCGTCGATTACGTTGACCGATGTATATAAAAAAGACGCGATTCGCAATTGCCATTGGCATCGCCAGCGCACACATCAAATCAAACAGCCGCAAACCCTCAGTTTGTTCTTCTCGTTGGCGTCCCCTCTGATCCGCGTTGGCAGAGAAGAAGCCATTGCTGGACCTTCCAAACCCTAACAGAGTCACGCAGTAAATTGCGATGTGATGATCGTGCACAGGTGACGTTGCACGGCACGATGATGAACACAACGAACGGCATGATGTCACCGTCTTCTTCCTCTTCGGGAACAGCACAGTCGCCGGGGCTCAAAACCTATTTCAAAACCCCCGAGGGACGATATAAGCTTCAATACGAGAAAACTCACCCTTCTGGTCTTCTTCATTACGCCCACGGCAAAACCGTTACTCAGGTTCGCTTTAAACCTGACTCAATTCTCTTTGCGATGATGGTTACTGCTCGTCTTGCTGTTGCTTGTGATTACTGATTTTAGGGTTGAGGAGACTCGCTTTCTCCATTTCTCATTATGTGTAATTTAACAATCTATCTTTTTACATCATTTTTTTTTCTGCTTTGATTCATTCCTAAGAGATTCCTTCTAATTCATTATATTCTTTTCTAATCTTGAGTCGTCTGAGTTCTGATTTTCGCTTCTAAATTCAGTCGTGACGATGTTTTTTAGGGAAATGATGGCATTTTTGGGACGAGTAATTGACCTTGGCTTTCAGTTCCACATGTTATTTTATTGTCTTTTTACTGATTTCTAGTTTCGGGAAATTCTCTAATGCTTTTCCATTCGTTACCATTTATTGAATCAAAATGGAGCTTGTCTTGGCATATGAGTGAATTGTTGGTTTTATTGAACGATCAGGTAACCCTTGCACATCTCAAGGACAAGCCTGCGCCTTCTACACCAACTGCGTCGTCTTCAAGTTTCAGTGCCAGCAGTGGGGTACGGTCTGCGGCAGCTAGATTGTTGGGAGGAAGCAACGGAAGCCGGGCACTTAGTTTTGTTGGAGGCAACGGTGGCAGCAAGAGTAATGGAGGCAACAGTAGGATTGGTTCCATTGGAGCCTCGAATACTAGTAGCTCAATGGCTAATCCAAATTTTGATGGGAAAGGGACGTACCTGATATTCAACGTCGGTGATGCAATTTTCATTAGCGATTTGAATTCTCAAGACAAGGTATATTGTTTGGACTTTGATTGATTTTAAGGATTTTGGATTTGCTTCATGAGATATTTCTTTCTTGCGTGTAGGACCCCATAAAGTCTATTCACTTCAGTAACTCGAATCCTGTTTGCCACGCGTTTGATCAAGATGCTAAGGATGGGCATGATTTGCTCATTGGATTGAACTCTGGCGATGGTAAAGAAGTCTATTAAAATTTAAAATTTCACTTTTTAAGGAAGATTGAAGCTTTATGGATTTTTGTTCCTGTGTATTATTGTAGTCTACTCAGTGTCACTGAGACAGCAATTACAGGATGTTGGTAAAAAGCTTGTTGGAGCCCAGCATTACAACAAAGATGGTTCTGTCAATAACAGGCAAGATACGATTATTCTATCCCTTGTTCTGTTTTAATTACGAGTGCTTACTTATCCCTGAATTGTTGAAAGACTTAATTTGCAAAAGCATCTTTTCTTTATACAAAGTGTATTAGGATACAGGAATTACAGCAATTTTGAATTTTGACTGCTACATGTGCTGATTCACAGTTGGAAGGAGATATTCATTCTCGAATGTTAGTTCTAACACAACTTCATAAGCAACAAGCAATTTTCTTTAGAAATTTCTGGGTGTTGATTGAGCTTGTAGTGCCCGTTTTCAATAATAGATTATAAATTTATAAGAAACAAATAAACTGTTAATATTGTGCACAGATGGTCCAACTTAGATAGTTTATTTACTTTGACTGTACCCTCTAATAAAAAAGGTCTTGCTAATTGCTAATTTTAATGAGTATTCTAAGGACTCTAGTGAAAATTTGACTGTGCCCTTAGAATACTCTTAAGGATTTTGAGTTCTGTTTTTACCTTTCCCTTGCTAATTCAGTTTGTGAGAAATTGTTAAGATGTGCCTAGTTTTTTAGTTTGAATGTCTTGGTGAATGGTGTCCTGGACATAGTGATTTGTCTGTTATGTGAATGAAGGTTTGATAGAACCATGTCATTTAATGTTGTTATGAATATTGAATATCATAAATTATGACATAATAATAGCTTTATATAGTTTCTATTTATTCATAGGTTATTAATATTATCTTTTATACTCGGTAAACTCATGAGTTTATGAGTCTTGAGTTTGACAACCTTGACTGGAAGTATGCTTATGAGATGTTAGTTTCATGTATTTTTTATTATTTACATTTTCCTTTTATGTATAACTGAAACATAGTGATTAAGCAACCTTCTAAATCTTTTATCTGTTTATGTTTTAAAATTTGAGAAATCCTTTATACTATCCTTTTTATCTTTTTGTTCTTTAAACTTCAACCAGAAAGATTTATTAATTATAAATATAAACATTGATAATTATTATGTATTAGCATTTTTATGAAAATGATTATGCTGGCTAAGGATTTATTCTCTTGGATTATTTTATCTCGTCTTGAATAGGCATGCTAGTCAAATCCAGCAGATTAGTGGCTCAAAAAAATGCTATGATTTAAGCCAAACATGAGAACATGGTTTAACCAGTTAGTGGAAAATTTAGTTTAATATTATGCAAGAATATTACTGGTTTATCACAAGTGTATTACTTCTACTATGTAAAGTATGTGAATGTTGATATGTAGTTGACTTTAGTGATTGTAATGCTTTGTATTGAGTGGTAAGTTAAAGATCAATATCTGAATTTTCAGTTGTTAGAATTGTCCGGCTAACATTTAGAGCTTTAATATAATGTGTTGGAGTCTTATGCCAAAGATGCTAATTGGAACTCTTAATTGGTGATTTTGAATTGGACAGTCGTTGTACATGTATCGCGTGGGTGCCTGGAGGTGAGGGTGCTTTCGTTGTTTCTCATTCTGATGGTAATTTGTACGTCTACGAGAAGGTAAATCTCAATTATCAATTCAGAATCTTATTATATGGTTCATTTATGATGAGATATTTCTTATAGTGAAGAAGATATTTAGCTTTTCTTTCTCATCTCAGAACAAAGATGGTGCTGGTGATTCTTCTTTCCCAATTATAAAAGATCAAACCCAATTTTCTGTTTCTCATGCACGTTACAATAAGGTATTGAGTTTGATGATGGTTGTGATTCCTAAATAACTTATTGATATGCAACTTACTTTTTTCCCTTTTGTTTTACTTGTCTATATGTTTTAATTTTTCTGTAGATTCAGCCTGTATCATTAGATTGACCGGATAATTAATACATCCAAGATATAATTAGTAGTTTTTGGATATGATACATTAATACTGCCTGCAATTTTGGTGGAGATTATGTTACGTTATTACAGCTATCTTTTTTAATATTGACTGCAGAGTAATCCAATAGCTAGATGGCATATATGCCAAGGTTCAATTAACAGTATTTCTTTTTCAATGGATGGAGCATACTTGGCGACAGTGGGACGAGATGGTATATATTTTTTTTTATCTAATTTTATCATTTTCATATCCTTACAAAGATAACATTTCAATTTATTCTATTTATTACACCAAGGTTATCTGCGAGTCTTCGATTATGCAAAAGAACAACTTACATGTGGTGGGAAAAGTTACTACGGTGCTTTGTTATGTTGTGCTTGGAGGTAGTTATGCATGACTCTAGTTAATTTATGAAAATACATGAGTATAATATTTTTTTAGTTTTCCTATACAAATTCATTTAGTTTTTCTATACAAATTCATAATAAAACTCATATATGACAGCATGGATGGAAAGTATATTTTGACGGGAGGGGAAGATGATTTAGTTCAAGTTTGGAGCATGGAAGATCGTAAGATTGTGGCATGGGGTGAAGGACATAATTCATGGGTAAGTTACGTACAAATTTTAGTTGTAGCAAATTTTGATGCAAATGGCAAAATGAAGTTATTTTGATTTGGTTATCATAATGGTGCAATCAGGTTAGTGGAGTTGCTTTCGATTCATATTGGTCATCTCCTAATTCAAATGATAATGGAGAGACGGTTATGTATCGATTTGGTTCTGTTGGTCAGGTATTTTTATTTTAGATTTTATTTTCATTTATATAACATTATTTGTTCAATCTTATTTTGTTATTTGAATTTATCCAATTTCAAAATATTTTTATTTTGAAAAAACGAAGAAATCATACTATTATAATTATACAATATAATGATAATAAATTTAGTTTTTCTTATCTATATCCATATATATAATATTAGTAACAAAAAATTCTATAGAAATTTTTGAAGTAGAATTGACGAAGAACCAATACCAATAATAATCTTTATTAATGTAAAATTTCATTTTTATTTTAATTCTTACTGTCAATTTTGCTGATCAGGATGCACAATTGCTTTTATGGGATCTGGAAATGGACGAGATAGTAGTGCCCTTGAGGCGGCCTCCTGGTGGATCCCCAACTTATAGTACTGGAAGTCAGTCATCGCATTGGGACAATGTTGTCCCATTGGGTAACTTGCAACCTGCTCCGAGTATAAGGGATGTTCCAAAAATCTCTTCTTTGGTTGCACACAGAGTGCATACTGAACCACTTTCTGGTTTGATATTTACCCAGGAATCTGTGCTTACTGCCTGTCGGGAGGGACACATCAAAGTCTGGGTGAGGCCTGGAATTGCTTCTGAGACCCAATCAACCAATTCTGAAAATTTATTAGCTACCGGTCTCAAGGATAAATCTTCCTCACTTTCAACTAAAGTTAGTAATTCCAGTTATAAATAATGAGTAGGACATGTTTGGTCCAAACAATATTTATATAGAAATTATTTCAAATTTTAAGTCATTTATAAGTCTTTATCACTGTTTATATTATGTTTTATCTCAAATTTTTACATGTCTTAAATTGATTTTTTTATTTAAAAAATTTTAAAATTATAATAAATATGATAATACTTTTAATTTCTTTTTTCCTTTTGTTAGTCATAAACTTCCCTATTCTCTTAAATTACCTATTTATTATTGTTTTAATATAGATTAATAATGTTTAATTTTTTAATATAAAATTTAATAGATAGAAAATATATATACTACTTCGTCCTATTTATACTTACAGAAATATTAAAAGTAAGTTATATGATTTTTTTAACCCTTGGGTAATTTAACTGTCTTCAATAACATTTTTATTATAATTAGAGTAATTTTATTTAATTTAAATTAATTTTTTTATATTTTTATTTTATAAATATTTTTATTAAATAAAATAATTGTTTAAAATAAACTAACATTTTTATATAAAATGTATTAAACTGATTTTGATTGGATAATATAGTGATTAAATATGACGTGATCACGCATTTTTATTTAATAGGTTGGAATGGGATAAAAAGATGTATTTTTATCCTATCTCATCTCTTTCATCTCTATTTTCTATTTTACTGGCTTAGTTAAACAAATATATTATATTTTAGATAGAAAATGAATAGATTATAAATCTTATTCTCCTATATTTCCTTTCCCTTAATACAAGGCGATTTGAAATTAATTAATCAATTATATATATATATATATATATATATATATATATATATATATATATATATAAACTTTAGGCTGTAATTACTAAATTATTCTAAAATCTTATTTTAACTTTCATTTCCTTCATTGATATTTGTAACAACATAATAGTGCTAGGGTTTTTTTCTCTTCCCTTCCCTCTCACGTCTTCTATTAAAATTCTCTCCTTGAGCTAAAGACAAGGTGATTTTTCTGTTAGTGTTCACAAAATTTACTTTTTAAAAGGCTTCTCCTTAGTTATGCAAACTATGACGATTCTGATAAATATATGAACTTGAGGTGATTTTTCTGATAGTGTTTACAAAATTGCGGTACAAAAACGAACCTTACTTTATCCTTTCACCAATAGGATTTGGTCAGAGGTTTGATGCAAGTCCAATATGGCCTCAGAGTTAAAATTGGCTTCTGTGTTTCCAATGAGTCAGTGGTCACAAGGAATGAGATACTTGTGTATTCCCGTGAGCACCACGGAGTCAGAAATAAAAAATGGCGTAATGTGCTTAAACTGGTCCATGCATTATATTTATATTTATATTTCTATGTACAACTAGCCACGATTAATGTAAAAGTATGTATATTCTATGTCAGCTCACATGCACTGAAGTGTCTCTCACATTATCTTCATGATGCCATGGAGAATCTGTGTGAGGTTGATGAGGTAGTACCACCTCTTGAGAACCACGTTGTTGATTCAACTGACCAACCCATCGTCTTCTCCACTTCAAAAACTCAATAAGAATGAAAGCTCCACACATTACAGTTCCAAACCCAGTAAATGTAGCAAGTAGGATAGATAGAACAGCTTGCTTATTAAGCTGTCATGCAACAAAATAATTGACATTAGAGATGGAAATTTTTACAATTCTTTTGCCAATACAATTGGAAACAACTATATTCAAATCCACACCAATCCTAGTATAATTTTCATTGAAGAGATTTGCTCACAACCTCTAGTATAACTTTTCCATCCTCACCAATACAAGATTTTCTTACCAGTGAATAGCAAAGACGTCCAGCGAGGACCACCACAACAAATTGGACAATTGCATAAGCCCAAACATGTTCACACCTCACTGAGAACAAATATAGGGGAATCAGTGCAATACCAAAGGCTGAATTCAAATATCTGGTGTTGTCTAAAAGTATAAAAGGTCCTACCCATTATTGTGGATGTCATGCTTGCAAGTAGACCCAATATACAAGAAAAAGGAAGAGAAATGGCAACGGCACCAGATCCCATACTTGAAACCTGCTCAATGATATAATTTGGAATTCATATACACCAAAGGAAACATTATCCGAGAGTAATAAAACTTACAAGTAGCTGCTCAAGAAAACAAAAGTATGCTAGCATGTTGATGATAACAAGAATGGGAACATTTTGCCAAACCCTGTGGAAGTTCTAGATATCATCATTAAGTAATCAAGAAATATTCTCAGATAAAGAATACTCAAGAAAAGCAGTGGTTTTCCCTTGCCTGTATTGTTGACTTCTGCTCCTTGTCAAGTTAAGTGCATGGCCATTTAAAACTCTTAGAAGGGTGACAGGTAGGTTCTGAACTTCCTGCTTGCACACATCACATGTTCTGTTGCCTTTAATGCTAAACCATTTAACTGCACACTCTTGGTGTGCCAGAGCAAGTTCACCTTTGCAGCTGCACTCCATTTTAAGGGTATCACAACCTTCCCCCAATTCAATCAAACAAATTCTGCAGACGGCTTCTTCTTCAGGAATATCTTCTCCATCCTCATTTTTAGCTGAACCAAAACACTCAGAAGCACAAGATGGTCAGTTATATAGCTTAATCAGAAGGTCCAACTTCAAGCCAAAAACTGATAATTTGCAATGTAGAAATTAGTAATATTATCAAAGCCACTGGCTCATATGAAAGAGCACGTATTAGATGAGGGAAAGACAGTCCAAGTAGGACACAGAGTTGAATGAGCAAGGGAGCGGGGAAAACTGAGGGTTTAATAGGAACGAATAAGGGTTAGTTAGATTGATTTATATTTTAGGTAGGGAAATATATTAGTTCCCACGGTTGTGTCCTTCCTACTTAAAGAATCAATAATACAGAATAATGAAAACCCATTAATTCCATATGAAGAAAGCATGTTATTAGTTAGGTTGATGAATATCATGAGCATAGTAGAAACTTTGAATATCTTGAACTTAAGGATTAAATATCACCATCATAAATAGCCCTTAGTTATAGTTAATATAGTTTGTATAAAACAAAATTCACCCCGTCTCCAAGCAGCATGTAGTTTTACTCAAGACAAGAAATGCATTGTCCAAAGTTTTAGCATTAATTGAACCTTTTTCGGCTTCACGAAAAAGTTACTAGTAACTGTTACAGAACTTTATTACACAAGCAAGAAAAATTACCCGTATCAGCAGGTGGAGATTTGAATGATGTTGGTGTAGTAGTAACAATACGAAACATGGCACCTACAAATGTGTTGCCAATTTCGGAAAGCACTGGAACTGAACGAGAACGATGCATCGGTAATTGCTGTCCTTTCTTCTGTAAAATGAGAAAAAAATGAATCAGTTAAAAATGGATGACAAATTATCCTGGTCTAACATCAAAACATCCAAATTCAATTATGATTTGGGAAGGCAAAAAAGATATGAAATTAGCATTTGTTTTAGAAGATTAACATATAAAAAAAAGTACTACAGATATTAGTGTAACTTACAGAAAGGGATATAAGGTTAAATTATCAGAAATTAAAAAATGCATCTCATGAAGAAAGTGATTTTTACTAAATTGGAATCTATTAGTAAGAGCTTTATTTTGATCCACTGACACCTTCCAACAACATTCAATTCCATGTTTTCATATTGAAGTAGTTTGATTTCTTAGGTAATTGTAATCGCACTCAAACTCTTCAATAATGTGTTAAAGATATTACAGAAGTTTTATCGTAACTATAGATCAAAATTAATTTTTTTAGCACATAGGTACCAAAATTATGTATTTGAAACTGTGACTATTATATTATTATATAGAAGAACTAGATACCAAATTTCTTGCAATAGGTTATTAAGAGAGACAAACGAATTGGCTGACTCGATTTATCATTGAAATTGATATTTGAAAAGATGTGCAGGTGTTAACGCAGTGAGCTTGATCTCTTAAGTATTAAAATTGTTGTCATTTATAAAAGAAAAAACTATGATATACTTGTCAGATTTGAACTGAAGAGATGTTATGTGCATGTTGCATGAATTCTGAAAGAGTAAGATAGTAAGCAGACCTCTGCAACTGCTGTAGAGGAAAAGCAATGCTGAAAGAACCATATCTATATTGACAATTCATCTGTTTTACTGGTTCAAATTTTGGTTACTTTATTGGCCTTCACAAACAAATTTTCCGAAAAGAAGTAAGATGCGTGTCAAAAAAATTAGGAAAAATCTGATAGTGTGAGAGTGAAATCCATATTTCCAATAAAACTAACATCTAGCAATCTGTATATTTATTGTAAACAATATATGCGCTACACACAATTTCATCAGAAAAAAACTAAACAAAACATGATAGAAACATCCTGAGTTAAAAAGGGCTTTCTTCACAATGATTTGCAACTTTATTGTCAATGTCATGTTATTTTAAATAATTAAATATGACCATTACAATACTAGTATAAGTTGCAAAGGCACTCACAGTATGTGTTGCTGGATAGGCAATGTTCCCTACATGTTCAGACTCCAGATTTGACTGAGCATTTGGGGTGACAGGTAAGGATGATATTTTCTTCCCATCAGATGATAATGTTCTTGAAATCATGGTTTCTTGCAGTGGGAGGGAAGCCTCTTCAAAATCTGAACTTGTGTTGCGAAATTTAAAACTGAGCTTGGGAGCAAGAGTTTTTGTATTCTTGGTTGACAAGGGACTTTGGAACTCATTTATTTGGTATTTATGACATGGAGTCTGAGGTTTGTTTGTTCTAAAAAATTCCTGTCTTGTTTCATCCAGCGTTCTTGTGGGTATCTCCAAGATTAGGTTTCTCCTCCTCCCTTGTGCATGTCTACTAGGGTGTTCCTCAGTTATTTCGGATGACTCTACATCCTACACAGCAAGACGCCAAAATGAACTTTCATTAAAAATAGAGGAAAAATAGTTTCCCACCAAGCTCAAAAACAGCAAATCTTCTAGTTATACGCACACTTTTTCTCAACAAAACATAGTTTTCCCTTGTGTTTTGCTTATGCATGTATATTTTTCCAGTATAGAAGAGATAATCTAAGTAGATATGCATTAAACATGATGTGACTTTATGCAAGAGTTTCTCTGACTCGTGTGTTCTGAACTGATCTCTGCTTATGTGACAGAGGGTTGTGTTGCTAGAACCATACAGTCACTAATGAATTACCATTTAATAACTATTTGACAGAGTAAGACACCACAAAATCATGAAAAGTCTTTAGAATATCATATTGTCCGTGATTGATAAGTAATTGGATGCTTTGATTGGCCAAGTTTTCAACCTTAGCTAGTTCTGAAATACCTATTAGTCCATAAATTCAATGGAAAAACTCTTCAGAACTAATATCTGCTTGGCCAAATGTGGCAGCTTTGTGTACATATATGTCTGCGACTGCTAAAAATAGATATAGAGAAGACAAAAGCAAAACCCTGATGAGCAGCGATCAGTATATGAAGGCACATGCACAGATAACAGAACAACACATGAATTCTCGTCAAGAAACCAATGTTCTAAAAGTTTTGAGACAACTTTTGAAAGAAAATATATGATAAAGAAAGTATTAACTTTGGAGTAAAACAAAGAGAAACAAAAATAGGCAAATGAGAATTGGAGAACACAGTAATGAAATAGAACCTTTTGAATTGGGTTATCAGCACTAGTAGAAGTGCCTTGGTCATTAGTGTTGGGAAAGTGATGTGCTTCAGTTGCCATATATGAAAAGGTTTAGCGGAAAACCCACGAAGAGAAAAGCATCACTGGTCTGAGGTGACAGTGTTTTGCAGAAAAGAATGGCGAAATCTTGCTGCGATCATTGGAGCTGGAAAGAAGAATAAAGGGAATTTAGAAAAAGGAGAGAAGCCAAGTGGCACAAAAAGCTTCAAGCAGACATGTTTCAGCTTTTCTGGTTTTTTAAGGTGTGGCGCAAAAGTAAAAAGTTAAGTGAGATTGATACTCGCTAACTTCACCCTTTTATTTTATAGCATTTCATCATTTCGAGCAAAAAAAAAATTATGCGAAAGAGAGAAAAAATAATAAAAAAATTAAATTATATATATATATATATATATATATATATATATATATATATATATATATATATATATATATATATATATATATATATATATAGTTATAGTTATAGTTATACTCAATTTGTTTTTTTACAGGAGAAGTGTTATCAACACTTGTTTCAACACTGTCTTTCTAATTTTTTTTTTCTAATATTGACTAACATCTATTATATAAAGATCATAAAATTTAATTAATTCTTATTTTTCTTAATCACTACTGATTTTCAATAAATTTTATTTAATAGTAGAAAATATATTAAAGAGTAATTTATTGTTCTAAAAATATTAAAAATAACAAAATGAATAAATTTATTCATTTTATCATGTTTTATCTCTAGTTTAAAAGATGAATGAGTGGGTCTGTTAATAATTTTTTTATATATATTTTTTAAAAGTATATATTTAATTATAAGAATAATTTTAAGTTTTTATTTATTAATTAATATTTTTATTAGATAAGTTAAATAATTAATATATTTATATATTAAAATTAATTATAATTAATAATTTAAATTTAATTAATTAAGTTTATAATTTAAATTATAATAATATAATATATTTATATATTTATATATTTTAATAATAAAAAATATAATATTTTTAGTTATAATTTATTTTTTATTTTAATATATAAATATTTTTTTATCATGATATATCAAGTTGAGAAATTAGATAAAGAGAGTCAAAATACATTAACAAATAAATTAAAATTATCAACTCATCTAATATTTTTAAGATAATTTATTAAATCTAACTCATTTTATCATAATAAATAATAAAAATATTATCATGAAATCAAATTTATAATACGTTAAAATAAAACTATGATGATGACCTTTTATAGCATAGGAGTAAGACATTTCACATATAAGAATTAAAATTGATTATACAATTTAATTTAGACATTAATATTTTTATATGAATTATGTAACTAAGTATGAAAATATGTAAGAGTAAACCCAATTCAAGAAGATTCATGGTTATCGTTATCATACTGGAGATAAGATTACAAATGGAGAGTAATTTTTCCTTGAATTGAACTCCAATATATATTTTATTATTTTCTTGTGGCATGAAGTTATTTATAAATAATGTTATTTTTTTATATTAAGTTATTTAAAGAAATATTACTGTTTTAAAAACTAAATCGAAATTTACCCCTTTAACCTATTTAACCGGAAATTGAACTTAAAATTCAACATATTTTTTAATTTAAATAATCAGATTTTAATTAAATTAAAATAAAATTGAAAAAAATGTTAGATTTTTTTTCAAACTGGTTTTAGTTAAAATTAATTTTTTTTATAAAATACATAATATATTTTAATTTTTTCTTTGTTTATCTAAAGTCAATTTTTAATAGTAATTATTTTATCATATTTTTATTTTATTTTAATAATTATTAATTTTACATATTTTAATATATTTTATATTTATAATTTTATAATTTTTATGTTAACTTATGATGAGGATACTAATAACTTTTACTATTTTCATTTTTTTTTATTAAAAACATTAAACTTAAAATCAATTTCATAAATAATATATTTAAAAAAATACTTAAATACAATTTTTAAGTTTTATTTACTAGACCTATTTATTATTAATATACAATATTTAATAAAAATAAATAATTTTGTTTAACATAATACAATTATTTTCTTTTTTTATTGTTATTTTATTTTTCTTTTGTTTTTTTTTTGTTTTTTACTCACTCCATTCTACTATTCAATTAAAGATAATAGATTAAAATTTGATAACCTGAGTCATTTATTATTATTGAGAAATAAAAAATTTAAATGATCCAAAAATATTATAATATAATATATTATATTTAAAAAAAATATTATATGATATTTGATATTATAAATATTATGATTGTTATAATAACTAAAAAATATATCTATTTTAAAGTATTGTTTTAACAAATATTATTTTTTTAATTATCTCATCCAACTAATTATCATAATTCAATCTAGTTATATCATAATTCAATCTAATTATAATTAGATTCAATTATTAAATAAAAATATATTTAATGTATAAATATTTAATATTTTTAATTAGATAAGTAATTAGTTATTATAATAAAATAATTTTAAACTAGTTATTTATATTATCATAAATAAAATTATTTATTTTCATCATAATTTTAAATAATTAATATTTTTAGTTTAAATGTTGATTTACAAATATTTATTTTAATATATTTTTATTAAATTTTAATATAATAATAATATAATTTGGAGAATAAGCGGAAGAAAAGATAATACACAAGATACTTAAGATAAAAGAGAAAAAACAAAAAGTGAATGAAATAAAAAAAAGTATGAGAAAAAAATTGTATATAAATAATAATAAAATGTATTAAAGTAAATAAATATATTCAGATTTTATTTAATTATTTTTTTTAATATATTATTCATAATATTTATTAAATTTATTATATCATAAAAATATTATTTTATTAAATTTCATTGATATTAATAAAATCTTTAAATCTTATATACATATTTTCACCGATTTTTAAAATATGAAATAATATATTAAAATTATTGACATTAATATCTACAAGATAATATCACTACTTCAACTTTTTAGTCTCAACTAAAAAATTTATTCCAATATACTTAAATTTTTATATTATTTATCAAATTAACAATAATAACAATAATTATAGTAATAATAATAATTATTATATATATATATATATATATATATATATAATCTTCCAAAAATAAATTTTGGATATTGCAAAAAGTTTATGAGAAGTAATATGGAGTGTTTATATTTAACGCACATTTTCTTTTATATTTTTGTTTTGCTAGTTTTTTCTTCATTATACTTTCTATTCTAAAATGAAAATGATTTTTTTCTATGTGCTTTTCAATAGGATTTGTTTTAAATAAATTTAATTACAAAGCGTGGGAATTAAGATGGCGAGGAAGGTGAACAACAAAATCTAGATCTGAATCTCCATTAAAGAAATAATTTCCTTCATCATTGCTTGCAACCTAATAAATCCCTCAACCATATGTATATTAAAAAATAAAAAACCTAACACAATTCCCCTTTCAATAATATTCGCTCTTATCCATAAATTTGTGATTTATTTCTTTACTTTAACCGTTAGATAATTATTTATATAAGTAAGTCTCTCGTTATACCTTAGTACATTTTTTATTTATTTATATTAAATATAAAATTTTAACCTACACTTTGATTTTCTTAAATATGATTTTTTTTTCTACGTTGAGACTCCCTCGAATAAAGACCTATAATATTCTTTTAACCCAGTAACGAAGAAATTATACATCAACATAATCTAACAATTTATCAATTTAATTCAATTCTTAGTAAAAGTATAGTTAAATTCAATTTTACAGGCTCATCCTACAAGCCTAACAATGTAGTTGACTAAAAATATGTGATATTCTATATGCTTTAAAATCAGATTTTTTTATTTTTTTTATAATAATAACTCAATCAATTCAAATGGCTTAAATTTGGAATATTTTTATTTAGTTTACTTCATTCAAACTGTACTATAATTTTGTTGTCTAAATTGTTGTAGAGTTAAGTTCAATTTCTTGTTGATACTATAAGATGACTAATCTGAGCGTTTAACTTGATTTTTTTTTAAAGTCTAACCATTGACCATATTAAAATTAAAATATACCATTCATTAGTTTTTTTATTTAAAATAATATATTATTATTATTATAATGAAATTTATAAAGTGATTAAATTCATAAAATATATTATTTTAATATTTTATATTTATATTTAATATTTAGTAATATCTTTCTAGCCATAAAATTGATAACAAGAATAAAATATATTTTTATTATATATATATATAATGTAATATATAATATAACAAAAACTTGATTTTATAACTACATTAATCTATTTTCGGTAATTACTAATATTCAAAATTAAGATATATAGATTTAGAAATATTTAATGATGTAAATAATATTATATTTAGATTAAAATAATTTTTTTGGAAGGGAGACTGATATGTGAATATGATTGCTCATTCTATGACATTATTTGGTGCCAGCCTGGCAGGCAAATTAGGGACATGGCAGCTGCATTATTGTCCAAACCATGCATTTAATTTTTTTCTTTTTCCATTTTTTCTGTTAAAATGCTTACTACTTAATCAATAATATTTTATTATTTGCAATAAATTACCATAAAAACAACAACAAATATTAAAAATTAATTTTAAAATTAATATTTTTATTTAGATCGATTATAAACTAATAGATGAATAAAATGAATTTAAAATATTAGTATTTTTAAATGAATAAAATACATTTTTTTGTTTGAAAATATATTAAATATATTTTATTTATTTTTTAGAAATTTTTATATATTTATAATATGATTTAAATACTTATTAAATTATTTAATATATTACTAAATAATTTTATATTAAAATTTTAATATAGTAATATAATAAAAATTTAAACTGATTTTTACATAAGTCAAGAGTTATTTTATTTTTTAATAAAAATATCATTTATTTAATTTGATAGAATTTATTAGAGATGCTATATTAGAAATTCTATATTAATTGACTCATCTTGTATTATATAATTTAAATATTTAGTATATTATTTTCATATTACCAATTGATAAAATAGACTATTACCACTTAAATAAATAAATAAATAAATATTTTAATATATTGATATATTTAATTATTATTTTAATAAATTATTATAAATATAAAAATATTATGAAAATTTAATATATTTTTATTTACATATAATATTATTTTATTAATTTAAATATTTAAAAATATAATGAAAAATTTTATAATTATATATCATTAAAAAATAGATATTAATATAAAAGTATTATATAAAAGTTATTTTATTAATAAAAAAGTCAATTAATAATTATATGAATAATTTGTAATTAAATAAGTATTTAATTTTAATTTAATTATTTATTATTTAAATAATTTTCACTTAATGTTTTGTTTCCAAGTTACAAAAGAAAAGGTGTATCATATATATATATATATATATATATATATATATATATATTAACGGAAATTCATATATTGATAATAATAAAAAAATATTTGAATAGTAAAAAAATCTAAAAAAGAATAATTTAAAAAATCTGAGAACAAAATTCAGGAAAAAAAAGTGCTTAAATTAAGAAAGAGGGAATAGTAAGTAGATGAGGTACGGATTTTGAATTTTGAAGGAAACATGATGCGATTTTAGTTTCAACATTTATTGTATGTGTCTGTCTTGCATTGGCTCAATGTGTCGGTGCACAATGTGTGGACAGTACACCATAGCAAGTTGCAAGATTCCATCTAAAGTATTTATATTTTAAACACACTATTTTTCTACATAATTCATACTTTATTTGCTTTATTTTAATTTACTTCTCTTCCAACTTTTTATTTTCCAAATTCTAATGGATTTTCTCATAAAATCTAATATAGCAAAACATGATTAAACTGTATTTACATTTCTTCAAATTATGATTTTTTATAATTATAAATATAATATATTAAGTCCTTGTATTAATTATGATGAATATAAAAACATATATACACGTTAGTTTAAATAAAAAAATTATTAGTTGAGAATTATAAAGTTATTTTTACCGAAAAAATAACTTCATAATTACAAAAATCATGTGCTAATTATTTTCCTAATTATTCATACAGTTTTTTTTATACCTTTCTTCAATCTAAGGAATAGCAATATTCCTCTGTGGACTTAAATTTAATGTACACTCGATATATTTCTTGTTATTATTACAACAAATTCCAAGATTTATAAAAGATTTTACTATTTACAATATCTCGATAGCCAATATATTTACATTTTAAATAAATTTCTAATCACTTTTAATTTCAAGCCCAAATCATATTAAACATATTCAATTTATTAATATGAAAAAAATTAAAAAATTCCATCAATAAATGTATAATGAGAGAAAAAAATTATTTTTTTACAATATTATAGCAGAATTCCTTTTTCTTATATAGTAAAGTATTTATCATAAATTTACTTATATAAAATAAATATTTACTTTATACTACAAACAGATTTTTTTAATTTACTTATAAAATATATTCACTTATTTTTGTAAAAAAAAATCTTCGTACCATTTATCTTCAGTTCCCATAAAAACTAATAAACTGTTAGTTGTACTGTCTTTTTCTTCAAATTCAAACATTATTATTTGGCAGGTTATGAAAATATGTTAAAAAATATCTTACGACCACTCATATACTTATTCCTTTAAAAATCTGTTAAGCATTTCTATAAGAATTTTATGGTAAAGGATGATTTAAATAAACTATCCAAACAGTTATAATAATTTTTTAAAATTGAAGTGTTTATTCCATTGGAATTCTTCTCATGTATCAAAATCAATAATGGCACTTAAGACACATTAATATTTATTCCACACTTAAAATCAATAATAGCATTTCGAAAACAATGCCATCCTTTTTAAAACTTTAAATATCTTTTATAAGAGATAATTTATTTCTCTCTCTCTATATATATATGATCGCATAAACAGGATTTAATTAACTTGTGAACCATATAATTAAACTAAACTATATTTCATTTTTGCAAGATGGGATTGTGTTATTTGGTTGCTTTTGATTTATTTTTGTTGGTTCAGTTAACAATTGGGTTGAGACAAGATTATGATTGGAGGTTAATTAATTACAAGCTTGATTAATTAAATAAAGCCTAATATACATATAATTAATTATTCTAATTATATAAAGTAGACAAGTATAGTCTTTGTTACGACTAATAGTAATCATACTTAAATCAAAGTGATATAACTTATTAATAGTTAAAAATAAACTTGTATCGCAATATAAATTAGTTGCCATATATTTAAAATATAATTTATATATTCAAAATATTTTTTCTTTCCAAAATTTAGTTATAAGAAAAAATATACACGAAAATATTCTTTACTAATTCTAGATTAAAAAAAGTATTTATCTTGTACTTTACAAGGACTAAATATTACTGATAACTAAAACACTAACGAGATGAACAATGTTTTAAACTTTTTATACAATAGTACTGATTTAATACCATAATTAATTATTCCTTAATTACCAAGAATATCTACGTTTTAACAGTAAACAATGTTGTTAAGAACATATATCTAGTATAGTAATTAATTAAATTAATTGAAGTCTATAAAATCAAGAGGTAACTATTAATAAGAAACAGAACTAAAAAAAAAGTGTTTTTTAAATCGATTTCAAACAATGACAAAGAATATGTTAGGAAAATATGTTCAAACATTTTTCTTCTATCAAATACTCTCTTTGATCATTTTCACATGTCAAAATTTTAGATTTTTGAAAATATATTACGAAAAAAAAAAATCTCAATAAGAGTGTTACGAAAGTAAAAAATAAGATGATAATTAAAGTTGAGGGTTGTTTGGAGGATAACTAGGAAACAAAGCAGTGGGTATTGGTTGCGAGGTGTGTGTATGATTGAAACAGAAGTGAAACCTCCATGCGTTGACACGTAGTGGCACCCAAGATGATGCGTCTTCAGAATCACATAATCACAGATACAGCCTTCACTCGTTTCTCTTCCCATTAGCGGCGCCATCGTCTCCTATATCTTTCCATCTAAATCTCCGCTCCACACACTCCACACTCCACACTCGCTCAATCCTCCATCTTCTGCTACTTCTCCATCCCTTGTTACAAGCTCTGCTTCAGATCTACCCCATTGCAACAAGCTTCACACGGCCACAACATGATCAAGTAATGAGGTGTCTCTGAGTAGAAAAAATGGGTGGGGGCCGGTTGAGTCCAACGCAGAGGGGGAAAAGGGTTCCAAAGAGGGTGTGGTTAAGCTTCCAAAAATCAATGGGAGTCCTCGTGGGTGGGAACCATACCTCCTCCAGGTTTTGCACTCGCTAATCTCCTTCTCTCTCTCCCTCTCGGCTTCCAATTTTACTCTCTCTGTTGAAATCAATCTCTCTTCAACGAACAACAACTTCAATGGATGCTAAGGCCTTCTTCAGATTCCACATCCTCAGCGGTTTCATCGCCAGGCGCGTCATCCTACGCTCGATCTTCCTCGCCTGCGCTATTTCCATTGTCTCTCTCTACGGCGCGCAATCGCTCTTCGATTTTGCTCCCATCGCTGACTACTTCGACTGCGTTTCCGGTTTTCAAGGTGTCTCCTTCAGCCCCGCTTCCCATTTGCTCCGAACCCGCTTCTGGGCCTCCTCCATTTGCGAGAAAGACGCCAACTTGACGCTCACCGTCGTCAATGACCTCACCGCTAACCGGTTACTTTATCCAGGAGCAAAGAGCCTCTGCGTCGGAGAAGGCTCCTTAGTGGCCGTCACGACAATGAAACAGTTAGGTTTCTCCTCCGTCAGCGCCGTCCAAACGAGCCGTTTGGAGCAGAAGAAGGTCCTGTACGAGGATTCTTCCTTCGATTTCGTGTTTTCCAGGGACCTCGACAAGGTTTCAGTCCCTGCTCTGTTGGTTCTCGAGGTTGAGCGCGTTCTTAAGCCTGGTGGGGTTGGTGCCCTTCTTGTAGGCACCTCTGGTTTACATCCCAACGATTTAATTAGGGCAGCCACCCCTGTGTCCTCTTTGTTGAGGTCTTCCAATGTGGTGCATGTTGGTTCTGTCAATGAGCTTAACCTTGTTGTTTTCAAGAAAAGATATGAAAATACTACTTCGTTTTACCAACATAGTTTACCCGCTGATTGTCCCAGTCTCACCTTCACCAAACCCCTCATAGAGTTGATGGAGCCTCTTGTGAGTGAGAAACCGACGTCACCACCTCTTGAATTTCAGAAGAACATTCCCTATTTGCCTAAATTTGTGGATGTTTCCACTAGGAACAGGTTGGTGTATATTGATATTGGGGTGGGGGGGCTGCTTAATGCCAATGTTAGTGATTGGTTCCTGCCATCGTACCCCATCGATCAGAAAGATTTCAATGTGTATTTTGTTCACTACAACACTTCCATTATGTTGTCCTATGTGAAGCGACCTGGTATTACCTTTGTTTATCACCCTGGCTTGGCTGGTATTGGAAAGGTCACAGCTAAGCTTGGTACGGATGATAATCATAATGATGATGACCTGGATCCTTTCTTTGGGGAGGAGGAGTTTGATTTCCTTGCCTGGTTCAAAGAAACTGTGCAATATGCTGATTTTGTGGTCCTCAAGATGAATGCAGGAAATGTTGAACTCAAGTTCCTCTCAGATATATTTGAGAATGGAGCTATATGCTTTGTTGATGAATTGTTTCTCAAGTGTCCCGAGAGGGGAGGTAATGACAAAAGTGTAACCAACAAAGAAAGTTGTATGGATATTTACAAGGGTCTCAGAAGCAATGGTGTCTATGTCCATCAATGGTGGGGAGACTAAGTTGCATTGAATATCTCTGATGATTATTATGGTGTGTGAGAGAAACTGTGTTGTTACTAGTTTCTCTGCGTTTCATGTGTGTGGACTGTAGTCCAATTGTGTCTAGTGTTGTCTTGGAATGTATGAAGGATGCTATGAACATCCAAGTGCTTTTATGGTTGGGCGCTTAATGCTAAATAAACAACCACTATCAGTTCTCATTTGCTCTATGATAAAATATGTGATGATTTGGTGTTGTTGTGTAAGTTTTCTTTTTTTCCCTTTTTGTTGGTTTTGGGTTATAATGGCAAGTAGGAATTGGTTGGATCATGACAGAAAAAGCACAAAGGAACAATAAATTTCATAAAGAAGGAATCATTTCTTTAGGTGGGATCAAGGATCAGTGCCATATTTCATTCATGTTCCCATACCGATTATAATATACAAAATCATTAACACTCTGATTCAATGTACGTGGAAGCATTGCAATGTTTCTTGAAAAGAAAAAAAAAATTGTTGCCGTTTTCAATGTGGTCGTGTGGTCTTAGGCTTCCCTCAAGGTTCAGTTTACTATCTATAATTGTGGACAATGAACTGAAAAGCGCTGAAAGACCCACCAGTATGGGTCAGCTGGATCAACTCTCATAATCTCAATGTTGTGTTACAAACAGAGACAACATTACTAAACCAAATCTAAAATGTATGAAATGCCTTAGCCTGGATGAAATTTGGCATTACATTGTTACGTATGAACATATATATGTAATTAGTTTCTTAAATAATGCAATAAAAAAAAACGAAGAATAAGTAATGCAATCCAAGTGAGGCTTAACTCAAAATATTATTTATTCGTAATGTAAATAGTGTTATACAGACATTTAATAGTCTTCCATTTTAAGATTTCATAAATTTAATACAATCTAAGTGAGGCTCTACAAAAATTATTTATCGATGAAGAAAGTTTCTTATATAAGTACATGTATTTTTTTTAAAATTTAAACAACTTTATGTAATTTTAAATAATTTATATATAAATCTATAATAAAATATATTTTTATTCCTAAATAATACCGTACACATCTTAACAGCGCATTATTGAATGGCAAATGAGAATGATCAATTTGTTCTTCAATTCCCCATTATAAAAAATGCTCATAAATCTTAGCATCTTTTGAGATTAATAGCTCTCCATTGCGAATGTAAATGTCTAGAGTAAATTATTTTAAATTAACAATTATATAATTAATTAAACATATCATCATTATAAAAATATAAAAGCCACTAAACATATCGAAATTTTTGTTTTCTTTTGAAGCATTCACATTTGTTTGTTTGATAGAGGTCCAAACTAAAACCAGTTTATTTATTTGAAAAATTTAAACCAATCTGAATTGATAAAAAACAATTACTTCAAGTTTGTAAAAGAGAAAACATAAAGATGTTATTATTATTCACATAACAACTCGTAATACTTTAGACAATGATATATTTGTTTAACTATTACATTATTTATTACATCTCAAATTTATTTTCTTTCACTTAATCACAATTTTATTATATTTAAAAAATATATAATTTATGATGAGTTTTTCACATATAATATTGCTAAAAGATAAAACATAAATGGAACTTTCTATGATATTAGTTTCAGGCAACTGTGTAATATGATTTATTAGATATTTTTCATCAAATTTCTTAGATTTTGAGAAATATTAAATATACCATTAAATAGTCTAATTTATTTTTTAATAAATACATTGGATGAATTCCTTTATATATAGATGATATATAAATAAAATATTTTTTTATCCCTGATAATTGAAAGGTGCTTGATTAAGCACGACCAACCCACGATCCTTTTTTAATAAACCGCCGACTCAAAAATTGAACTAAATGTGATTATAAAAACTGGACCTTTTAATGTCTTGGAAAACCAGATTTCTTTAAGAAAAGAAAATCAATTAAACTAATCAAATGTTTAGATAAAACGATTCAACCCGATTTCTTTCTTTTTTTTAAATGAAAATAATTATGAATACTTGATAGCATTGAACCCTACAAACCTAAAAAACAAATCATAAACCTAACTCTTGCCCCCTAAGAACAAACTAAAAGCAGCCGCAGTTAAAAGTTATAAACGATTTTCAATAAATAGCTTGGCCGAACCAAAATTTCCCGCGTTAAAGAAACAAAGAAAGTAGTACGCGGTCTCCTTACAATTTTGGGAAGCGACTAATCCATGATTTGAAAAATGCCTTAAAATTAAATATTTACCTCTCAGAAAACCATGTGTTGGGTTGGTTAAAGAAAATAGAAATAATTTGCACGAATAGAAGTCGGCACTCCCACACACGCAGAAAAGAAAGGAAAGGACAGACATTCTGTAAAACTTCTAGTATGCATTCTCTCTGCACTCTCTGCAGAACTCAATAATTTCCCTCCCTTTTATCCATGTTCCCAATGTTTTCCTCCTTGCTTTCCACACTCTAGTGCCACGGAAATATGGTTAGTAGCTCAATTCCCTTTTCTACCCCTAGTTTCATATTCCCTTACTACCCATTTTAGTTCCTTTATCCGTGAGATGCCAAACATACCCACTTCATCCATACTATATAGGATTAGAAACTTCTCCATATTACAATGACAATATATTTAATCATATAGAATGGCATTTAGAAGACCAGACAAACAAGATCATTGGAGGCATTGTGTTTTCCAAGTTATAAGCAATGCCAGCCTGTCGTTCATGTTGACTCACAAGTCATATATAAATTCCATTTTCCTTTGTTTTTCTGATTATTGGAAAATACAGAAAAGTAAGGTGAATCCATGAAAATAAGACAGGGAGAGATGTTAAGGTATAACATTTGGGCTGTACAGGAAGCTTGAGGAGTTAACAATATATATTCTTTACTCCTCAGACCCTACCTTTATCTCCAAAAGCCTCTCAACTGGTTGTCTGCAAATTGGGCATCTATTTGTCTGGAACCTCAAAACCTTCGCACATCCACTACACATACACTGCAAATAGGAAACGAATTCAGCCAACGTATTCAAGGTCTCAAGTGACAAATAATTAGTTTTTAACAGTTAAGTTAGGCTAAATGATCATGAGTTTGCAAAGAGCCCAAGACTGACATGTGACAGACTAACAAATTAAGTGCCAAAAAGTAGGAAAATATTTGAAAAGGAGATATTTGCTAAGATTGGTTATGATATTGATAACTACCATCAGAATTTTTCAATCAAATAATCAAAGAAAGTTTTCTTCAGAAAGGGAAGTTGTAAATACCATATGCCGGCAGGGATGAACAATTGTATCACGTGGCTCCGACAAGCAGATGACACATTCTTTTCCTTGGTCACTCTCATCCAAGTCAGTCTCTGTTGAATTTCCAATACCATATATCTCCTGCAGCTCATACCTCATTCCATTCACCCACAAAATCTGCTTAACAACTTTCACCCGGAACTCTCCTTTCTCCTTCTCAAATACTGCTTGGGTAATCTGTGAGTTTGTATTACCAGATGTTGGATTTCTAACTGACACATCATGATTACCAGGGGATGCGTCTGCCTTTACTGCTAGAGGGTACACATCCATGTCACCCACTTTCAATATCTCGGACTCCTCAAAAACTGAAAAATCAATACCAGTTCCAGCTGGCTGCCTAAACTTCTGGCCAAGACCTTGCTCAAAATTCACAGTCACTGGTGCAATATTGTTTTCCTTCATTGGTGTGAGGATGCAGTCTTCACCTTCTTTGGCAAAGAAATAAATGGTGATGCTGTTAAACAGATAAAAAGAAACACAACCTTTAGAACAAGTACAAGAATACTTATAGGACAAAACGTTCACATTCATAACCATCGATGAGAACTGCCCCCTTCCCCCTGCCTCAGGCGCAAATACACATTAGCTTTAATGAGCACTAAAATATCAAACATGTAGCTAAATGTATGCCCACTTGTTCCAAATTTGAATACGCGAATAAAAGTGACATTTTCACATGTTTAAAATTTCTTATGCAACATTGGTGAGAACTAAGAAGCATAAGCCACACAAACATTGAATAAACTACTTAGATACCTTTCAGAAAAAATAGGTAATGTTTCATTTATAGCTTCAAATATAGATCGCCAATTTTTAGCAACTACCACAAGTTTAAAATTTCAATAAATGAAAGTAGCACAATAGTCTTCCATTATCTATCTCCCAAAAATAAAAATTAGAACTTCAATTTAATTATAAGGGTAGAAAAGGGTAAAAAAAATCAAAATTAAAGACTAAGTTTAAGTTAGTATTGTAAACCACCCCTAAGAGCTCAAAAATCTAAACAGTCAACTATTGTCGAGCTACCACCCCCCTTTGGATTTTTTTTCTTCAGTAGCATGCTATTAAATTAATAATTCAAAATAACATTATTTTATCAATATTTACCAGACTAGCATGCTATTAAATTTTCTAATTCAGAAATAACATCATTCTATCAATATTTACCTAACTAGCATCATTTTTACATACACGATTGGAATTCAGTTCCCATGACACTGAATTCCAACCTCACTAATTAATATAATTTTTAAAATAAAATAATATTTATTAAATATAATAATTATATATAATATATATATATATATATATATATATATATATTTTTAATTTTATTTATATAATTATATGAAATAAATTTAAATATATTTTTTTAAATAACATAAAAATATATTTATATAATTATATTATTAATATATTTTTATAAATATAGTAAAAATATATTAAAATATAATAAAAATATTTATATATTTCTATAAAAAATATTATTTTTACTTATTAAAACTATTTTATATTAAAAATATATTTAAATAATATATAATTTATTTATGTAAAATTTTTATATAGAAAGATATAAATACATATTTATTATATAATTATATAAATAAATTTTTTTAAAAGAATATATATATAATATTTTTATATAAAATATATATTTATATTTAATTATTATATTTAATAAATATTATTTTATTTTTAAAATTATATTAATTAGTGAGGTTGGAATTCAGCCTCGTAAGAATCGAGTTCCAACTGTGTAAGAAAATTGTGTTAGTCGGATAAATATTATTAGAATGACGTTATTTTTAGATTATAAATTTAATAGGATACTAGTGAAGAAAAAAAATCTCAAAATGTTTAACTTTTTATAAAAGTGTGCTACTCATGTAAATATTAAATACAGTATGCTATGTATAAAAATTTATGTTAAAATAATGCTAAGCGGGAGAAAAAATCCCCCCTTTGATATGGCTTCAGTCCATTCTTGAACAAAGCTAAAGTTAAAATGACAAATAATAAACTCCAACTCTCGTTTGACAGCAATAACAGCTTAAAGATATAGAAGGAAACCATGGTAGTTGAATCAGGATACAAAGTGTAAATTGGAAAGTCATTTTCTGAATCGCAAATTGAAATATACATGAATAGTAAGATTCATGATCAATCATAAAATACACACACAAACTTCACCAGTCACTGGGACATACTGTTGTATTCTTGCTTATAATTAAACCCAAAATAGAGTATACTTTTGATTTTATAATATTCAAATTATTCAATTTCAGATACAAATCATAGGAACTAAAGATCATGGATAATATACCTGCATTTGATTATGAATATTACATATAAAGACTTTTTCTTTAAGCTAATAGGATTGGACTAGTGGCAAAAAGTTTGGGTAGTTTAAAAGAGGCTACATGTTCAAGTCTCATCGCCACCATTGTAACATGAAAAAAAAGGCTATTTCTTTACTCTCAACTTAAATATATTCTTCAAAGTGGCTTTTCAATCCTTTCCCTTAAGTGTAGTTAGGGTGGGGCATGGGGTTCAAGAACTTGTTTTCTACAAGTTCATTAATCCTACCCTTTTAATGATGGTTAAAAGAACTTGAGAAATTATCTATTCAGAAAAGTTGTTGCCATTATGCCAATCATGTTAGTAAGTTTGAAAGCCAAGTTTCCTTTTGTCAGAACATTAGCTTTAATGTTATTTCCTTCTATTAACACTCTGGCAATCTGTTGCAGTAAGAGATTTCAATGTTCCAATTGATTCTTCATAATATCAAAGGTAATTGAGCACATGCTTAGCTTCACAAGCTAACTTGATTTTAGGCACATTTTCACTTGACTAGTTGGACGTTAAAATATTGATTCAAGCTCCAAATTGATTTAGCTGAAGCATCTTTAAGTAGCATTTATGTTGGATCAAAATATTGATAGGGAGTTTTGCTACCAACTTACTTTTAGAGTAAAAACATTCAAACATAAACCACATCTCTTCAAAATCACTTGAATAAAGGTAACTGCATCAAATACGTTGATGCTTTAGATAGCTTTTTTTTTTCATAGGAGTAGATATAGCTTTTGTTATGGGATTTCTGTTTTCAGGTAACTGTGATTTCCAAGGGTTCAGTTTGTGTTTGGATGAGCGTTGGCAATATTGATTTGAAGTGACGTGATTATGTTTGGATGTTTTTATCACATGCCTGTTTTACACCTTACAGCACTAATCAGAGCAATGCCCGTTATGCTGACCAGATTGGTAAACATAGGATCGCTTGTTGGTAAGGTAACAGAAAACAGGTGCCACAACATTCATAAAACTCAAGTTATCATGAAAGCTCAAATGAACGAGTCTAAACAACACAAAAAGATAAGACAAGCAAGCAAGTACCATTCGAATAATTCCACCACACAAGCATCATTCCTAAAAAAAACTATACCTCACATGAGCTTAATTCCTATCAGCCTATAAATTACTCAAGATCAATTAAATAAAATAAGATAAAAAAAAAACTGATTGAAGTTGTTTAAATTTTCTTTTGAGTTTTTTATTGCTTGTGCATAACAGAACCCTGCTTAATTGCTCACGCAAAATTGAGTACTACTAGCATTGTCCGTTCTTCTTTGAATTATTTGATGAATAACTAGAAGCAATTGGGTAATCAAATCCACCCCCAACAAGCAAATAACAGCATCCAAAACCCTACACCCGACAATCTCATCTTTCGTGCAAGATAAACCGCACGCAGATAGCTAATTACAGAGAACTCAGATCCCATATTTGAATCAAACAACCCCTAAATTCCACAATTTCCATGATAACAATACATTAAACAATCACAAAAGTAATATTAACGAATTCACAAAAAACTTACCTCCCAGAAACGGTGGCATCGAAGGAAAACGAGACAAGGAAGTGGGAAGAATTTCCCTCATCAGGTTCAATCCTAAGGGTCTCTTTCCTGATATTGACATCGTTCCTTATGGTAACTGCCTTCTGATGCTCAACAAAAGGTGCAGGGTTAGGCATCATGGGTCCACAAGCGTTCCGCCCCGGAATCCACGCCGGGTCCATGTGCGGATGATGTTGATGTTGGTGTTGTTGATGATGACGTTGATGTTGTTGATGAGGATGCTGATGAGGCATGGGAGGCACCGGAGGGTAGTAACCGGGGTAATGGTACTGCGGGTAATGCAGGGGAGGGTTCGGGTAGGGTGCAGCACCATGGTACACAAATGGATTCGCAGCGATCTCAGGCTGCGGCGTCACCGGCGGAGGAGGAGGCGGGTGACTCCGCCTTGACGCTCCGATGTGCCGGCGACGGGGATTGGCGGCGGCGGCGCTTGAGATGTTGCCCATGCAACGGAGTAAAAAGGGAAAGAAAAGCCCTAATTCTGGGTTCGGGTGGTGGAATTGTCCGTGCACCTCCGGTGGTGGTGATTCAGTTTTGCGCCCTTTTCATCCCATAAAACTAAAAAAGGTAAAGTATTATTTATTAATTAAATAAATAAATAAATAAACAATTGATATAAAAATAAAAAAAGAAAGGAAGAATGAAAGAAGGGTGAAGCGAAAAGTTAAGAGGGGAAAGGGTAAGAATAATGAATGCTTGGAGCATTGAATTTTTGAAGATATGGAAGAAAAGAATACAAATAAAAAATAAAAAGTAAATACAACGAGTACAGAGGGAGTGATTAGATGGCGTGCATAACGGGAGATTCTATCTAGATCTTCACTGTTGATAAATGTCAAACACACTCTCTCTTCTTTTTCTTTATGGTATTTTTTAAGATATATATTCAGACACAGAGAATTTAATTTTCGCACATTAATAGGAGTTGTAAATTTTACACACAAAAGGACGACCATTCGAAATTTATCGATTTTTTTTTTTCTCATTTCTAAGTAGGCGATCCACATTGTCCTTTTTCTTTTAGCAGATGACAACATCTTTTACATATTGTAGTTTAATAAAATTATTATTATTTTGGTTTTTAATATTTAATGTCATATTATATTTTGATTAGGCTGTACAAACCGATGATTTTATCAATTTTGTTCGGTATTTATCGGTGAAATAATTTTTTTACGATCTAGTTTAATCGAAATTTTTGAATTTTTTTTAAATATGATTATAGGTTAAGTCAATAAGTTAATCAGTTAATTTCAATTTGATCAAATTTTAAAAAAAATATTAATATATTTATCAAAATGATTAATTTAAATTATTTAAATAAAAATAAAAATATATTTTTAAAATTTAAATTATATTAATAAAATTCATTTTTATTTTAAATATAATAATTTAAAATATAAAATAACAAGATAAAGTATTCATATAATAAAAAAATTATTCTTTATTATTATTCTTATTTTTTTAATAATTTATTTTAATTATTATATCTTAAATAAGTGAATATTATAGATTTATTTTTATAATTATTTTTAGAATAAATTCTCGAATTTAAAAAATTGATTTATTAAACCAAACCTATTTTAAAATCTCTAAAAATATATTAATTAAGTTAAAAAAAATTAAATAATATTCATATTATTCTATATATACTATTTTATGATGAATTTTTGTTCATCACTATATCTAAATTTTGTGTGAAAGAGAAAAAATAATTAAAAATTATCTAAAATATGATAGAAGATAATATAATAGAAAAAAAGTTGTATTTTTAAATAAAGATAAAATGAGAAAGAAAAAATTAATTAATATTTAGTCGAGAGGAATGAAATAATTATATATTTAAAGAAAATAAAAATAATGAATAAAAAATAGTTGTATAGTTCATCATGTTCTATATACCTTGCTCTCTTTTATGATCTATCTTCCTTGTGTCTTTGCTGGTGGGTGGAAGAATGTATGGGTGTTGGTGTTTTGATATTAGGATTAAGATAAGGGTGACCTGTGAAAAAAGGGTTAGATTTCTAAAACGTATATAGATGAAAATTAAAGGGGAAAATGGAGTATTGTGATTTTGAGATAAAAGAGTGAGAGATGACTGTGGTTGAGAAAAATACGAAGGAATGGTGCTTTGAGGGTTGAAATAAATATCAAGATAATGGTTAACGGAATGAAGATTAAGTTTTTTAGAGGAAACAATTGAGATGGACGAAAATGATAAGAAGTTTGGAGTTGAAGTTTTGAAAAAGAAGTGAGGTAGAGGAGAGTGACTCCAATAAATAAGAAATGATGTTTTTGAGATAAGGTGGATTGAAAGAAAATGATAGGATAATTAAAAAAAGACAAGAATTAGTTAACTTTCTCTATTAATATTTTAAAATAATTATTTGGTAGCGTGATTGAAAGATTAGATTTAATTAAAATCAGTGAGTTAATATAAAAATAAATAAAAAATAAAATTGACAGCGCATTTGTTAATTTCTCCTCATTTAAAGGCAGAATTTTAGGTTTTTATCGTGTTTTAATTATAATATATTACTTTTTGAGATTGTATTTTACTTTTCTTGAAGGGTTTAGTTAAATTTGTTATCTCTTCATAGTTGAAATTAGATTGTTTAATCACGAGTTTTTAGCATATTATACCTGTTATTTAATAGAATAGCATACTTTTATTAGAAGGTCGGATTTCGACTCGCAGACGCCGAATTTCAACCTTAAAAATTAATAGAATTTTTAAAATATAATAATATTTATTAAATATAAATATATATTATAAAATTTTATTTATATATATATATGAAATAAAAATAAATAAAATTTTTATATAAAATAAAAAATATTTATATAATTATATTATTAAAATATTTTTATAAATATAGTAAATACAAATATATTTAATCTATATATATAATAATATTTAAATAATTATTTATATTTTTATAAATATAATAAAATTTAATAAAAATATATATTTATATATTTTTAGATAACATTTTTTATATAAATATATATATAAATATATATATATATATATATATATATATATATATTATTTAAATATATTTTTAATATAAAATAATTTTAGTAAGTAAAAATAATATTTTTATAAAAATATGATAAATACATTTTTATTAATATAATATAAGATAATTTTAATATAAAATTATATATAAATATTTTTATTATATTTTAATATATTTTTTATAAATATGATAAATACAAATTTGTATTTTGTTATATACATTATAACTTTTTTAAATATAAAATATAATAAATATAAATATATACTTAATAAAAATATATTGTATAATTATATGTTTAATATATTTATGTATACTTTTATAAATATATTTATATATATTTAAATATTATTTAAATATACTTATATAATATTTATGTTAGACAAATGACACATCTAGAGGGGTGAATAGATGCACAAATTAAATTAGATGTCAAATTAAAAATTTATTTAAGATGTCCAATAATTTGTTAATTCAATTTTAATTTTTAGGTAAAATACAGATAAAGCGGAAACGATCACGATATAATCAGAGAGATAATACAGATGTAAGAAGCAATAAAATAAACAAAAGCCAAGAGTCATAAAGTGAAGAGAAGAACACACAATAATTTATATTGATTCGGGTATAGTTAACCCTACATCCAGTTTGCAGTCACTAAGAGTGACCCCAATTCACTATCTTTCAAATGTAGTTTACAAATTACAATCAATTCAGCAGAGGAATCAGTAAATAGTAAACTAGTTAAAAAGATAATCACCTCCTTAGAATCCTACTAAGGATGAACACCTCCTTAGAATCTCACTAAGGACGAACACCTCCTCTGAACAAATCAAATAATGAAAAACACCTCATTTGCCACAAACACACAAAGGATGAACATCTCCCTAGAATCACACTAAGGATGAATACCTCCCTGAACAAATCAAAGGGATGAAAACAACTCCTTAGAATCTCACTAAGGATGAACACCTTCTCGAACAAATCAAAGGGATGAAAACACCTCCTTAGAATTCCACTAAGGATGAACATCTTCCTAGAATCTCACTAAGGATGAATACCTCTTCTGAATAAATCAAAGGATGAAAAACACCTCATTTGCTACCAATACACAAATGATAAACACCTCCCTAAAATCACACTAGAGATGAACAACAACCACCTAAAACCTAAAAAGGGGATTAAGACAATAAAATAACAGCAATCACCTAAACCCTAAAAAGGGATTTAACATCAACCACTTAAACCCTAACACAGGGAATTTAACATCAACTTCCTAAGCCATAGAAATGATGAAGATAATAAAATAATATTAGTCATACCTGGAATGAAGACAACAAATTGTAGAAGTCTATAGAATGTCAACCTCCAAGAACAAGTATGATTAACAATGAAAGTGCAGAAGGCAACAGATAATAGGATTTTCTAAGAAGATGTAAAATATCTCTGTTGCCTTGCTCAGAATTCTTAAAACTGAATGAATGTAAAATTGTATGTTTGAATTCTGTAATTGTGTTTTTTTTTTCATCAAAACTCATTTAAAGAGGAAAACAACATAAGAAAATAGTCATTGGTCATTACTACTTTTGTAGAAAAAAATTAGGATGTATTCAATATTTTTCAAATATGAACTGCCATAATCGATTATTTTACTAGTTGTTAGTAGGAAATCGATAAAGGGATCGAAAAACGAAGGAAAGAAAAAATCGAGGATCATATGATTGGTTAAAAAACTGATAAAGTGAAAAGATGGTTGGAAAACATTCGATGACCATGTAACAGTATGGACACATAAATCGAGAATTAGAATCGAGAATCAAAGGAGGAATATTTAATGTCTATTGTTGAAGAAAATCGAGGAATTAGAATCATGTAATGTTAAGGTTAAGGGGAATAAAAAAAGCAATGCAAAGTTCTCGAGATTTTGAAATCGAAATCGAGGGAAAAGTTAACATGCACGACCATCGAAATTCTGGCTAAGTTAGAAAGAGAGGAACAGTTAACGCGCACATAGAACATGGGAAGCGGTTTCTAAACCATGGTAGAGATCGAAGGTCAAGGGAGCGGTTATCTCACACATGGGAACGTGAAATACAGTTTTTTAAAACCGTGGAACTGAGGAACGTGCACGATGGATCGTGGTGGCAGTTTTGTTAACTACTCTTAGGAGGTTACTTGAAAGGCGCTCTATAAATAGAGCAAAGAATGAAGAAAAGAGTGAAATTGGCAGAGACAACAAAAACAAAAGTGAAAAAGTCTACCGGAGAACGACGAGTCATGAAGTTTCTGGCGATCTGGGTTTCCATTTTCATTGATTGTCTGTATCGCTTTCTTTACTTTCCCTGGTAATTTATGTTCATGCAATTTACTTTGATGCAAGTTTACGTTTAGCAACGTTAAGTTTCTGCACTTTCAATTCCTTGTTATTTTACTTTTATGTAAGTTGAAATTCTGCGTTTAAGTTCGCTATTTACCCTTCTGCAATTTCGATTTCCTGTTATTTACATTTCTGCAATTTCGATTTCCTGTTATTTACATTCCTGCAATTTCGATTTCTCGCCATTTACACTTAATGCAAATTTGAGGTTGCCGTTTTTTACATTTCCCTGCAATTTGATATTCCGCACTGCTTTTCGATTCAACGCTTTCTTTACTTCGCATTTCTTAAGAAAACATAAAAAATATGTACTCTAGGTCATGCCGTTTTACATTATAAGATTCTCGATTCTCATGCACTTTTCGATTGAAAACTAGTTGCTAGCCTAAGTAAAAAGAATCTACATGGTCGAGATTTGATTAGGACTCAACTCCTCATAAATCGAAATCAATCAAATTTTCACCAGAAACACTAGTATAATCAATTATGACAAAGAGAAAATCGTTTTTTCATTTCTGATGTATCATAGTTGATTGTAACAGTGAAAAATGTCATGTTACGAAATTTTATCACACTTGTGTTTTGGAGGCTCATACACAATACCATTTTATCAACTTGTACATCCATATCCAATATTTTAAGACTTTATCTACTCTTTATGAATAATTTTTTGTTTGCTTGAATCTTAAATGTTGTTGACTTAAATCATCATCAAAATCATCTCTTAGAAATGTAGAGACATGTTTCACATTCTCATCAATCTCTCCCTTAATGCTTTCAATTTATATATGATAATATAATATTTATAAAAATATATTAAACATATAATATTTATATATATTTAAATATACTTATATAATATTTATATATGATAATATAATATTTATAAATATATTGATAAAAGTATATATAAATATATTAAACATATAATTATACAATATATTTTTATTATATATAAAAGTATATATTTATATTTATTATATATTATATTTAATAAAGTTATAATGTATATAACAAAAATACGTATTTATCATATTTATAAAAAAATATATAAATATATTAAAATATAATAAAAAAATTTATATATAATTTTATATTATATTAATAAAAATGTATTTATCATATTTTTATAAAAAATATTATTTTTACTTACTAAAATTATTTTATATTAAAAATATATTTAAATAATATATATAATTTATTTATATAAAAAATGTTATCTAAAAATATATAAATATATATTTATTAAATTTTATTATATTTATAAAAATATAAATAATTATTTAAATATTATTATATATAGATAAAATATAGTTGTATTTACTATATTTATAAAAATATTTTAATAATATAATTATATAAATATATTTTTATTTTATATAAAAATTTTATTTATTTTTATTTCATATATATATAAATAAAATTTTATAATATATATATTTATATTTAATTTATATTTAATAAATATTATTATATTTTAAAATTTTATTAATTTTTAAGGCCGAAATTTGGCTGTGAACCTAATTTCGAATTCCAACTGTTTAGTAAAAGTATGTTATTAAGGTAAATAGCAGGTCTATCTACGTATATTTAGTTCAATTGGATGCTAATTAAATTTGTAATAAAATCGTTTAATCACATGATTTTACTTAAAAAATTCTGCATGCTCCACTAAGATGATATGTATTAACAATTAATTAAGTTTTCTTAATATGTATTACCACCCTAATATTTTGTTCCATTGCATTACAGCTGGAAATATATCACAAAACCAAACCTTATCATTATTTCGATATACACGGTGTTTGGTGTGTAGATTGCAAAACGCGTTTTGGTTATTGGTTTGCACCTTGTTAACGGAATTTTATCATATTTAATCTTCAATGAACATAATGCGTTTCAAATAGGAAAAAACCTGGTTTAAATGAGATTCTGATAGAATGATCCTAAAAAATTTAGTGGCTGATTAATATCTATGGTTAATATAGTATAAATATATAATAAAAGTTTTAAAATCTTAACTTAATGTTTCTATTTTAATTTAATATTTACCAGTAAACATTAATGTTAAAAGTTATAGCTATTTTCTTAAGCAAGGACTTCAATCTTTACATGAAAAGCAACTTAGTTTGGCTTTTTATGATCAAATAGAAGCATTTTTTTAAAATAATTTATCAAATTAGGAATTGTTTACTTGTTATGTCATAAAGACGTTTGTCTAATTGGTTTCTTACACAGACAAAACAATTTTTTATGCATTTGTCACGTTACAACATCATATTTTAGTGATCCTTGTTTTACATTACTTGAATGTTAATCTTGGAACATTAATTAGATGATGATAAATATTGGATTAGAGAGGTTAATGGATAGAGGTAATTTTAATTATATTTTCATTGATATTTTTTCTTATCTTTATGAAAAAACTGAGCTTAAAATTTGTGTGTGGAAATAATACTCTAAGAGTAATTTGAGAAAAATTATTTTTTCTATTAGAATAATATCACCTTTGAATATAAATATAGGCATTTTATGGGTCCAATACATTAATATTCAATCATTGATGATACGAAGGTTAAGGAATTAATTTCTCTTAAAATTAAGTTTTCTCATTATAAAATAAAACTTATGTAATTCAATCAAAATTAAATTATATTTTAGTAATCTATAAAATAAATATTATAGTAAATCTTAGTACAATTTATTCGGACAAAATATCCGTTTTAGTTAAAATAATATTTAACATTGAAAAAAAAAAGTGAACATCCCATTTTTTTATCATATAACTATCCAAAAATTCATTTATTAATATAATAATAAATTTAAATTATATTTTTCTAATTAAATCATGTTATATTAATTTACCTGGTTGTTTTGTTTTGTTATTGTTTATATATATCAACGCTCTTTAACGTTATATCTAACTGTATTCTTTCATACTTTTTTTTTTCATGGAGGCAAATTTCCGGACGCGTTTAATTTATTGTGAGAATTGAATATATTATATATAATTGGAAATAATTGTTTATTCTAAAATGAATATTAAAAAAAACATAAAAAAATTATCCTATTATATGAATTTTAAATTAAGGTATTATGTGACAACATCACAATAGAACCATGTTACATGATGAAATGTTACACTTAAAAAAGAAAAAGAAAATCCAATATAATCTAAGAAAACCCTCACATGGTTCTGGCAATGTTTTAAATTTATCAAAGAGGTTAGTTGCACGTTGGAAGGTAGCTGCAATGTATTAGTTAGTTCCTAGTTAGAAAGACGAGGAAAAGTATTCCATGAAGACTCTTCTCATGATCAAAACAAAATATATTAAAAGGTTGTTAGAGTTTTATTTAGACTTATTTGGAATGTGAAACCTTGTTGACCTTTATAGGTCTTTCTTCATAAGATATAGTTGAATAGAGTCTTATCTCACAAAAATCTAATAATTATTCCCTTAATGAATTATTATTATTGTTATTATTATTTTGGACAGACAAATTAGACTTGGATTGACTCAGGTTTAAAATAATAACTCTTGTATTCAGACTTAGGTTTTTACTTGTATAATTTTTCTAATCATAAAACAAGTTCTTAAAATAAACTTTTTTTAAATGATCACTGAGCATCAAGCTTAAAATATAAAAAAACATGCAAACTTGGTCCTTTTAGCGTCATCCTTAGACACAGGAAATAATATCAAAGAAACTTCGGAGTGGAATGAGAGAAAATATGTCAAAGTGAAAAATAAGATAAAGTTTAATTCAATGTGTCAACTCAAGTCATAACCTTTCTGTGCCGCCTCTTCTTTTCACCCACCTGATGTTCTAACACTTTCTTCACACCTTTGTCATCTCCAAACAAACCTTAACGAATCATACACCCAAATCCTCGAACCTAGGATTTTCTACGCGTGTCTCGAGGCATGAAGATCCCTTGTTCTTTTTGTGCTTGTTTCTCAGCATCGGTCCAAGAACAACAGACCAAGCAAGGTATATTTAAACATGATAATCTCTTTTCCTCCTTCCTCTCGTCATTCGCTTTTTCATCACATTTTATCTTAACGTCATAGAATTCTGGATTCGATCTGTAATAATTACCCAACAGAAGAGCCAGGTGAAGATAATGACGGAAACTTTCGCATATTCACTTACAGAGAATTGAATTCTGCCACACGGGGCTTTCATCCCTCGGAAAAGATTGGAGAAGGAGGCTTTGGCTCTGTGTACAAGGTTATACATATTGTCAATATATTTTAATGTGGGTATTGAAAAAAGCAACGATTTGATGCTGTGTGTTGATTATAGTCATGAACTGAGGATTGAATTTGAAAGGGGTTTTGTAAATTGTAAAGGGGGAGCTTCGGGATGGAAGTTTGGTGGCCGTGAAAGTGCTTTCGATTGAGCTAGATTCCCTGAGAGGAGAGAGGGGGTTTGTAGCAGAATTGAATACACTAGCAAATGTCAAGCACCAAAATCTAGTTACTCTTCGAGGGTGTTGTGTAGAAGGAACCCACAGATACATAGTCTACGATTACATGGAAAATAATAGCCTTCGTCACACTTTCTTAGGTGATCTTCAGATTATTTTCTAAGCTTTTAAATTAATTAGTCCAAGTGTTGAATCATATCTCATGCATATTGTCTTTTTGATTTTCTGTTATTATTTTATTGATTATGATTGATAGGCTCAGAGGAAAAAAGGATGACATTCAACTGGGAAGCTCGTAGGGATGTATCAATAGGTGTGGCCAGAGTGCTTGCCTTTCTCCATGAGGAACTTCAACCCCATATTGTGCACAGAGATATCAAATCCAGCAATGTTCTTCTTGATCGAAATTTCACACCCAAAGTCTCAGATTTTGGTCTGGCCAAGCTACTAAGAGATGAAAAATCCCATATCAGTACCCAAGTTGCAGGCACATTGTGAGTAAAACCAAAACCCCTTTTGAGTAAGTAAAACAAATTTGGATTCTTTTTATTGGGTTGCTAATGAGGTTTCTTTAAATTTTTTAAAATCGTTACAGGGGTTATCTTGCTCCAGAGTATGCCACTTCTGGCCACCTGACCCGAAAATCAGATGTTTATAGCTTTGGGGTACTTCTTCTAGAAATTGTCAGTGGCCAAAAAGCATTAGATAATCATCAAAATGTGGAACGTTTCATAGTTGAGAAGGTAACAGTTTCATTGCCTGCACACAAAATAATAATAGAGTGAACAAATAAACAAGCGTACATGCATGTTCTATCGTTGGACATGCATGTCCAAACGTCCATGTAAAATGATACTAAGTAATTGTGATCGTGTGAACAATGTTTGCAGTCTTGGGCAGCCTACGAGGGTAATGATCTGTTGAGAATGGTGGATCCAGTGCTGAACATGAACTATCCCGTGGAAGAAGCCAAACGGTTCCTAATGGTGGGGCTTTGTTGTGTGCAAGAAACTGCTAAGCTCAGGCCACGAATGTCAGAGGTTGTTGAGATGTTAAGCAAAAATATTGAGATGGGAGAGTTTCATATTTCACAACCAGGAGTTGTGAATGATATGAGGAACCCCAGAATGGGGAGGCAAATGAATTCATCAGAATCAAGTGCTACGGCAGCATCCTTTGCAGACTCCTCCGAGTGGAATACTACCACCAATCTTGCTCGTTAGATTTCAAGATGCGTGCTTAGGTTACTCTCTTAGATCATTTCATCAATCGTGTCTGAGATTCATAATTGCTCTAGTGGTTACAATCATAATTTTTTTCTTCTTGTAATGTATGTATCATGTACTAATGTACACATAACGATTTTAAAATCATCATTAATATATCTGATAGTTAAAAATTACTAAATCAATCAATGATGGGTTGATTAGTCAATGAATATTATTAATAGGATAACAATTATATTTAAAATTGTCTTTGTCTCGAACGTAATAGTGTACAACTCATCCTTTATCTCCAATTCATAAAAAAAAGTTCACTAAGATATATTGAATTATTTTTTTGTTGTTGTCATTTTACCGAAAAAAAGTTAGAGATATAATAATAATAATATTTTTTAAGAAAAATAGAAAAAAAGAGAAAAAGAGAGGGAGACACATATTTTCCATTTAGTTATCTCTTATTAAAAGGTTGAACGTGTTAAATATATTTATGGTAAAAAGAAATATTACCTAAAAGAGTGAAAGAGGAAGAGAAGAAGGAGAGAGTAAATTACAGTAGAGAAAAGAAGAAAGTGGGCGTTAAATATATAAATGTGCAATAATTTAAAATATAATGATTATAATAGAAATATTATTTTATGTTATATACGAAAATGAATCTTTTATTAATAAATTAAATATATAATAACAATTATAAAATATTTTTTTTAAAAAGTTGTCAGCATTAGTATATAATGAAAATTTATTTTATAATTATAATTATATGTCTACATGTTTATAAATTAACTGTTATTAAAAAAGAAGGTTAAAATTAATTTTAAAATTATTACACATTTTTTAATAATTACATATAACTGATAAATTTTTTATTAGAAATCAATTGGATATGTGAGTAACATGTAAAGGAAAAAATTAATAAGTGTATAAGTTATTAGCAAATTTGTTTTAATTCAATTCTACTTTCATTCTTTTATTAATTATTAATTATGTTATTTTAACAATATTTATACTTATATTTCTCCACCATTTTTCAACGTTTGAAATATTATTAATTAATTTTACTATCAGTTATACGTTACTTCATCATCAATTAAATAAAAAATTGGTATAATTTTAATCACCTTATTATTATTTTTTAATAAAATTTAATATAAATTATATATTAAATTATAATTTATCTATTTTACATTCACATTTATAAATTTTTTATTAATTTATAAACAATTATTAACTTGCTAAGCAAAATATCAGAACCTTGATATATATATATATATATATATATATATATATATATATATATATATATATATATATATATATATATATATATATATATATATATATATATATATATATATATCAAATTTGACATATTGGTCATAAATTTCTGCTATTTACTCTTCAAACCATAAATTACAAAAGTTTCGTTTTAAAACATGTAACAACTTCTATAATAACGGTCAAATAATTCTTCAAACTCATCAAGTTGAAATTTCCAGCATAGATTGATTTAAAAATTATTATTGTAATAAACGAATAAATCTATACTGTCACAGGCATACTTATTTTGTTCAGGAAATCGATTTCATGTATTTTCCATTCAGTGATCTTTTTGAAAAAAAAAAAAAACTACAAAAGATGTGAAACTGTGTGCAAAGTCAAGAAAAATAAAATCTGATGGAAAAAATTTCATCTATTGGACTATGAAAGGTGAAATTAGATGTATGCGAAGTAATTTATTTGCACGAAGGGATAGTTCATACTTTTCAACTGGTAAAGTTATAGAATGATGAAACCAAAAGAAACAAAAACATAAATATTTGTACTAGATTTTATAAACGTTCACAGTTCAAAAAAGTGCAGTCATATACGACTTTTTTATTCTCTTGGTATCTTCTGCATTGTGTGAATGGAATTAGTATTATTAATCTTTGGAGTTTGCACATAAGTTTCTGCAAATTGGATTGAAAATGCAAGTCATTGAAGTGCTCTACCAATACTAGTGCATACCATTTGCACAGTACAAAGTGAAAAAAGAGAACAGATTGGTACTGGTACCTAAACAACACTACCCTCACACAAATACTTGTGGCTTGAATCAACAGAGTGTCACACATGCGAGGCTGTTGCGACAGTACTAATCAATCTGATCTGACAAGCATTACTGACATGAGCTCAACAATCAATGACATAACTTCAATTTTCAAGAGTGCATACCTGTATCACTCAAAAGGGTCATGTAAATATGAAAGAAACCATTAAAAGTAAAATCTTGTAACATAATATTATATGTCTCTAAAGCTTGGTACATACAATGATAGGTACTTCTCAGTTCACTTTTGTTTTATCTTCATAATTTACAGTCAGTAGTGCCACTGTTTGTCAACGAATTCAAATTAGTGAAATAGAGAATATCTCAAAATCAGGTGCATGAATTGAGCTGAAATGTACTGAATATAAACAAATGCAAAATGAAACCAAGATGATAACTATTCAATCACAACAAAAAAAGACAACACAAATGAAAACGATTGGTGGCTGCATCGACTTTAAGTTGACAATGATCTTTACTGGAGGGAGGACAAAAGATGTCAATCAACCTATAATACTGATAAAGAGGGAAATCAAATACCAAAAGAAAAAAATATTTATTTTATTTTGCTTTGTACCTAATGACACTTACCTCTCTAGTCAATGATATTTTGGACCAGGTAGGCTATGGCCAACCTAACACAATTAAGCATAATCAGTTGATTAATGATTTATCAGACATCAGAGGAGAATAGGAGACCTTAATTCAAACTTCTTCTAACATCCATTCCAACACAAGATAGACAAAAATAATAGAAAAACAAAACTCAACCAAGGAGACATGATGAACTCAGTTTTGCATAAATCAGAAACTAATAACACACAACATGCATGGCTCCTCGCACGCCATTAGTTAAAGCCATCAGCTTCCTGATGGACTCTGCAAATGGCATACAGGGAGCCAGGCACGCCAAGTAGGCTAATAGAAATCTACCAAAACCAAATGCAAACTTAGCCTTATTTATCTCTCTAAGGTGAAAGAAGGTAAGATGCATAGAGATGACCAAATCAGATGATTGGTGGCGCTGAGGCTAAAAATGATCTGCAACTAATATCTATGAGGTAGAAGCAATCGAGCAGCATATAATATATATATATATGTACAGTACGAAGGAGCACAAGGTCTTTCATGTACCTAGAATGACAAAAACACCCCTAAGCACCTTTGGCTACTGTTTTTACTTGGGAAACAACCAAGAAGCTAGCAATTTGGCATGAAGCAAAGCTAGTTTTGTAAATAACTCTACATGAACCTACCTTGTCTCTCTCTTTTTGTTCCCTACTTTTATTTTTCAAACTCCCTGAGAGTTAGAAACACATTGAAGAGAGTAGTGTTACATACATACGAGTGAGAGAGGAGGGACTAAAGGGGGGGTAGACATTGAGAGTCTTGTCCTGTTCAATATTGGCTGGGATGGCTCTAGGCATGTCTCAGGGTTCAACTTCTTTTTCCATTGCACAAAGGGCAAGTCATTTTTATCTTGAGAAACTAATTTGTCTACAAGTGCTTGGATCCCCTTAGATTCCTATTCCCTCACTATTGAGTTTCTTTAAAGAATAAGATATTTCCCTCTATTGTCCTTTTCCCTTTACACTTTGTGGTGTTTCTTTTTTCTTTCTCTGTTGGTATGGTATACATGATGTAAGAATAGAACCTAGAATTGGAATTTAACAAGCTAGGTAGATACTCTTAGGGAGCACTTAGCTACCTCTTTCTTTAATTTTCTAGCTTTCTCCTTCTCTATTCTTCCTTTTTCATTGAACCGACTTCTGCAGGCATTGAAATAAACTGTTATCACAAACAAACAATTATTGCAAGATAAGAAACTGCACAAACATCATATTTTTTCTTACCTTAGGGATTTGCAAATCAGCACAGTCATCTTCTGAGTCTGTCATTCTGGCTTATATCTAGATACTGGTTAGTCAGTATCAGTGGTCCACTATGTTACACAATGACTTCAAAAATTACAATTAAAATTATTAATTAAATCTTAGAGCAACAACACCTGTGACAAAGTGTTCAGTTATCTGTCAATTTCTTGTGAACTTGGGTTACCATACAAATGTTTGAATCAGAATTCTTTGCAGCTAGTACCAAAGTATATAACCTATTACCGTACATAGTATACACGGGTGTTTTCAAATTGCCTCTCATCCTCGGATGCAAGAAGTGATAAACTCCAAAATGAAATTATTAAAATTGAAGACATAGAACTTTATTCCACAGGGAAAAAAGAAAAGACAAATTCAAAGGCATTGAGATGTTAAACTGCTGAATGAATTGCATGCATGATAATGCTTACAACAGTCACGGGCAAAGGCACATGCAATTATGCAAAAGCAGAGTGGCTAAAGTAGAGGGTTCCCTTCTAGTTAGACAGGAATCTCAAGGACCAGAACCAATCCTGAAACAAACACGTTCAAGTTGCAAATAAAGCTGCAGATTTTCCAAACCCAGAATCTTGTGGAGAATACTCGACAAGACAAATATTTACAAAAGCTTGTTGCATGAAGTAGGAGCTAGCTATATCACTCGTTTGGCAACATCTGTGTGTTTGGAATAACCTTGCTACCCTTCTTCCCTTTGCAGATTTTATGGTCTGCTCTTCTTTTTTGTTTCTGCTTTTCTACCAGCACATGCATTCTGTTTTTCATACATTCCAATGCAAAATTTATGTCCAACATTAACTGCTTTCACTTATATATTTTAATTATAATTACAGGAACATCACTGGATGAACATGTCCCGACAAACCATGCAGGTTAAGGGTTTAGGAAGGAATGTCTAAAAAACAAAAAAAATCTAAATATAAAATTAAACTTATGAACATATATCTGCAATGTCAATTCAAACATGCAAGCCTTACAAATAAAAACTGAGTTGTTCTCTTCTAATTTCAACTCCTATT